TATGGGAGAAGTTGAATGGAAGGAGTTGCTGGCAGCTCCTTGACCAGTGGCCCTGAGACCACCAGAACCAAAATAGGGGGTGGAGCTCTCTCTCTTCACTGTTTTGATGAAGTTTACCTTGCGGTATGCAAGGGAAGAGAGTTGAGCCTGCAAAGTTAGGCTCCAAAAACCAGAAGATCTGAGCTAGAGATAACCTGATGGGGGAAAATTTTAGGGGGGTTGTGTTGTTCTCAGCTCTGTTCCAAAAGAATGCATCAAAGCCTCTATTCAGTTCTAAGTAAACATGGTAGTTAAAGACACAAGCTGATTGACTGATGGTCCACATACACATGAGTAAATAAGATTTGGCTGTAGATAGCAATTACTGCTGTTATTTGGTTCTTTCATCTCAGGAGACACTTGCAATTGTAAACATCTATCTGGAGGCTGGAGGGGGGAAAAAAAACTTCACTTTTTCCCCAAGGGAACAAACTCAAATTATTTCTCTTTGTGGCAGGTGTATGCTCTGTTTAGCTTTGTCCATAGCCTTCCCTTCTACATTTGTAGGAAGCAAACATGATTATCTCTGTGCTGGAAAGTGTACCTCCAGCTTTTGAAAGTCTCATTAACGTTCACTGGGCGAAAGTAGACACTTCTGTACTCACTGATTTGATCTGCACCGTGACTTTGAAGTATACACCATGAAAGATGGACAATAGATTCCAACTTCCTTCTGGAATTTCATACTTTCTCTAGGCCAGTTGAAAACCTCCTTTGGGCTGCTCACACCCAGTTTGGATGTATCTTGCCTGCTTTAGACACAGAGGATAAACATGAAGATGTACCCTTAGCTAAAGAGAGGGGACCGGGGAAGTTGGCTGCGTTATGGTATTACATAGGTGGAGATGTAGGATTTGTGCCTTCTTCGATCAGAGACTCATATAAACCACCGACCTTCCCCTTGAAGTTTGAATGTCAAAACAGTAAAAGGCATACAATGTGTATTTAATGGACGAAGTAGAGGATTCAGTAAGCTTTTCCTAATTTGCTCTACATTGTAAAAAGCCTGTGTCCATAATTGAATGTTTAACAGAAATAAAGTTCCTACAAATGGGAAAAATAAGTTTATAAAAGAGATTAGAATGTAAACATCATACTCATAAATAACAGCCTTTGACTGTTTTCACCTCGTATTAAAATGGTCCAGGAACATCTTGTTTGTTTGTTTGTATATTTGTTTTTATATTTATGTATTTATTCATATGCATTCATTCATTTTTGTATCAATACTGGTGCTTGAACTCAGGGTCTAGAAACTGTCCATAGCTGCTTTGCTCAGGCTAGTGCTCTACTGTTATGAGCTACACCTCCAACTTTTGACTTTTTGCTAGTTAATTGGAGCTAAGGGTCTCATATACTTTTTGGCTACCTAGGCTGGCTTTGAACCACAGTCCTCAGATCTCATTCAGATCTCAGATCTGAATAGGGGTGAATTATATTACAGGTGTGATTCACCAGACCCCTCCACAGTCTATTTTTCTTTTTCGGGTGATGCCTGTAATTCATCTCACTGCTTGAAGATCTATAACTCATGTACATAAGGTTTTGTCTTAGTTATAACAACTGTAAATCATATTCAAATTTGAGAAATTTTGAAAAGATACTGAGAAACTGAAATATGTACTCTCACTGGCCTGCTCAATTCCTCTCTGCTGAAAAAATAGGTGTTTTTACCTATTTCATAATACTCATGGCAAAAAAGAAACTAGGTATTTATGGTTTGAAAGCGGTATTATTATTGTTGTTTGTTTGGGCCTTACAGAAACTACTGAATTGGGTTTTAATTTCCTAAGAGTCAATTACTTCAAACAATACAATGATTTGCAATTGATTATTTGCCTCATTTTCTAGTATTCCTCAGGGAAGTACAGAGAGTGAGAAATCATATAGAAATAACTCTGATTTCTTTGAACAACTAACTTAGTCTAACAAAATGAATACCAAAAACCTGAAATGTGTTTTGTTTCAGGAAGTATAATAAGGGGAAGGGGAGAAGTTGGATGAAGAGAGGAATGGTGGGAAAGTATAATTATCATATTCAATGTAAATATGTGGAAATGGAACCAAACCACTGGAGGAGAATGATAGAAGAGGTGACATTGATCAACATGCATTGTACTCATAAACTGATATGTTGAATGGAAACTCCTTTGTACACTAAAATTAATTAAAAAGTAAAAAGAACATTTTAAATGTTGAAATCTACTGAAAACTACTTTTTAAGGAATTAATTGACTTAACCAACTTCTATTAACTGCTGTATTACAATTGAAGAATTTATCATTCAAACCCTTTTTCTATTGCAGCTTCTTCTTTCATTGAAGGGAACAATGTACCGTGTAACAATATGATAATACTGATTGATATTCTCTCTCTCCCCTCCCTCTCTTTCCATCTTTCTCTCTGTGTTCATGCATATAAACCATCCCTGTCTGTATATGGTAACTATTATCATTACTCTTCATTCATGACAAATTGGATAAAAAAATTCCACAGGGTGCTACATGAGGCTTTTCTTCTTGCATAAGCCATGCAGTAAGCCATGAAGTTAAAAACAACAACAACAACAAAAAACTTGTTCTAGAGCTGAGAGAATGAATTTGAACACACAAGCAAAGCACAGTTTTGCCCTGAAGTGTGGCTCCTTTGGTGCTTTTTGACAATACTCATTCACTTGACTTTATTCTATTTAGTTTCTCATAGGGCTCTGTGAGGATTGGAAAGGTGGGGACAGCATTATTAAAAAGTCATTCTACCTCTCTGGATTTCACAGCTTACTTGCTCTCATAACTCAGAAACTTAATTTGTGTGTTGATGCAGTTTTCCAGGAATGTCAACAGATTTAGAGAGCTCACTTGTTAGAGACAGGTGATCGAGCTCTGTGATAATTATAAAAGACAAACAAAGATGCCTGTTTTGGCCATCTGGTCCAAATGAGAAATTTTTAGGGCTCTCTGTCTTCACCTTTGACCCCCTCCTTAGAGGTGGGAATGTGAGGAATGTCCAGGTCTACTTTGCCTGAGGCTGCTGAGATAACATCTCCATCCATAGCCACACACTCACAGGTTGGAGGGAACCCCATCCAAGTTAAAAGGATGGGAGGCACGTGAAGTATTCTGTGGACAGATTTATCACTCGCTCTTGCACCAAAGTATGCAAACAAAATGTCCAAGACTGATTTCCTATTATTCAAGAGTTCAGAGGAGCTAGATGCTTTTAATCATGCCCAGCAGCTGAAGACACAGAGAAAACAAACATTTCCAACTTAGTTGTAATTTAACTTGAAGCAAGAAAATAAAGAATTCATTTTCAACTCGAGCAGTGTGCAGACTGCCTTTGGCTTTTCCAGTGGCTTTGTGAGCCATTGTTGGAGGACTTGGTTTTATTTGGGGTATGGGTAATTCATTCTGATTCTCTGAGACATGATACTATCTCCTGAATGACTTGTGTTCTAAGGCACAGTGGTGTGAGTTGTAAAATTCTTCTGAATCTTCTAAAACCAAAGACAAATTATTAGCCTGTTTCATGCCAAAGAGCTATTCACAATATGTGTATGCACTCAGCCAATTTATCTTTCTTAATAAGTGTTTATAAAATTAGTTCACACTGGGAAAATTTATGAGTTCTATTATTTTTACAGTCTCCTGTGAACTTATCTATATATTAACTTTTTTTGTCAGTCATGGGGCTTAAACTCTGGCCCTGGGCACTGTCCCTCAGTTCTTCAGCTCAAGGCAAGTTCTCTACCATTTGAGCCATAGCACCACTTCCGGTTTTCTGGTGGTTTATTAGAGATAAGAGTCTCTCGGACTTTCCTGCCATGGCTGGCTTTGAACTATGATCCTCAGATCTCAGCCTCCTAAGTAGCTAGGATTACAGGTGTGAGCCACCGGCACTCAGCTTTCCCCCCCCCCCCCCCCGCCCATCTTGATGCAGCTTGAACTCCTGGCCTAGGCACTGTCCTGAGCTCTTTTGCTCTCTACCACTTTGAGCCCTAATGCTACTTCCAGTTTTCTGGTGGTTCATTGGAGATAAGAGTTTCATGGACTTTCTTGCAAGAGCTGACTTTGAACTATCATCCTCAGATCTCAGCCTCCTGAGTAGCTAGGATAATAGCCATGAGCCACCAGCACCTGCCAATAAATTTGTTACAAATTTATCCCATAGTTTTTAATCGATGCTATCTAACTGCTATACTTCTAGCAGCTATGTCAACTAAGCTATTGGTAGGAAATAATGAGCAGATCAATTCAAATTCATTATCAACACTGGAGGAAAATACAAAGTCACCTAAGTATGTGCCCTGGTTTGGTGACCTAAGTCACATCGTCATCATCCATGAGGACAAATGTTAACCTCTGGATATAAAGATATTTATTTAATGAAAGCTTAGTTTGTATAGAGGATCTTTCCAACATTATAGGTAGCCAACCATCAGGCCTTGGTGTCCATAAAGTCTTTAAGACTCATAAGCATAGTTACACCAAAGGACTCCAACCTTAGTGATTATAACAGCCCCAAATACCCTGGATTAATCCTGAATCTAATGAACTAGATTACCTAACACAAGTACCAGAATCTCCAGAGTGAAAACTTAGTAAGAGATGATAAAACAAATGCCCAGGCCAAACTTGAAATAAATCATTGTAATATAATTTCTTTGAATTTATTTTCCTAGAGAAGGTTTCAGAGGTTTAGAAGCCTTATAAATCTCATACATGGGAGAGAAATTAATTTTGGTGCCTCAAGATTCCCATTAGGCACTTGACCAGATGCATTTTTAGTTTTAGTATTGATATTTGGACCTGAAATAAAAGTACAAACTGAAAGAGATGGTACCTGCCTAAGAGAAAACTGATATGACGATTTAAGGTAGAGCTAAGTCCTCTAAATTGGATCCACAGCATTTGATGGGGGAAAAATAAAAGTAACCACAGTGTTTTCTGTGCCTTTCTTAACAGAACCCATCTTCTACTTTGGTGATGTCCAGTACTCAGTGGATGAGAGCGCAGGCTACGTGGAGGTACAGGTGTGGAGGACAGGCACCGACCTCTCCAGGCCATCTAGCATCACAGTGAGATCTCAGAAAACTGATCCACCCTCTGCCGATGGTGAGCAGGTTCCTACAGCAGCTCTTGAGTGTCTTCAACTTCCAACTCTCAGGACACAACATGCCTCTCAGGCAAAACTCTTCACTCTGTGAAAGCAACCTGGATGGATTTTCCCCTTCTAATCATTACTATATCATAGATAAATTTCAACTGCATCAAGCCAGATTACAATGCAAGAGTCAAAGTCTGTAAATTTGGAATGCCTACATTAGCACAAGTTGGTGGGTTCTCCAATCGTGTGTGTGTGTGTGTGTGTGTGTGTGTGTGTGTGTGTGTGTGTGTGTGTGTACCAATATTAAGGCTTGAAATCAGGGCCCCTCATTCTCTCTAAGTAGGCTTAAGGCTGGCACTTTACCATCCAAAACATACTTCTCCTTCTGGCTTTTTGCTGGTTAAATGGAGATGAGTCTCATGGATTGGGCTGATCTTGCCTCCTGAGTAGCTAGGATTGTAGGTGTGAACCACTAACACCAGACAGGTTCTCCACTCTTGTTCATCTGGGTTTTTGTTTCTTTAGGGGGAGTGGGGGTGGGGAGGATTTGGTACTGGGGATTGAACCCAGGATGTTGCGGTTGCTAGGCCAGTGCTTTTCCATTGAGCTACATCTCAGCCCACCGGTTCTCCAGTCTTGACTCACCTCACAAGGTTGAATGCAATGATGTATAAGTATGCAGAGTAATCCCGTCGCCCTCACAGAAATCTAAGGACAGCTACGCATCATGTGTGCATGCATCTTCACTTGTTCCCATAAATACTTCCGAGACAAAATCCTTTCCTACATGTGTTTATACAAGCTGTTCTTGCTAAAGCAGCCTGTCTTTTAGTGTTAAATTTGTATTTAAAAAAAAATGATTACCATGTTTAAGGCAAACATAGGATTCAGTATTTCCTTTTCTTTTTTTTAATTAGCCAACAGTACAAACTGTCCTATACATATCTTCTTATATGTCATATATATATATATATATATATATATATATTCACCTTTGTGTGACAAATGTGTGCTTTGTACATATGAACACATTCATTACACACAGTTTGCTTCCAGCCACTGAAAGTAAACAGAAGTAAGGCCATTTTCAAAGCCACCCTTATATTTTTTTTAGAACCAGCAGCATTCTGTGTCCAATAAACATGTGATCAACCCAATTACTCACTGAAAGTAAAAGAAATAAATGCAAATGAAATTTGAGAGTAAGGAGTTACCAAAATGCAAATAAAGTGGCAAAAAAGCAAAGGATACAAAAAAAATAAGGAGCTACAGACTTCTGTATTTTTTGTGCTAGAGCTTTGAACCCAAGGCCTTGTGTGTGCTAAGCACCTCTATTCCTAAGCTACATCCCCAAGATTCAAGTATTTTTTGAAATATATTGAACATAGATATACTAAGCAGTCACACATGGAAAAGGAAAAGTAGAGCTAGAGTCAGACAAGCAAAAAGTATGAAAACAGAAAGAGAAGCAATGATACTGAACTACTTACTGTCCTCCAATCTGGCCTTTTAAGAATATAGAGGCTGAAATTTAAAAGGTTGCTTTGTGGATGGGGCACTGGTGGCTCATATCTATTCTCCTAGCTACTCAGGAGGCTGAGATCTGAAAATCATAGTCCAAAGCCAACTTGGGTAAACAATTCTGAAGGACTCATTGCAAACTAATCAACAAAAATCCAGAAGTGGAGATGTGTATGACTCAAATAGTAGAATGCCAACCGTGGGAGAAAAAGCTAAGCAAGATAATGAGGCCTTGAGTTCAAATCTCAGTTCTCTCTCTTTTTTGGGGGGGGGGTCCGGTCCTGGGGCCTGAACTCTGGGCCTGGGCGCTGTCCCTCAGCTCTTCAGCTCAAGGCTAGCGCTCTACCATTTGAGCCACAGTGCCACTTCTGGCTTTTTTTTCTTTTTGCTTATGTGGTGCTGGGGAATCAAACCCAGGGCCTCATGCATGCAAGGCAAGCACTCTACCACTGAGCCACCTTCCCAGCCCCCTCTCTAACTCTTTTTCTCTCTCTTCCTCTCACTCTTTCCCTCTCTCTTGCATACACACACACACACACACACACACACACGAGTTAGTGAGATTCTTTCAACCATGAGACATACACCAAATTTAGAACCTGACCTTAAAGTCATAACCTCATTAATTACATAGATACCAATTGTAGGCATTTCAGTAAATGTTCTTTTCTGTGCTATGATTATATAATTTATTTCTTGCACTTTAAAAAAATTTAGTTCTCACCTGGGTAATCCTTTTGCTCTTCTCTATAGCTGGAACTGACTATGTGGGAATCAGCCGTAATCTGGATTTTGCCCCTGGAGTGAACATGCAGAGAGTTCGGATTATTATTGTGGACGACCTTGGACAGCCCGTGCTGGAGGGAGTTGAGAAGTTTGAGCTGGTACTTCGTATGCCTGTGAATGCTGCCCTTGGCGAGCCCAGCAAAGCCACCGTGTACATCAACGACTCTGTCTCTGACTGTGAGTGCTCATTTCACAATCACAAACATCAGGACTTATAAATGTGGCAGTTAGAATGAAAAATCATATAGATTATATTCAATTGCAAAGGCAGCCATTCTGAAGCATCAAGGACTCAATGGCTTAAGGGAAATTATCTCAGGTGCCAATTGCTTACCACTGCAATCCAAATTATTCAGAAGGCTGAGATCTGATGATCCCAGTTCGAAAGCCATCCCAGGCAGAAAGGCCATGAGACTCCTTTCTCCAATTAACCACCATAAATGATGCAAGTGGAGTTGTGTCTCAAGTGATAGAGCACTGACCATCCTTGTGTGAAAAAGCTAAGGGACAGTACTGCCTCTTTTCCTCCTCCCCCCCTCCGAAAAAAAGAAAGATTATCTCACAGCTGTTAGCTACAAGTCATACAAGAGTGTTGCTTAGGTTGATCCATTCTGAAGACTGGGTGAGGCTTGATCTATCGATGATCGTCTGTCCCTACATGTCTTCCTTTCTTGTCTTCCCATATGCCTTTCTGTTCAATTCCCCCTTTATAAAATGAGAACACTAATCACCTTGGGCTGTGGTCCCTCCTAATACCTTCATTTCAACTTGATTATCTCATTAAAGACGTTAACCTACCAACAAAGTCATATTCTCAGCGTATGAATGTGACAGGCCACACTATTCAACCCATACAGGCTCCCCGCCGACCATGCCTTCCTTTCTCCTATCGACTATTTTGAGAGACTTAGCCTTTAAAGGGAACCTCTAGTCTTCTCATATTTTAAAGAAAATATGTTATTATCATTGGTCTCCTGATGCTATCTCAAGAATTTCCTCATCTCGCATGCTTGGAGCCAGACAGAGCTCCACGGCCTCTTGAATGTCAATGATCTCTTTTATTTTCTCCACTCTTTATGTCATTTCCTTCATCAGGTCGCCTCTCAACTTTCCCTAATAAGGTTCCAAGAACACTATCCTTCAACAACCAGCTACGGAAGATGGGGTAGGGCTATGTGTCCAGTCACCACAAAAGGAACGCTGAGCACTTCTTCATTCATGATCATTCTAACCATGCTTGGAGGAATAGAGCATTTTGTCTATGAGATCTGTATTGTGTTGACCCAGCTTAGGTTTTCTAAAATTATTTACATCATCAGCTTTCCCTGTTACGGTCTGCAGATGCTTATAATTATGTGCACATATGAAGCGTTCTTCATACGAAGGTATTTTGAAATGCTCATGGCTAAACAATACAGGTAGGCAGAAACAGCTTAAGGTCTTCTGGGTTTGGCTGCTTTCTTGCAATTTATTGCATACCTTAATTTCACAAAATATGTAGGAAAAAAAGAGTTCAGAGTTCAGTGATAAGGAAATAAATCAAAATTCTTTCTGTCAGTCATGGGGGCCTGAACTCTGGGTCTGGGCGCTGTCCCTCAGCTCTTCAGCTCAAGGCTAGCGCTCTACCACTTGAGCCACAGCACCACTTCCAGCTTTTTCTACTTATATGGTGCTAAGGAACCCAGGGACTCATTCATGCAAGGCAGGCACTCTACCACTGAACCACTTTCCCAGCCCTCAAAACATTTTTTTTATTATGGATGTTGGTGGTACTGGGGCTTGAACTCAGGGCTTCACATTCTTGCTTAGCTTCTGTGCTCAAGTCTGGTACTCTCCCACTTAAGACACACCTCCACTTCCGGCTTTTTGCTGGATAATTGGCAATTTAAAAAAGTCTCTCACATTTGTTTCTGGTAGCTGGCTTTGAACTTCCCTCCTCAGATCTCAGCCTCCTGAGTAGCTAAGATTACAGACAAGAGTCATTCATGCCCAGCAAGGCAATAAGTACTCTTGATTTGCTCAAGCTCAAACAGTAGACTGAGCTCCACTTCTCAGTTTTTTTTTCCTTCTTCTCTCCACTATCCATTCACCTTTTTCTTAAGGAAATTTCCACTTTGATCCATGAGTTTATTTGATTTGTAGTGCCAAAGATGCAATTCAAAGAAAGAGTGCACACTGGCAGTGAAAAGGATGGGCAGATCGTTGCAGGAATCCGCAGGAGCGGGGATGTCCAGTTCACGTCTTCCGTGAGATGCTACACCAGGCAGGGCTCTGCACAGGTGATGATGGACTTCGAAGAACGTCCCAACACTGACATCTCCACCATCACATTCCTCCCAGGTAAGTCTGAGCCTGAAGTTTTTAAGTGTCATTTGAGAGAACCAAGTATTGTTGTGAAGTGTGTATAGGGTAATATATGATTTCAACAAGCTTATAGCCACGACTTCGGTGTACTAAGAGACAAGTAGTTGATGGTAACAGGTTGAGTGTATGGGCCTGTGGTTTCTCGGTTGACTTATTGGCTCCTAATCTTACATGGTTTATTCAAAACTTAATGGACAAGAACATATCATTGTACAGCTTTCACAATGCAGGTAATTAAGCTTAATGTTGAATATAATTAAATGAAATTGCTCGCACTATTTTAATATGTACCTTAATTTATGTGATCATTTTGAGCTAATAATTGCATTTAGAGGAATATGTTCTAAGAGAAAAAAATCATAAACAGACAGAAAATTTCTCTATGTAAATGTTTATCACAAAGTTATTTATAGTACTGAAACAATGAAAAAAAAGTGGTCAACAACTGAGAATTATTTCTGTAAATATCCATCAGGCAGCATATTTTATAGCCACTATGATTTTTTTAAATTGGGTCAGTGGCTCATGCCTTTAATCCTAGCTACTCGGGAGGCTGAGATCTGATGATCATGGTTTCAAGGAAAGTATGTGAGTCCATTATCTTCCAATTAACCAGAAAAAAAAAAACTGGAAGTAGAGCTGTGGTTCACGTGGTAAAGTGCTAAGCTTGAGCAAAAAAGCTCAGGAACAGCACCCAGGCCTAGAATTCAAGCCCAAGGACTGGCACACACACCAAAAAATAAAATACAAAAAATAATCGTTAATGAGTTTGGAGCAGTTAAGAGTATAATTTTGGTCCAATTCATTAGAGCAAGGATCTAATTGTTCTTGGCTCAATTATAAGTAAAAATTTAGTAATAGTAGAAGTTAGTATTATGATCAAATAAAAACTGACCACTCAATACAAATCTAGCTTTTCTTTCTGATCTTAAGACCAGAAAATAGGAGAGAACTGTCATTTTTCTCTTTTTTGCTTACTTTCTAAGGATAGAAACAGAAATATTCTACATCTCACTATAGTTATAGAAGGCAAAAATTTCTGCAGAACAGTGGGGGTGACTGTCGATGCATGAGTTTATCCATTTATTTGTTCAGCAAGTATTTATTGAAGGCTTACTATATGCTGGAAGATCTTTGCACTGATCGAGTAGGGGGAAAGCTACAACATTACTCCTATGGTGCTTGGACTCTGATTGTTGATACATCATCCTCCTTGACTATGGGATATGACTGTCTTTCTGCCATTATTGTTTGTTCCAGGTGAGACAGAAAAGCCATGCATCCTGGAATTGATGGATGACACGGTCTATGAGGAAGTCGAGGAGTTGCGCCTGGTACTTGGGAGTCCACAAAGCAGCTCTCCCTTTGGGGCTGCAGTTGGTGAACAAAATGAAACCCTGATAAGGATCCAAGATGATGCTGATAGTAAGAAGCTGCTTCCTTATATGTAATGGTGAATTGGAAACTGAAATCTATCCCAATCATGGCTGGAGGTGACTCAGAAAAGAATTCCCTTTCTTAGTAGAATTAGAGCAACTGAAAAATAAAAACAACACAAATGAGGGGGGGAAATCTACATTAAAACTGGTACAATATAGCTGGGTGACAGTGGCTCCTGCCTGTCATCCTAGCTACTCAGCAGGCAGAGATCTGAGGATCACAGTTCAAACCCAGCCAGGGCAGAAAAGTCCCCTTGAGAAGCTTATCTCCAATTAACCACTTAAAAACCAGAAGTGGACTGTGGCTTAAAATGGTAGAGCACTAGCCTTGAGCTGAAGAGCTCAGGGACAGTGCCCAGGCCCCGAGTTTAAGCCCCACAATAGACCAAAAAAACTGATACAATAAAGAGTTTGGGATATAATTCAGTTGTACAGTGGTTACCTAACATGTAAGAGGACTGAGTTGAATCCCCAATACTGAAAAAATTAGATAGACAGCAGACAGACAGACAGGCAGGCAGGCAAGCAGGCAGATAGATATAGACACTTGCCTACAGATAGAGAAAGAGTAGATAGATAGATAGATAGATAGATAGATAGATAGATAGATAGATGGTGATGGATGTATAAATACATTTTTGATTAATAAATAGATGATACATAGATACATGTAGATGTACACATGCATAAATGCATATAAACATATATATCCACATATATACATACATAGTTGATAAATGCTTGCATAACCACAAATACATACATACATGACTGATAGATACATAATAGATACATGCATACACACATACTCCCATACATACATGATAGATATATACATATACATATTAGATAGGTAGATTAATAGTTAATAGATGAGTGAATGGATGGATAGGTGATAGATAGATAGATAGATAGATAGATAGATAGATAGATAGATAGATAGATAGATAACAAAGTTGATTTGGAAGAGTATGTCTTATACCTAAGTAATAAAACCCAAACTTTTGTACCTTCCCAATCCCCTATACAAATCTTGAAATGCAAGTAGTTTGGCAGCAAGAATTTCCTTTCCTCCATCCCCCATCAATGGCCTGAGACACGTAATTTATGCCACAAAAGGACAGCCCAGAGTATATGCCCTATTGACACTGGTTAATTCTCAGGAAGGAGTTGGGCTACGTATGTCAGCTTTTATTTTCATACTCACTATTACTTGAGTATAAGGGGGCAGAGAGAAGGCAGGAATGCAACCATCATTACATTCCTCCCCCATGGAAGGAAACAGAAATGGGGGAAATTGTGTTTCTCTGCCTAGCAATTTAATTGGTACGTGTTTTCCCCCAACTTTAGAGTCCATTATCAAATTTGGAGAAACCAAATTTAGTGTCACTGAACCTAAAGAATCAAGAGAATCAGTGGTGGTCAGAATTCCTGTGATTCGCCAAGGAGATACTTCCAAGGTTTCCATCGTGAGGGTCCACACCAAAGACGGTTCTGCCACCTCTGGAGAAGACTATCACCCTGTGTCCGAAGGTAGGAGGCGCCCAGGCCTGTCTCCAGCCAGGTCATGCCAATAGTAAGCACTAGCACTGTGCCCAATGGGGGGGGGGGGAGGGGGAAAGAAGGGAATCATTCAATGCAATACATAGAGATACAATCTTTTAAACTCATCTCCTTAAAAGAAAAAAAGACAACAGAATTAAATTCTAGAATGTTCCTTTTTGACTTATAGGGTATAGGTGTTAAGACTTTGAGGAATTTTCAGTAGATGTACTCCATAGCTTTCTGTTTGAGTGACGTTACCTTCACGCAGTGATCAGACTTTATGCAATCACTTTCCTGTAAATGTCCATTCCACTGAAACTTGTGGCAAGATGATAATCTATTTGAGGACCCCTGAAATCTGAAACTAAAGCCAGAAAACTTTGTGCTAATAGAAGACTATGAGAGGATTCTGGAAGACCAGCCACAGAGACCCCAAGACCATGCGCTCTCTGGCTGTCTCCTATGGCTGCCTTTCATCTCCTGATGCAAAGGCTGGGATCAGTTTTATTATCTCCTGTTAGGAGCAATTAAGACAAATCAATATTCTGTGTGTCTCTGCCCATCTTTCTGTCTCTCTCCTCTCCTCCATCTGTCTGTCTGTCTGTCTCTCTCTGTCTGTCTCTCTCTCTTGCTTGCTCTCTCTTTCACACACACACACACACACACACACACACACACACACACCTGCTGACAATAAACATAAACTTACCTCCAAAATTAAGCTCATTAATCATTTGGAATACATACTCAGAGTAGCAGACATCAGTTCTTACCCATGGTGCACTTCAGCCATTTTACTCATGAACAAAATTTACAAAGTGACTGATAGGAATTAGTGAATGGCTAGAAACCAAATGAACGAATACAAAAAGAGTATTTTCTACAAAGGAGCTGTATCTCCTTTGCTTATATGGCAAAACTTTACTATGGAGCTTCAAATATGTCCTTAGATTTTTTTTTCTCTGTGTGTGAAATAAATCACATATAATCTAAAAGAGGAGAAAATAAAACTGATTAGCTACTAAATTCTAAAATATCAAGTCAGCCTTTTCTGTAATAAGCAGATTATAAATGGCTGAAAAAAATGCAACTGATTTTCATATAATTCCTTTAATTCTTTGGCTAAACAGGAACAATCTTACAACTGTGTAGTAAACTGAGAGATGAAGTCAGATATAAGTTAAATAATACTAAATCAACTATGTGGCTTTTATCCTATAAATTTCAACATATGGTTTAATAGTGTTTATAATGAAAACTTAAGGGATCTTTTAATTTTTTTTTTTGGCGGGGGAAGGTCAGTAATGGGGCTTGAACTCTGGTCCTGGGCGCTGTCCCTCAGCTCTTCAGCTCAAGGCAAGTGCTCTACCACTTAAGCCACAGCACCACTTCCAGCTTTTTCTGCTTATATGATGCTGAGGAATTGAACCAGGGCCTCATGCATGCAAGGCAAGCGCTCTACCACTGAGCTACCTTCTCAGCCCTGATTTTTTAATGTTTTCATTTCTCCTTTTATGGTTTAAGTGGAGGTCAGTCCTAATCAAATTAAACAGAACAAAATTAAACCAAAGTTGAAATTCTTTTATGTCCTAAAAATAAAGTGACAGATTAAGACAAATGTACTTGAGAAAATTGACCATCATCTAGCAAGTGTTTTAAAACAATAATTTAATGGTTAAATATTATTTAAGTATTTAATATGGTAAATATTTTAAAAAATTACTTTGTAAACTTCATAGAGGTTTTATTTGTATAACTCAGGGGGTTATAGAAGCTTCTGCTTGCAATAGGAAGACCAGCAATGAAAATGAGAGAGCATAGGAAGTGTAAAAGGGGACAGAGAGGGATGGAAATGTTATTGCTCCACACAGCCCATTCTTGGCTTGTCTCACCACCTGCCTATGACCATGTAGGGCTATATAAAAGACTTCAACAACTTCTATTTTCCTATGAGTTTCCAGACTTTAAAGTGTAAGAAATGATTTTTTTCTAATGGTACTAAGGTTTGAACTCAAAGCCTCATACTTACAACCAAAATACATGTTTTGAGATACAATATTGCATTAACAACTCAGCAATTTTATGTATAGCTCTTCTACATACATAGCACAACTACCATGCATATTCAATTCTACCTATAGTCCCATTCACAAGACTAGGGTTCTATTAGAAATTCTGAAGAATGAGAGGTAAGTTTGTCCTATTACCACTCAGTATGAGAATTATTGATTGTCCTCTAACTCAACGTATATATATATATATATATATATATATTTTTTTTTTTTTTTTTTTGGTTGGTCATGGAGCTTGAACTCCGGGCTTGGGTGCTGTCCCTGCGCTCTTGAGCTCAAGGTGAGTGCTCTACCACTTGAGCCACAGTGCCACTTCTGGTTTTCTGGTGGTTAATTGGAGATAAGAGTTTCATGGGCTTTTCTGCCCAAGCTGGCTTTGAACCATGATCCTCAGATCTCAACCTCCTCAGTAGCTAGGATTACAGGCGTTAGCCACCGGCACCCAGCTAGCATATTTTTTAAACTCTAAAAAAATCAACAAATCAATTTAATAACTTATAAATAATAAGATAATAAATAATAGCTAATAAATAATAAGAATTTTTCTTTTAGTAGGAAGATAACGGATAGAAGAATAGTCCAGAATAAGCCCGACAGTAGTACAATGCCTAATGCCTGTAATCTTACCCAAGAGGCTAAGATCCAAAAGATTGTAGTTCAAGGCCAATCCAAGCAGAAAAGTCCACAAGGCTCCATCTCTAAAATAACCAACAAAAAGCTAGGCTGGAGTTGTAGTTCAAGTGGTAGAGCATCAACCAAGCAAGCAAGCAGGACAAATGGGGAGGCCCTGAGTTCACGCTCCAATTGTAGAAAAAAATAGAATAGAAAATGTTTCAGTGTGTTATAAGAACAAGTAATATTTCTTAAACTGTGGGTTACCTTTTTGACACATATACACATATATAAATGTACTAGACTGCAATATGGACTCTATTTTCCATTATAGATCCACAGGCCAAATAAAGCTTGACCATAACTTTTGTTCATGTGTAGAAGATTTAAATCTGTGATTTTGCATTTGTAGAAATTGAGTTTAAGGAAGGAGAAACGCAGCATGTTGTTGAAATTGAAGTATTATTTGATGGGGTCAGAGAGATGAGAGAGGCCTTCACTGTACACTTAAAACCCGATGAAAACATGGTAGCAGAGACGCAGGTAAGTAACAGTGTGGTTGGTATAAATTCATGGCCAGCATTCTACTGAGCAATGCCAATGAGAAATCACATCACCTTATATAAAGTGATGAGACTTCACTTGTGATAAGGATGCTCATCATCTCTTTCCTCTCAAAAATAAACTTGATTCTGATTATAACATAATCAGAAATTTTCTCTTTCCTTGACAAATCCTATTTGTAGAAACTCATGACCTGGAGTTTAAAAAACCCACATTAGCCCATTACCTTTCAGTCAGTAGTGACTAAACTTAGAATTAATCTCCAGAGAGAAAGCTTTGTCTCAGCATAGAGATGAGACATTGATTCAGTGTCTCGACTCATTAAAATACACATTTTTCACCCACAATACTCTTGGCTAGCCCTCAAAATCCTAACTGTTCCTTTTGATTTAATTAGAAAATTTTTATTCAGAGCCTCATGTCTAAAATATTACATAAAACTTGTTTTCTATGCTTATTTAATTTGCATTGTGCTACAGATTTCCTTCAAGATAGCCATAATTTATGCAAAAATGTTGATGTTTACAGTAGATTTAACTGTCTACATGACAAATGACTTTAGGAACAGGTTGATTTTATGTCTGTGCTTAAGTTTGCTATATTGCTTTTATCATTGGTTTCTCTATTAATCTGAGGTCAAATTGAGGAAATGTTTTCTCTTAGGGTATTTATCCCATTTTATCATTTTAAAATTGAATGACAATATTTCTACTGTATTTCCTTTTTAAAGCTATATTTATAATTCAATGAGTATAGGCAGAAAATCTGCAGCAAATGTGTGTGTGTGTGTGTGCGCGTGTGTGTATATGCATGCACTCACACATGCACCAATACTGGGGCTTGAACGCAGAGCCTAGGTGTTCTCTCTTAGCTTTTTCACTCAAAGCTGGAATTCTACACTTGAGCCACACCTCCACTTTTGGTTTTTTGTTGTTTAATTGGAAGTAAGAGGCATTTCAGACTTCCCTGAGAGGGTTAGCTTCAAACTATAATCCTCAGATCTCAGCCTTCTGAGCAGCTAGGATTACAGACGGGAGCCACCAGCTTACTTTTGTAACTTGATCACATAGAAGTCAATCTTTTATTATCATTTTTATGGGGTAATATAGGAAAGTCTCTGGAGTAAAAAAAATAATCACTAGAATTACTTTTGTTACGAAAGTTTCTCTAAAATTAAGCAGAAGTCTCTGCCTTACAAGGATTTAGTAAATTGCATTTAGTCAAAACCCACACTTTGTATGTTGACTTTCACTTTTCCTGGACAATCACAAAGGGCTACAGTTGAGACTACCATGTTCCTTTGTTGTGAAGGTGTGCTGTACACAATCAAATGCATTTTTTAATCATTACTATTTCAAATTGAGATGAGTTCATGCAATGTAATCTTACCTTTTTTTGTTGTTGTTGTTCGGTCATGGGGCTTGAACTCTGGGCCTGGGCGCTGTCCCTGAACTCTTCAGCTCAAGGCAAGCGCTCTACCACTTGAGCCATAGTGCCACTTCCAGTTTTCTGTGGAGGTTTATTGGAGATCAGAGTCTCACAGACTTTCCTGCCCGGGCTGGATTTGAACTGTGATCCTCAGATCTCAGCCTCCTGAGTAGCTAGGATTATAGATGTGAGCCACCCAGCTCAATATAACCTTATCTTAAGTCATAGAACAGCTATACCTGTGATACCAGTTATCAGATCTTGGGAGGTTGTTCAAAAAACAGGGCAAATGGATAGCAAGGAATTTCCTTACCTTGCCCTGCAGGAGGTATTGTGTTTGTGGCTTCCACTTCTGTCTGGTTCTCAACATCTCTCAGCCTGCACTTCAGGCACTGCCATTTTGCCTTGCCCATTCAAGTTTTGATTTTCATGGGCCTCCACTTTATTAGGACCCACATGATCCCCTGACCTTTTCTCAAGGTGTCTGTCAGCATCCATCTCACTATCAGCCAATGGACTTTTTTCATACAACGTCTAGTTTACAACTGCAAGACAGATTTGTCTATTGTTGCCACAATTGGAGGAGAAAATAACAATTGGGATCCAAGTTCCACGAAAGCCACTGACCAGCCTTTGTACTGGCTTCCCCAGCCTCAGATGCTTACCTCTAAGATGATAGAATATTCACAAACGGTGCCAGAGTCACTGACAACCAGCTACAGAAGGCTTGCTACTCTCCAAGGATTCTGGCCATGACAGTTTTCATCTCAAAGAGTTCATGAGTTTTGCAAGAACCTTGAGTATTATTCTGCACAGTAGAAGCACTAAAACTCTTAATATTTTATGAGTTGATGATGACTATCTTTCCCTCTAGGTCACCAAAGCCATTGTGTACATTGAAGAAATAAACAACATGGCAGATGTCACTTTTCCTTCTGTCCCTCAAATTGTGTCCTTGCTAATATATGATGACACTTCCAAAGCTAAAGAGGGCACTGGACCTGCGTCTGGCTATCCTGTCGTCTGTGTTACGGTGAGTATGGAATTGACGAAACACAAGGGAAATTAGATAATTATTTAAAATAATCATAAACCTTCATTATTATTTGTCATGATGGAATGAAAGTAGGAAAGTATTAACAGGTTTGAGTTTTTAAGTGAAAAAGAATAACCTTAATTAAATGAAGATTCCATGTTTTACCTTATTCATTTAAAACATGATTTACTGCCTGGTCAGTAAGTAAATCTTAGAAACTGATTTTTTAAAAAGTAAGTTTATAGGAACCAATGGCTCACGCCTGGAAGCCTAACTACTCAGGAGGCTGAGATCTGAGAATCTCGTTTTGAAACCAGCCAGGTAGAAGAGTCCGTGAGGCTCTCATATCCAATTAACCACCAAAAAGTCAGAAGTGGAGCTGTGACTCAAATGTTAGAGTGCCAGCATTGAACCAAGAAAGAGCATGAGGCCCTGATTTCAAACTCTAAATAAGGCACTAAATAAATACATACATACATACATAAATACATACATAAGACATGGACTCCTCTGCACACAAGGAATTTAAACATATAGATGAGAAGAAAGTTACCACTAGCTCTAATATGAGGCAAGATGTGATCATTACCATAAGAATGATTCAAGTTAGAAAGCATAGCAGTGACTCTAAGTATGAAGGGATGTTTGAGATAATCAAGTTGAGTTTCAGTAGCTATGATACAGTTTAGTTAAGGAGAGATCATTCTAGAAAGAAATGATTGCAACCGAAGCCAAAGCTGGAGAAGTAGCACACGTTCATCACATTTTAACTTGTCTTCTCTTGACTAAATCATAAGCAACTTGTGAGCAAACATATCTTGCTTTTTCAATCACAGCAGCCCTAGTGTAACAACCCACCTAAAGGAATTTGTGCAAAGTTTACCAAATTAACAAGTCATAACTAGTAACAGATTGTCTAGGTCTCTAAACATCTTATTAAGGAACCTGGGCTTTTTGGTGGGTAATGGTGAACTCTTCCAGAGAAGAACTGCTCTATTAAAGGGGTATCATCTGGGACAGTTAGCTGGGCAGTAGTGCATTGCTTGACTGGAAAGAAATTAGATGGAAAGAGTGGCAGGAGTGGAAAAGAAGAGACTAAAATTTAAAAGTGTTGCTCATGCCTATAATCCTAGCTACTTGGGAGGCTGTGATCTGAGGATCTGAATTTGAAGCCTGCCAGGTAGAAAAATTCAAGAGATTCTTATCTCCAGCAACCAGCAAAAATAGCAGAAAGTAAGGGTGGCTCTAAATGGTAGAGTGCCAGTATCAAACAAAAAAGCCAAGTGACAGCATGAGGCCCTGAGTTCAAGCCTCAGTACAGGCACGTGTGCAGGTACATGTGCACCCACAATTACACACACACACACACACACACACACGCACGCACGCACGCACGCAGTGTGAAAGAATAATCAAGTTCACTGATCACCTGGAGAAGGAAGGAAGGAAGGAAGGAGGGAGGGAGGGAGGGAGAGAAGGAGGGAGGGAAGAAAGGAAGGAAGGAAGGAAGGAAGGAAGGAAGGAAGGAAGGAAGGAAGGAAGCTAGGAAGTTTTCAGTGGCTAATAGGTATCCATAATGGCGCTGCTGGAATTATCAACCTCATGAGCAAGGTGACATCTTTCATAGGGAAAGAATGATATGAGGGAAAGAAAACACTAATTTAATTTGTGAGTTTGAAGGTTGATATGTTTAAACATTTTACATGTAAACATCCAATTACTGGTTAGAAATGCAATTTAGACTTCATTTAAAAAAAAAACTATCACAGCTGGAAATAAAACTAAGAAAATTCAGCCAGGTGCTGATGGCTAACATCTGTAATTCTAGTTACTCAAAAGACTAGGATCTGAGGCTCATGGTTTGAAGCCAGCTCAGTCAGGAAAGTCCATGAGACTCTTATCTCCAAAAAGCCAAAATGAAGCTGTGGCTAAAGAAATAGAGTGCTAGCCTTCAAAAACCAAAAACAAAACCTCAGGGACAACACCCAGACCCTGAGTTTAAGCCCTAGACTGGCACGCACACACGCACACATGTGTGTGCACACACACACATACACACACACACACACAGGAAGTTGCATGAGTAACCTGAGGTACCAGTGAAGACATTGGGATTGAGAGGGGTTGGGAAGAAATAATATCCTCACTGTTCTGTACTGTGGTTCTAACATAGGTTTTTGTTTCCCATAGGCTTGTAACCCCAAATATTCTGACTATGACAAAACAGGGTCTATTTGTGCAAGCGAGAACATCAATGACACGTTGACCCGCTACCGATGGCTGATCAGTGCTCCAGCTGGCCCTGACGGTGTGACCAGCCCCATGAGAGAGGTGGACTTCGACACTTTTTTTACATCCTCCAAGATAATCACCTTAGACTCCATATACTTCCAGCCTGGATCTCGAGTGCAGTGTGCGGCTCGAGCTGTGAACATGGATGGCAATGAAGGCTTGGAGCTGATGAGCCCAATTATAACGATTGGCAGAGAAGAAGGTAAACCGTTGTGTTGCCAGCTTCGCATAAAGATGGCTGGAATGCTGCAGAATATCACAATGTCTGTTCTTCCAGACGGCTGCTGTTCTGTAACGCTCCACATTCCAATATGAAAATCCATCTTTACAATAACATTCCTTAGAAACGCAGTTATTCTGTCCACATGTTTTGAGCACCTATGATATACGTGATGGAGGGCATTTATCCTGGCAAGAGGAAGAAGGGAAGTTCCCTATCATCAAGGAGTCCTTAGAGAGGCTGACGGATACACACAGATGTCAGTCTGGATAAAGTGCTGAAATGCAAAGTTAGAAGTGATTGCTTCTGGAAATGGAGGTGAAGCTCAAGTGATAGAGTGCCCGTTTTGAGTAAAAAGGCCAAGGGAGAGCATGAGGCCTTGAGTTCAAGCCCCAGGACTGGCACTAACAATGAAAAATTTGTGAGTCCAGATAGTTCAACATAGAGCTGAAGCTTCAAACATAAGCAATGACCGCAGCATGAAAAAAAAAAAAAAAAGTGGGGGCTGGGAAGGTGGCTCAGTGGTAGAGCGCTGGCTTCGCATGCATGAGGCCCTGGGTTCGATTCCTCAGCACCACATAAGCAGAAAAAGCCAGAAGTGGCGCTTTGGCTCAAGTGGTAGAGCGCTAGCCTTGAGCCGAAGAGCTGAGGGACAGCGCCCAGGCCCAGAGTTCAGGCCCCACGACCAACAAAAAAAAAAAAGTGGAATATTTTGCAAGTGTCTAGCAGAGAAATGGAAAAGCTTGTGAGAGGAAAAGGGAGGGTTAGGAGACAAAGCAGGATGAGATGTGAACGGCGGGTATGCACAGGAGCGCAGCTAGATGCTGGATGAGAAGTCCGCTGGTCTGGGGACGGCAGGGAAGGAAGTCCAGGTATGTGTGCACTGATCTCAGCTGCTTTTTGTGATACTAAACCACTCTAAGTACTTTTGTTGGTGGTGGTGGTAGTCATGAGACTTGAACACAGGGCCTGGGTGCTATCCCTGAACTCTTTTTGCTCAAGGCTAGTGTTCTACCTCTACCATTTTGAGCCACAGCTCCCCTTCCAGTTTTCTGGTGGTTAATTGGAGATAAATGTCATAGACTTTCCTGCCCAGGCTGGCTTCAAACCATGATCCCCAGATCTCAGTCTCCTGAGTAGCTAGGATTGCAGGCATCAGCCATCGGCACCCAGCTGTTTAAGTACTTTTTAAAGGTTATGCCATAATGGTGAAGCATTTGCCAAGCCTCCGTGAGACACTGGGCAAAATCCCCAGCACCATTTAATAAATAAATAAATAAATATTTTATTTATCAATAAATAATGCTTTATAACTAATCATAAGTATATTATTCTAGGGCAGATATCGACTTCACTTAATAACTTTGTCCCTAGTGATTTTTTCACCCATTTTCACTCTTTGCTTAAGCAATGTGTTCAAATAATTTTGTGAGTATGTTAATAAACTAAAATGACCAGCACATATGAAATCACAGTGACTAACTGGCTTTTCTCAGATCATCTCAAATCTCAGCACTGCAAAGTAGCCACTGAAGAGTGTGTGGTGATTTACATTCTTCACCATGTTTTAGTGCCCAGGGAAGGTTAGAGCAAATAGAAAAGTAACAGCACTTATATTAACATACTCCTTAGGTGTTAATCTCTTAATCTTCTTTTAACATAAATGTATTCCTTCTCCTCTAGGCCTTTGTCAACCTCGTGTGCCTGGAGTTGTGGGGGCTGAGCCATTCTCAGCTAAGTTGCGATACACAGGCCCTGAAGACTCAGACTTTGCAAACCTGATCAAACTCACAGTCACGATGCCACACATTGACGGTAGGGATCTAGACTGAGCAAGTCAGTTGGAAGGGTTTTGGGTTCCTCGTCACCTGATTTATTTCACTCGGCCTCTTCTAAATGTCCAAGCCTAAATAGTGTTGAATTTGTAACATGGACTTCAAGTCTTTTATCTTTCATTTCTGTCAGTATTGAGAAGTCTAACAATGTAATCATTCTTTAAAATTAAGCAAGCTTGGCCAGGTATTGGTAACTGATACCTATAATCCTAGCTGCTCAAGAGACTGAGATCTGAGGATCACAGTTTGAAGCTAGCTTAGGCAGGAAAGTCTTTAAGACTCTTATCTTCAATTAACCATCAGAAAGCCAGAACTAAGCTGGGTGATGGTAGCTCATACCTGCAATCCTAGCTACTAGGAGGCTCAGATCTGAGGATCCTAGTTCAAAGCCAGCCAAGGTAGGAAAGTCCATGAGACTCTTATCGCCAATAAACTACTTAGAAAAAGCTGGAAGTGGTGCTGTGGCTCAAGTGGTAGAGCACTAGCCTTGAGCACAGTGCTCAGGCTCTGGGTTCAAGCCCCAGGGCTGGCACAAAAAAAAAAAAAAAAAAAACAAGCAAGAACTAAAGGCCTTGAATTTGAGCCCCAGTACAAACATAAATAAATAATAAATAAGCCTGGGAAAGATCCAATACAATGAGACAGGATTGTGTTAATGCGCTCCCTCCCCTATAGGCATGCTCCCTGTGATCTCCACTCGAGAGCTCTCCAACTTCGAGCTGATCCTTAGCCCTGATGGGACGAGAGTTGGGAACCACAAGTGCTCCAACCTCCTGGACTACACAGAGGTGAAGACCCACCACGGTTTCCTCACGGAGGCCACCAAAAACCCCGAAGTCATCGGAGAGACCTATCCTTACCAGTACAGCTCTCCCATCCGAGGCTCCAACACCTTACGCTTCTACCGAAACTTGAACCTGGAGGCCTGCCTGTGGGAGTTTGTCAGCTACTATGACATGTCAGAGCTCCTCACTGACTGCGGAGGCACCATCGGGACTGATGGCCAGGTACACATTTACAGCCTGTGAGCTCTCATCACTGGATAAATCTGTTCTGTCAATAGATTTGTACTTTTTCTTACTAATGATTTCGGTTCAGTTTATGTTCAGTGATACAAGACTTTAGTCACAAGTAGAACCCAATAATTGGATGGAAGGTGAGAAAAATCTTTGTCTATTGCTAGAACTATGCATCAAAATACAGGTATTCTATAGACAGTAACATTCTCTTTATGTCAGAAGTCAGTGTATCATCATTGGCCTTAAGGCCAAATCTACTCTGACATCTAAAAATTCTTAGGTGCTGGGGACTCATACCTTTTACCCTAGCTGTTTAAGAGGCTGTGATCTAGAGGCTTGAGTTTCAAAGCTAGTAGGGGCAGCAAAGTCCAAAATACCTACCAAAGAATAAGGCTGAACTGTATCTTGGTTGGTAAAGCATCAACCAAGCCATCAAGTTGAACTATATGAAATCCTGTGTTCAAATTCTAGTTCCAACAAAAAGAAGAAATACATCCAAATAGTGATTTCTCTTCACAGTAAACATTAATTTGTGTATATTCATGAATAAATTAAATATTCTGTAAGCAAACTTACTCATTCAAGTGCTGAATGGTGTGCAGACTAAATCATGCCTTTTGAGATTTGGTCTAGATTCCTAATGGAACTGGCAGCTCCCAGCTTCATTCAGGCTATATCTCTAAAGTGTTAAAATATAACATACATGGTAGCAAGAGAAATTTGGTGAGAACAAGCTGCCCCAAATTATATACAGAAATCAGTGGACACTGTGGTCAGGAGGCATGATCTTAACAGCTTCTTTGGGGGATTTTGTTATTTTGTTTTGTTGTCATGAGACTTGAACTAAGAGCTTAGGTGCTATCCCTGAGTTCTTTTTTGCTCAAGGATAGCGCTCCACCACTTTGAGCCACAGCTCTACTTCTACTGTTCTGGTGGATAATTGGAAATAAGAGTCTCCTGGACTTTCCTGCCCAGGTTGGCTTTGAACCACAATCCTCAGATCTCAGCCTTTTGACTAACTAGGTTTACAGATGTGGGCCACCAGTGCCTGGCTTAACAGCCTCTTTTAAACGCAACAATAATAAACTCTATGCGGGTGGCTCATGGCTGTCTGTAATCCTAGCTACCCAGCTAGCTGAAATCTGAGGATCTCTGTTCAAAGCCAGCCCAGGCAGAAAAGTGCACAAGACAGTATCTCCAATTAACTACCAAAAAGCCGGAACTTGAGGTATAGTCAAATATTACAGTGCCAGCCTTGAGTGAAAAAGCTAAACAAAAACACAAGATACTACACACACACACACACACAAACACACACACAGAGGCACGCACACACATACACACACACACACACACACACACACACACACAGAGCAGCAATATTCAGTAACTTGCATGAATTAGAAAAAATTCCCAAGTAAAAACACAACGTAAAGACAGTGTGAATTTGGTCCTAGCTATGTACCTTGGCAAGTTGTGTTAAACTCTCATACATGAGAGCTATTCCAGAGCCTCATCTGCGCCCGTCTTTGCTACCTGGAAAACAAGGATACTATGAAAGAAAGATATCCTATCCTCAGAGTCAAAATAAAGACTGTTACTGAAGCTATCCCAGTGTTTCTCTTTATACATCAGTTACCTCTGCTTCCTGCCCCTCTTCCTCACAGAGCGTGGTCCCAGTCAACTGTGAACAATCACCATTCCCTTTCTGATTGCTCTACTCCTAGGGATTTGCTTAAGGCACTGAAACTATTCAGGTAAACCAAGGACAGAGTAGTAGGTCACATTCGTAGTTTAGTTGTTCCTTGTTGAAATCTCTTTTTCTTTCCCCCTGCCTTGTCTAATTTTTACTCAGAGACGTTTTCTGTTTTCTTCACACTATGGTGGCACTCTTTCGTCTTTCATATGTGATTCAGACAGCGTTTGCTAGTGAAAATCCCACACACACTTCCTTGAGCGTCATCTTGTCAAAGCTGTCTGGTTCTCCAATGTGTTATGGTCATTCCGAATGCAAAACTATGGTGTTAACTCCTCAGTCTAAAACCAACTATAAAATAATTACCTGCACTGACCCTGCTTTGCTAAATTCCAGTTCCTCCATTGAATTCTTTGAGGGTTTGTGTGTGTAGGATGTGTGTGTGTGTGTGTGTGTAAGAGAGAAAGAATGGGCATGCATGTGGGCCAGTACTAAATGGGACTTGAACTCAGAACCTCTCATTCTCACTTAGCTCTCTCTGCTAAAACCTGGCACTCTAACACTTGTGCTATAACTCCCCTTCCAGCTTGTTGCTGGAGAGATAAGAGTATCTCAGATTTGTCTGCCTAAACTGGCTTCAAACTTCTGTCTTCACTCAGATTTCGGCCTCCTGAATAGCTGGGATTATAGATGTGAGCCAGCAGCGTCTGGCTTTGAGTTTGGAGCTTTCTTTCTTATCAGGACCTCAATTAGTTAGAAAACTCATACCTCTGACTCTGTAGTTGAACTGTGAGTGGTTCTGCTGTGTTAGGTGGAAACAGGCAGCTCTAGGTTTCAACGAAGCTCCATATACCTGAGTCTGGTTCTATATAACACAGAGAATAAGGATACACACTGCGTGAGGCTGTCACATCATGAGATTCTTACCCCGTTTGTGCAATATTAAATTGATGGCCAGCATGTGATATGAATTCTCTCTGAGAGGATTTCTTTGGCTTGGGCAATATTGAAAGATATGTAAAAGTATAACCATGCAATCAGTATCACAGTGATGAGCACATTCAGTGTAACTCACTGAGACCACAGCACCTGCTTGTAACATTCTAAAACCCTCAGTGTAATATGTAAACAGTAGCACAAGCACATAAAATGAGGTGCTTATTCTCTTACAGGGAAAGAATAGAGATGACTATCTCATTTGTCCCTATGTTCTTCTTTGGGCTTAAACTTCTATTTTTTCTCCTATTGATATTCTCCCCTCAACACACTTTACATAGTATTGAAATATAGTAAAGGAGAAGTTAAAGATGCAGAAGAAAACTAATCATCTAAAGCTAATCCCTTACTTTTTCTCCATTGGTCTTGGGGTTCTAGAGAAGACAAGACGTAGTCATAGGAATAACAAAATCATCATCATCATCATCATCATAGCTAATATGCATTTAATGTTTACCATGCTTTCCTAAATACATAGCATCTTTTATGCAACTGGATAAAAACACTGTAAGTACCGCTTTAGTCCCCTTCCAGTCAGATCACTCCCATGTTCAGGGAGCTGGTCATGCTGTGTTCACACCTACATCATAATGCTTAGGGCATATCTAATCAAGTGTGTATGAAGAATGATTGTCACAGATGTGATTGCAAGAGTGACTAATGAAAGCCGATGCCAGTAGCTTACACCTGTAATCCTACTACTCAAAGGACTGAGATCTGAGGATTACAGTTCAAAGTCAGCCCAGGCAGGAAAGTCTGTGAGACTCTTATTAACCACCCCAAAAGTCCAGAAGTGAAGCTGTGGCTCATATGGTAGAATGCTAGCCTCGAGCAAAAAGCTCAGGGATAATGCCCAAGCCTTGAATACAAGCTCCAGGACCAGCACACATACACACACACACACACACACACACACACACACACACACACACACACACACACACCACACATACACACGTGCCTAACGAGTGTTTCCCGCTGTTCTTATTATAATGCTGACCAGTAGCAACCATAAAAACAGGTGCCAGGGTACATCACACAGCCCCTACTAATAAAACAGTACAAATCCAGGTCCTTTCAAAGGCAATCTACAGCTTCAGTGTGCAGAGAGCTCAGCTTGGTTTTGATTTGATTTTTGTGTTTGAGTTTTTGTTGTTCTTGTTGTTGGGATTGGGGGAGGGGGGGCTGTCCGGTCGTGGGGCCTGGACTCTGGGCCTGGGTGTTGTCCCTCAGCTATTCAGCTCAAGGCTAGCGCTCTACCACTTGAGCCACAGCGCCACTTCCGGCTTTTTTTTTTCTGCTTATGTGGTGCTGAAGAATCGAACCCAGGGCCTCAAGCATGCAAGGCAAGCGCTCTACCACTGAGCCACCTTCTCAGCCCTGTTGTTGGGATTTTTTTGTTTTGTTTGTTTTGTTTTTCTGGTCTTGAGGCTTGAACTCAAGACTCAGGGCCTGGGTGCTATCCCTGAGCCTGAGCCTTTTCTGCTCAAGACTAGCACTCTACCATTTGAGCCACAGCTCTGATTTTTTTTTTTTCTAAATTGGAGAGAAGAGTCTCACAGATTTTCTTGCTTCGGCTGGCTTTGACTGCGATGTCAGCCTCCTGAGTAGCTAGGATTACAGACATGAGCCACTGGTGACTTGCTTGCAGCTCAGTGCAAACCAATTTCTTGAGACAACATCTGAAGGAAAGCAAACTAAATGCATGGTAATTGGATTCCACTTTCCACCATCATGGGAATAATGTTTCAATGGCTTCTCTTCTCCTCTCGTTCTTCTCCCCTCTTTCCTTTTGGTCCCTTGGACGCCTCAAGTAAGCAGGACATACAGGTCTGTGTGCCCTCTGCGGTCCCTTCTCTCTTTTCATTCTTTCCTAGCACTGGCACTTTAGCATAAAGTAATCGTTGTGCAAACAACTTTTATTACCCTGTAATTGCTTCTGCCAGGAGCAGCATACTGAGGAACTGAGTTATTTTTGTTTCCTTATGTGGTCATTGTATTTACAGCTACCATGATGAAATATTGCCAAGTCCCTGCATTTTCATGAGGGTGAATAGAAATCTGTCTCTGACACACTCCGAGTTTTCTACTTTCCTTTAAGCTCCCAGTTTAGACTATTTAACACAGAAGAAACAGTTGCCAAAGAGAAGGGATCAGGTGGAAAAAAAATTGGGGATAATTGTCAGCAGCTAGGAAGTTTGATGATCATTTATGCAGTTTGACTACTGCTATCCTCAGCTGATATCTTGATTGTGTTTTCATTGGCCACTCCTTTGTACATTCACTCATTGAAGAAGCCGGCAGTGAACATTCCAGGGATATTCCCAGAGAACATTCCAGGGGACAATCAAGGATTGCAGACCAAATCTATACACTACCAAAGTAGAATTATAAGAGTCAGCTCTTCATTCTTATAAAACGTTAAGAATTTTACATGCCAAGGAAAAGAACCTTAAAGCTTCCATAGAGAAATTTGGCTAAAATAGTTTTCAATCATTTGCTTCTAAAATATAAAAACAATTGAATAATTAAACTAAAAAGAATGGAAAGACTAATGTAATAATTTAATTAAAAATAATTTAAATGAAGGAATCTATATGTACCTGGTGCTTTTATAAAAGTTAAATACAATGAAAAACCTGTTTCTTTCTTTTTTTGTCAGTTGTAGAGCTTGAACTCTGGGCCTAGGCACTGTCCCTGAGCTCTTCAGCTCAAGGCTAGTGTTGTACCACTTTGAGTCACAGTGCCACTTCTGATTTTTTGGTGGTTAACTGAAAATAAGAAGCTCACAGACTTTCCTGCCTAGGCTGACTTTGAACCATGATCCTCAGATCTCAGCCTCCTGAGCTGCTAGGGTTACAGGCGTGAGCCACCAGTGCCCAAATGAAAAATACTTTTGATGCAAAATGGCTAATAAAGTTAAACTAAGTTTTTTAAACCATTGGATGTTTAGTGAATTTTCTCTTGAAAGCCATTCTTTAAAAAAATAAAACACTGCACACCACACGACTCACACTTCTTCATCTTAACTATTCAGGAGGCTGGATCTGAGGGTTGAGGTGTGAAGCCAGCCCTGGCAGGAAAATCCATGGGACTCTTATCTCCAGTTAAACACTAAAAAGCCAGAAATATGGCTTTTTGTTAATGGCTCAAATGGCATAGCACCAATCTTGAAAGGAAAAGCTAGGCAAGAGCTCAAATTTCTGAGTTCAAGCCCAAGTATTGGCACCCAAAAGAAGGAAGAAGGGAGGGAGGGAGGGAGGGAGGAAGGAAGGAAGGAAGGAAGGAAGGAAGGAAGGAAGGAAGGAAGGAAGGAAGGAAGGAAGGAAGGAAGGAAGGAAGGAAGGAAGAAAAAGGAAGGAAGGAAGGAAGGAAGGAAGATCCTTATATCCAAAGTAAACAAAAACAAATAAAACAGAAAAAAACCTGGGCAAAGCCATGGCCCAAGTAGTGTGCCTGTGGAGCAAGCAAGCTAAGCAGTACATGCTTAATACTGACAAATAAAAGTCATTCGTTTTATATTTTAATAATTGCATTGCAAAGGAAAATTCCTAAATATGTTCGCTTGGTTAGGCAAACCATAGCTGACAAGCTATATTAATAAGCTATAGAAATTCAGTCTCAGTATTTGTACTTCTTTTTTCAATGCTGGGGCTTGAACTCAGGGTTTGATTGCTGTCTTTTAGACTTTTAATTCAAGGTTGGCTTACTACCACTGGAGTCATACCTCCCCTTCCAGTTTTGGGGGGATAATTGAAGGTGAATATCTTTCATGTGTGTCTGCTTAGGCTGGCTTCAACACAGATCTTCAGATCTCAGCCTCTTGGATAGCTTGGATTACAGGACAATAGTTCATATAATTTAAATTATTTGCTAACTCAGGTGTCTAAGTCCTTTTAGCCAGTTTATTTGGATGATTATCATATAACCTGACTAAAGCTTCCAAGAAGCAGGCTCTGTTTTCCTCTCATGAAAATAAGCCATAGTGTTTGCTTTGTTGTATTTTAGACCTATTTTGAGAGTTAAATGCAATAATTTTTATTAGGTGATCTATTAGGACTGTGCCATCTTTGTTTGGTATGTAGTGAGGTGTGAGAGAGAGAAGAAAAGATCAGAAACTAGGTTTTGGCAGAGCCCTGGGGAAGCATATGGAATTCTATAGAAAATTTACTGTATTTCTTTAATACTTAATTTTCTTATGTCTTTTTCTTTCTGTCCATCATGCAACCCGTAAGTCAGCCACTCACAAATATACACAAACATAGTTGCAAGAGTAAATGGTAATGTTAAATAACTTCTATTGGACCCTACACAGCGTCTGAAATTTGGTAGGTGCTTGACAAATAAATATTCATTTATCCTCCACTATTCCCAAACCATCTGTCAAATATCTTAAGAAGAAGAAGAGTATAAAATTCAAAGCAAGACACTTTGCTTTTTTCTTGAAACATTTTAAATGCTACATGTTGTTAGTGACTAGATTTAGTTCCAGATCTTTGCCCCTTGTCTCATCTCTCTGTATAATTAAAAATAGCTCATAGTAGCATTTAAAAAATAAGATCCAATAGTTGATGGGTCAAATGTTTATCTAGTAATGAGTGGATAAATGAAATGCAGCTCTGACACATGAAAATCAAAAGGAATGAGGCATGGATGGAAGCAGGCCACCTGCTGGAAATGCCTTAAAAACACACAAAGAGACACAGGGACTGCCTGATCCGCTTGTATGAAATGTTCAGATAAGCAAATTACATAGTCATACGAAGTAGGATAGAAGTTGGCAGGGACTCTGGGGAGGAGGAAATGGTGAGGGACTGCAAATGAGCACAGGGTTCTTTGGGAGTGATGAAAACATCCTTAAATTGTATTGATTGTATTCATGGAAGCTTGGCTTCTTGACTATACTAAAACTACTGAATTAATTATACAGTAATATATACTAGAAGATATACTGTGTAAGTATCCTCTGTAGAAAATGTGTATCTTAAGAATTGCTGTGCACCTCTCTGTGATGGAGGTAGTTATGAACAATAATTTAATAGATCCAAAAATGAAGCGAGGAGGAAATAAGGTCATAGGATGTTTTCATTTTCTTGCCTTCCTGAGGATCTGAAATCTTCAGTGAAGTGAGAGGCGGTTTTGAGTAGCTTGGACAACAAGAGGCTCATTTGGTTTAACTCTGAATGGTGTTGATGGGGATCATTTTTGTTGTCGTAGGTCCTCAACTTGGTACAGTCCTATGTGACCCTTCGAGTTCCTCTGTATGTTTCCTACGTGTTCCATTCCCCAGTTGGGGTTGGAGGCTGGCAGCATTTTGACTTGAAGTCAGAGCTTCGTTTGACTTTTGTGTACGACACTGCCATCTTGTGGAATGATGGCATTGGCAGCCCACCAGAAGCTGAACTCCAGGGTGAGTTGACTTAGAAAACTAGCTTTCTCATCTATTTGCATTACTTGCAAGGATTTTTTTTTAATTGTAAAACATATATTATAAAATATGTAACTATGAAATCAGTAAATTACACTCTTACTTTCGTCGTGAGAAAACTCTTGTTTGATAAGATCATAGTAATATCTCGAATTCTGCCAAAAAACACATTTTTTTGAATTGTTAAATCTTCCTTGTTGCCTGGCACCTGTGACTCACCTCTGTAATCCTAACTACTGAGGAGGCTGAGATCTGAGGATTGAGGTTTCCCTGGAAGGAAAGTCTGTGATTTACCTCCAATTAACTAGCAAAAGATAGAAGAGGAGCTGTGGCTCAGGTGGTAGAGTGTCAACCTTGAGCAAAAAAAAAAAAAAAAAAAGCTAAAGAAGCATGCCTAGGCCTTAAGTTCAAGCCCTAGTATAGGAACACACGTACTAAAAATATGTCCCTTGCTATATATTGTAGATATGTTACTCTTATTCTTGTCTTAGGTGATAAATCCCTTATATACTACAAACACAATCAACATATTTCCCTAGGAAGTTCCAGCTGAAAATAAGAATCACTTGCAAGGGGGAAAAAGAATTGATTACAAGGGAAGAAGTTATATATCTTTTTCTTGTAAAAAAAAAAAAAAAAAACAAGAAACGCATTATAATATCCAGAATGAATTATGTCCAGAACAAGTTCTGACTTACCCTACAATTATTTGTGCATACGGTGTAACATTTCTGGAACTTAAGTTCTCATTTTATGTTCAACTCTCCTATTACCCTTTAGCCCATCTGGTTCCATCTATAGTTACATATCAAGCCAGCATGATATTTTACTAGCCTAAAAGAAAGCACAGTTGACAGCGCATCTCCAATATAAATCTACAACCTGAAGCAGGTTAAATTTACCTTAGAGCTGTGGGAGAAGTAGCTTCAAGATTCCTTCTAGATCACTTTGTGTTTGCATTCCACATCTGGCCTTAAAAGATGAATATTGGTGAACCTTACTTGGTATCTCTAACTGTGGTCCTCTTATCTCTGGGGCCAAATTTTGTCTTGGGAAAGTATCTGAATTTTCTTGAAGGTCATAAAATTGTCACTCCCTTTCCATGCTCAAATAGCTACAGATGTGGTGGGGAGGGTTGGTTGAGGGGGGTGTTTGCTGGTACTAGGGTTTGAATTTAGAGTCTGGGCACTGTTCCTTAGTTTTTTCACTCACTTCTGGTCCTTTACTACTTGAGACACATCTGAATTTCCAACTTTGTAGTGTTTAATTAGAGATAGGAGTCTCTTGTACTTTCCTGTCCAGGTTGGCTTTGAACCTTAATTCTCAGAGCTCAGATCTCCTTTAAGTAGCTAGCGTTACATGAATAAGCCACCAGCTCCCAACTAAATCCACTACCATTTTGACAAGTTTAATTGTCTTGTCTCTCAGATTCATTTTGGCAGACAAAAAGTTTTTTTTTAAGTCACTTAGTGTATTGTCATCATCTATGTATTTCATAGTGTTATGGCTCATATTACCTAATTTGCCTCTCTCTAGATGTCTTTCCTCCTTAGAGGAAACAAAGAAACTTCTGCCTCTTTTATTATTCAGATTTCTCCTGAAAGACAAAGATGTCTAGAATGGGTAAAGATGGGAGAAATCACTAACTTTGGGGAAGGATTTATCTATTTGAAGTCGCTAGACTCTGACGTCTCTGCTTTTGTTCCCCATTGTAGGTTCTCTCTATCCAACCAGTATGCGCATTGGTGAAGAGGGTCGTCTGGCTGTGAACTTCAAGACAGAGGCTCAGTTCCATGGCTTGTTTGTGCTGTCACATCCAGGTAAAGCTCATTCCCCACACAACAAACATTCCATATTCACTCAGATTTCAACAAATGAATTTCACACATGCAGCTAGCTCCTCCTTGGGCTTGCAAATCACTTTTCAGCCTCTCAGGAGCTGCAAAATTATCCTATGGAGGCTTTTGGAGAAAATGCCAAAAACACTGACTCTGTGCAAAAAAGGAAAGTCGTACTGAGTAGTGTTCCTCAGAAAGAGCACATAGGAATAGCAGTCCCTTTCTCTGCTTTGTTTCCATTGTTGCGTTTCAGGTGTTTCTCTGTTCCCTGCTCTTTGCTTGGTACTGTGAGAATCCTTTCTAATAGTCAGAAGTAGGCACTTGACTTCCCCGCTCAAGTTTCACATGGCTTAACCAGCTACATTTATTAAGAATTGGCCAGGGAATTGAACTCCCCAGGGTGAACTGTGTTTGAATATGAATAAAGCACCCACCCGTGTGTGTTGGTCTGAATTAGCAAGAACATTTCACTAGAAATAATTTCTTTTCATTTGATTTTCCCTATTACCATATTGTTTTTGTCTGTTTTATTTCTGTGCCAACTCCTGTCAAATGGGAAAGGCAACACAGTCCACTTACCCACACCAACGCCTCCCTTTTTCATGGCATGAGCTCTAACAAAGGAGAAAATGGAGTAGAATATTCAAGAGCAACAAAGAGGATTCATGGTATTTTTGTGAGATTGAGCCTCAGGAACAAAACCCAAAAAGAATCACTTTGCTTTATGGTAATTGGCGATGCTGGTATCAAGAATTTCCTGGTCTTTATGGTCCTTTCCACATCTCCACCTTTCTAATACACTGGATCTTTGTTTAGCCCTGATTACAGGCAATCTAATTATAATTAAGAGTCCATTCAGAAATTGGGTTTGTCCAGATGTGCGGATGTGAGGATGGAAGTGACCTATTTTAAGTTTGGCTCTTAGCTTGGGTGTACAATTAATGCATTCTCCCCAGCCTGGTTGCCCTTTGCTGACTCCTGGAAAGTAGCCCTGAGCCATTCGAGTATTTCTGTACAATTACCTATTGATGGATTACAGGGCAGAAAAGTTTCTAATGTGCGAATCCAAGGTCACACATCCTCTCTGTATGACCTTGAGAGAGAGAGCTACACAGTCACTCATAGCCCAGTTTCTTTACTTGCACATTGAGGACATTTACACCAACAACCTTGCTTACTCTGCACATTGTTTATTAGAATAGAAGCAAGTTGTACGGGATATGGTGCTTTGACAATGCTAAATTGTGGCATACTTTTCCAACCTAAGCACTTTACAGTGTTATCTGGGACATTTATTTTTTTCCTAGCGTCCTTCACAAGTTCAATGATCATGTCAGCTGACCATCCAGGCCTGACCTTTTCCCTCCGCCTCATAAGGAGTGAACCAACCTATAACCAGCCTGTACAGCAATGGAGCTTTGTCTCTGACTTTGCAGTAAGTGACTAAGACCTACTCAGTTTTGCTTTTCTGCTGATTTCAGATTGCACAGACTTTTCAAAGGAAAATCCAGAAATGGCTATATAAATCTATAAATGTCTTCTCTCTTCTCCAAAGGTACGTGACTACTCAGGAACCTACACTGTGAAGCTGGTGCCGTGCACCACACCATCCAATCAGGAGTACCACCTGCCAGTCACCTGCAACCCCAGAGAGCCTGTCACCTTTGACCTTGACATTCGATTCCAACAGGTATGCTGCAGAGCATCTGTGACCTCCACTTTTAGAACCTAATTTTGTTGGAATCAAGGTTTACTTTGACTGGTAATTTTTCTCCACATACCGAGTTTAATTCTCATATGCTGAGAAATAGGGAAGCAATTAGGATGAAGACATTATTTTCCATCTGTCACTACTTCTGGGTATATAATTCATAGTTCAAGTTCATATATGAGTTATTTATTTATTTATTTATTTATTTATTCATTTATTTTTGGTCAGTCGTGCTTGAACTCTGGGCCTGGGCGCTGTCCCTCAGCTCTTCAGCTCAAGGCTAGTGCTGTACCACTTGAGCTACAGCACCACTTCCAGTTTTCTATTGGTTTATTAGGGATAAGAGTTCATGGACTTTCCTGCCTGGGCTGGCTTTGAACCGTGCTCCTCAGATCTCAGCCTCCTGAGTTGCTAGGGTTGCAGGCATGAACCACCGGTGCCCAGCTACATGAGTTATTTATCCTTTATCTGATTTCCACTTTTCTCCTCCTGCAGTTTGCTACCTTAGAGATGGGGGAAAAATTTCCCTAGCTCCTCTGTACTTCCCCATCTTGGTTTCAGTCTTAAAGGCGAATGAATATCTTGTAGCTCATTCTACCTCAAAGTACCTACATTTCCACAAACTATTAAAAGATGTATGTTAGCAACTTTTTTTGGTGATACTAAGGTTTTGAATTCAGGGCCTTGTGCTTTCTAGGCAAGGACTCTACCACTTGAGTCACACTCCTAGCCCTTTTTTGCTTCAGTTGTTTTTGTTTTTGTCAGTCATGGGGCTTGAACTTTGGTGCTGTCCCTGAGCTCTTCAGCTCAAGTTGAGCACTCTACCACTTGAGCCACAGCACCACTTCTGGTTTTCTGGTGGTTAATTGGAGATAAGAGTCTCATAGAGTTTCTTTGCACAGGTTGTCTTTGAACCGTGATCCTCAGATCTCAGCCTCCTGAGTAACTAGGATTACAGGCATGAGCCACCAGCGCCCAACTTGCTTCAGTTATTTTTAATAGGGTCTTGAGTTTATGACCCAGGCCAGTCTGGACCGTGCTCCTCCTATTTATGTTCCCTCACATAGCTGGGAATGACAGATTCACACCACCATGTGCAGTTTTGTTTGTTTTTGGTTTCTATTTATGAGCTAATATGGGAGTGTCACCATATTTGGGGGATGGGAAGCCTGGAATTGGCCTTAAACTGATACTTTTCTTTTCATATCTCCACCTCCTAAGTAGCTAGAATCTCCAGAGTGGTCCATGCCCCACGCTGTGATGACAACTTTTGTCTAAGAAATTATACTAAGAGTTGACCTTCTACTGGGCATGAAATTTATCAGTCCTTGATAATCACCCAATAGATGGAAATAGAATGCTCCTCATGCCTTAAAAAAATTCTTTTTTAACTCCACCATTCTTACCTTCTCCAGAAGGAGTGGTTGGCTTGGCTGACCATGGAAATTTCAATGCACTCTTCAGCATTGAACCTGGCCGTATTCCATGAATACACGTGCCTACTAACACCCAGGTGTGCACATATGCATGTGAGAACCACTAACATTACATAAAGGGCTTTCACCCTTGGTTTTAGGTCAGTGATCCCGTGGCAGCAGAATTCAGCCTGAACACCCACATGTACCTGCTCTCCAAGAAGAGTCTCTGGTTGTCAGATGGCTCCATGGGATTTGGGCAAGAGAGTGACGTTGCTTTTGCAGAAGGTATCACGAGAACAGGAAGGCAGCTCTGCTGGTCCTGTGCATCTGTGGTTTGGGATAGTTTGCTTTGTTAGGAAGGTTGGGTGGGGACAAGAATTGCCTCTTTCACACTTCTGAGAAGTCACTGGAACTGGCTATATGTTACTGAGTGGATTTCTGGGGAATTTACTATTTCCATTATCTGAGTGACTTTTGGAACCAATCTGAGGTTGCTTTTCTTGATTTTTTTCTATTTTGTTAGACTAAACTGCAGCTACAGGAGACTATAAATGCCACCAGCACAAAGCTGTGTGTGCCTTTTCTGATGATGTTTATATCAAGCATGTAGCAAAATACCTGGCACATGTGAGGAGTTCAATGATAGCTGTGAAATGTTTTATTGAATGTCAAAGGCTTCATTAAAGTCATCTTTCAGAAGTAAATAGAATTAATTACAGACTTTTATTGGTGTTTATTTTTTCAGTGTTATTCTATATTTTATTAGTCTACATCTCCCTAGTTAAATCTCACTACAAACTAGACTTTAACCACAAAGGGGATTTTATGAATGCTAAATCACAGACCAGACTTTGAGATTATTCCCTCTGTGGCTGAACTTCTGAGGCTCTGTAGCGCTCATCAATCAGTTGTGATCAGTCTGCAGGGTGATCTTACCTGAGGCCTAGGAGAGGACCAGACTCTGGCCTTCTACATCTGACAACAGATTAGGAAACTATGTCTACGTTCTTGTTGTCATAAACTGTTTGTACTGTCTGTCAACCAAGAGAAATAACATTCCCATGTCTGTTTCAGGGGATGTAATTTATGGTCGTGTCATGGTAGATCCTGTCCAGAATCTAGGTGACTCCTTTTACTGCAGCATTGAGAAAGTATTCCTGTGCACGGGAGCTGATGGCTACGTGCCCAAGTATAGTCCAGCAAATGAAGAATACGGCTGCTTAGCAGATTCCCCTTCGCTCCTCTATAGATTTAAAATTGTGGTAAGTGCTTTGACCCAAGCAATAAACAGACTAAGCCTTTTTGTCAGACATTTCAAACAATAATATTTTTTTTAATTTAACCACATAGCAATACTTTTTTTTTTTGGCTGGGGGGCGGGGGGGGGGGCGGGCTTGAACTCTGGGCTTGGGCGCTGTCCCTGTGCTCTTCAGCTCCAGGCGAGCATTCTACCACTTGAGCCACAGCGCCACTTCCGGTTTTCTAGTGGTTTATTGGAGATAAGAGTCTCATGGACTTTCCTGCCCAGGCTGGCTTTGAACTGCGATCCTCAGATCTCAGCCTCTGAGTAGCTAGGATTACAGGTGTGAGCCACTGGTGTCCGGCTTAGCAATACTTTATGATAATCTATCCTTGACCAAAACGCATAGGAAAACATTCTATCCTGGCAAAAGTTAGCATTAACGTATAACAATCATCATTTTCCTTATTGCTTCAAGGACAAAGCCCAGCCAGAGACACAAGCCACCAGTTTTGGAAATGTGCTCTTTAATGCTAAACTGGCAGTAGATGATCCCGAAGCCATTCTCTTAGTGAATCAGCCTGGGTCCGATGGATTTAAAGTTGACTCAACGCCGCTGTTTCAAGTAAGTCCCAAACAAGCTTACTTATCACAGCCACATAGACATGTGCACATAACATTTCTGACAAGAGTAATTTGCTTTTCTTTTTTTAATACTTCTTTCCTATGGATGTGTGTGTGTGTGTGTGTGTGTGTGTGTGTGTGTGTGTGTGTGTGTGTGTGTATGAGCGAGTGCGTGTCTGTGCATGCCAGTTCTGGAGCCTGAACTCAAGGCTACTGGTTCTCACTTGGCTTTTTCACTCAAGGCTGGTACTCTACCATTCAAGCTATATCTCCACTTCCTCTCTGAAACTTTTAAGAAGATTTTTTTTCCTTGCAGTTGCAAGGCTTGCTCAAGGCTAGCGCTCTGCCACCTAAGCCAAAGAGCCACTTCTGGTTTTCTGGTGATTCATTGGAGATAAGAGTCTCACAGACTTTCCTGCCTGGGCTGGCTTTGAACCGTGATCCTCAGATCTCAGCTTCCTGAGTAGCTAGAATTCACAGGCATGAGCTACCAGTGCCCAGCAAAATACACTCTTTACCTAACTTATATAACTGTAACCCTTCTGTACATCACCTTTATAATAACAATAAAAATGTAAACTAGGTCTGGAGACATGGCCCAAGTGGTCGAGCACCAACCAAGCAAGCAAGCCTAATGAGCACAAGATCCTGAGTTCAAACCCCAATAACATCAAAAAGGAAAAAAAAAAGAATATTGAGTAAATTAGTTCTACAGATGAAATAATCACTTATCATGATTTCTACCATTAGGCTCTCTTATACATAGTCATGATTAAGATTGGCACATTTCCTAACAAGTAGTGTTGTATGTTTTCTAGGTCACTCTGGGCCGAGAATGGTACCTACACACAATCTATACAGTAAGATCAAAAGACAATACCCTCCGAGGGATTGGCAAAAGGAGTGTGGAGTACCAGTACCACTCGCTGGTGCGCCATGCAGATTCCCAGGCAACTTCAACGAGCAGGAAGAAGAGAGAGATCAGAAGCACACCCTCACTGGCCTGGGAAATTGGTGCTGAAAACAACCGAGGCACAAACATCCAGCATATCACCCTGGACCGCAGCACCAAGAGGCAAATCCCGCAAGGGAGAGTTCCTCCTGATGGCATCCTTCCCCGGGAGTTCAACAATCCTGGCTCTGACATCAGCTTGATCACTGCCTTGGGCGGCATTGCAGTGGGATTACTCACCGTGTGCCTCTCCATCATTGCAGCCATGGTGTGCCGGAGGAAGAAGAGCATCAGAGCAAAGGATGCTGCCAAGGGCTCTGGCAGCAGTGAGCCTATGATGTCCCCACAGAACCACCATGGTGACAGCTCAGAGGTGTGAATACCGCAGGTAGCATTCAACCTTTTTCCTAAGTGCCTCAGAAAACATGACACCAGAGCCCCCAGATAGATGGTAGAGAATTGGGGACTTCCATGATGAAGCTGCTCAGAGCACCTGCCTGTGCTAAAGTACTTGGGTTTATATGGTATCTATTCTCTTAAGCATGGAAAGACATTTTTGGACCACATCGTTCCTCTTGCCCAGAAGGCTTCCAAGATGTGGTCACACATAGACAGAACCATGAATGGGTGGTGAGGAGTTCACTTCCTGTTCTGGGTATGCTCTCTACACTGTGGAGACGATCTATTCAAAGGTGCTAACAGGCTCTCTGGGAAATCTGAGAGTCTATTGTGGCTATGTGTGAGTAAACTTTGAAGGTGCAATGATCACTTGTTCATTCATTGTATAACTGATTATTAGTAGAAATAGTTTTAACTGGTAGTCTGGAAGGGTGATGAACACACTGTTTATGATGACAAGTTTTCCACTCAGTGAAGACAGCATAGAAATATGACCAGGGCTTGCTCATCTTGGCTACTATTTAGGAGAGAGTGGAAAGAAAGATAGAAAGAAGGGAACTTCCTCACTTGGAATTGAATTTTGTTCTTTTCAGGCCCTCCTTCTTCTATTTGTTTATTTAATTTAAATTAAACCAAAGAATATGTTAATTCTGGCAAAGACTTTTTTTTTAAAAGCAAGAGTGCTCTGTTGGGATATGTAGAGCTCCTGGGTCATCATATGCCTCTTTGGTGCTAAATATTTGTGGGAAATAAGAGGATTGATGTTAGATTCACTCTTAAGACAATGTTCTCCAAGAACTGAGCCTAGATGTTTGCAGGTTTGAACCCATAAAGGATCATGAGAGAGACATCTTTACAGCTGGTGAAGACTGAAAATGGTATTTATGCATGTGGTTATGGATAACCAGAGTGCCTCTTACACATACTTTAAAAGAACATTTCGAAACATGACAGATGAGGTCAACCCTCACAGTCGCAGAGACACAGAATAACTCTAGAACCCACGTGGCCATAGGACATGTGATGAAATTCTAAACGGCACCCAGTCCAGACGGTGGTAGGATGTCCTAACTACAATTGTTCCACAAACAGATGAGGAGCTGCCTAGTGCCACTGGTAATGTGCTTCTTTGATCTAAGAAGAAAGCATCGCTCTGTGGTGTCTAGTTCAGAGCAACCCCTCTCCACATTTAAAAACAAAAAAAACCTGTAACTGCTTACTGTTCATTCTACAAAACCAAGGTACTGAAGTCCTCTTTCTGGATATTTACCTTCTGCAGAAATGTGTAGGGTTTTGTTTGTTCGTTTTTTAAGAAACTAGTTTGGAGAAGGAAATCAGTAGTTTAATGGCCAGTCTTCTGAAATCCAGACAGTGTATTTTAGACAAAAATAAGGTTAGAAGGAAAAGAATAATGCCTAAAGAATAACCTGCAAATGCTACCTGGTATTCTCTTCTACTTCAGCCATAATCTGGCCAAGTTTAGCCTCTTGGTACAATGGAAATTCAGGGAAGAAGACCTTCTTCTCAGGTCCTACCTGTGCTTCTTTATTTGGTGCCTGTGCATACCAGCCACTGGTTGGTTGGGAAAAGTAAGCTACACTAGTACTAGGGGAGAAGGGAAAATTGTCTAATACTTGCCTCCCTTCTTTTAGGAAGCTGTTTGCTTTACATTCAAAGTCATGTAAAGAGAAAGAAAGTAAACTGCAATGTGCTATTGGGGAATTTCTAAATTTCACCTACATCTCAAAGATTCTCCCCAAAAAGACTTACATAAATCGAAAGTACTGTATAGCCCAGGAGTTCATTTGTCAAAATAAGTTGTAATATCTTCTCAATTTTCTATCCCATTCTTTTGCTTTACCTTCTGGCAGATGCTTAGCTACATGTTTAGCTACCTCATAATTAACAGGAATGAAACAGCTTCACATAGTGCATAGACTTTTACTACTTAGTATGGAGTTCAATTTATGAAGATCTTTAGAGCAAATATTCTCAATCCATTTCCTGATATGGTAATACTTCTGAACCTGATTCTCATGCAGTCTTTGGGTCTCTGTCATTAAATAAAGCAATTAGTGACATATCGTTATAACAAATTTCTTTTAGCTGGGCTCATTAAAATACAAATTTTGCTCCACAATATATTTTTCTAATGAAATCACTGTCTTTGAGTTGAATAACATGTTAAATGTATTTTTCCACTCTAACTAAAAGAAATCTTTCTTTCTTTCTTTCTTTCTCCTTCCTTTTTTCTTTCTTTCCTTCCTTCCTTTTCTTTTCTTTCTTCCTTTCCCCCTCCCTCTTCCTCTCCTTCCCCCATTCTCCTTCTTTCTCCCTTTACGTCTCCCTTTTCTTCTCCTAATCTTTGCTCATCTCTCCTTTTTCTCTTTCTCCTGCTCTCTTCTTTCTTCCCTTCATCCTCTTGAAAAAATAAAGAGTCTATGCATCAGTATCTTGTGACCCAATCAAGGTCTTATTGATATTACATAGTACTATATAGTTGATATTACATGATAATACAAAAAACAATAAACAGTATCATTAGTGGCCCCTTTAACCATATAAACAAAAAAGCATAAAAATAAGTAAATTTTAGTAATCATCTCATTTTTGTTTATTCCTTCAGTTAACATATATTGAGTGTTCACCTAGATTTTATTAGCCCTTCTGGGAGATGACAAAAACAAAAGTACAGTCGTCGATCAGTCTGATCTAGCTCTTTCCAGGATAGCATGTCCAGATTTGTATTAAGATTCTCTTCCAGGCATATCTATGAGCTATTGAAAAGATTCTCTGGAGCACCAACATTAGATTACACTCTTTTTTTTTTTTTATCTAAAAACAAAACATTTATATAAGTCATTCTTATGACAGAGTGAAAAATATTCCAAGCCCACACTGAGGAAGTACATTGTGTGGCAGTAGGTGGCACTGTGTTTTCTGTTCCCCTTCACGCAGGACAAGCCCTCTGTATTCCAGGAGTGGGATGTAGCACATAAACTCTTCCGCTTTTAGCGTCAACACTGTCTCCTAAGGTCCACTCAAACCAAAGTCCAATGGTTGAATAATGTAAGTCTAGACCAACTAGAACCCTGCTAGAATCCAGCATTTGTTAAAAGGGCCTGCTGTAGGCTCAGTATGTTGGGATTTTATTCTATAAACAGTGAAAGACCTTTATCAAGTCATCTAAAGTTTACATGTTTTTCCAGGGTACCTCCTAGGTCATAAGAATGGAAATACATTAGTATAAAAGTTACAAGAAGCCTGTCCTCATCCCCATCAATGCTAGAACTATCTCCAGGATGAACCATGTGGAAGTAGCTATATTAGAGCTGAATGTAATGACATTAGTTGATTTTTTTTTGGTATGTATACGTGCTAGTTCTGGGGCTTGTATGCAGATCCTAGGTGCTTGCTTTCCCCAAGCATTTTTGCTCAAGGCTAGTGTTCTACCCACCATTTGTGTCACAGCTCCACTTTCCACTGTTTGGTGGTTATTTGGAGATAAGAGTCTCCTTGCTGGGGATCACTTTGAATAGTGAGCCTCAGATGTCAGCCTCCTGAATAGCTAGGATTGCAGGTGTTGGCCACTGGCGCCTGGCAAAAATTTTATTTTGGAAAGATTTACTTAATATTGACTTGGAAACCAAGCAGTCCTTTAATGGGAAAAAGAAAATATATTGTTAAAGATGCCAATATTTTACAAATTGGAAATTCTCCTAGTTGTATTATTTTGAAAATAAGCATGTGATAATTTTTGAAACTATTTTTTCTAGCCATTATGGGCCATAGGAAAAGGATGAAAATAAGTGCCTTTTCTAACTGTACACCAGATAAATGAGAATCATATGTTCAATGAGTCTGACTTTGCAGAGCGTGCAAACTTGTAATCTGGAAGAAAACTATACATAGTAATACTGTCTGTCTCTCTCTCACACTGTCACACACACAAACAAAGACATCTCATTTCTAGATAGCCCCTAAAGCCATAATTCTAGCGGAAATAGTTCGCATAATGAAGGGTCATTTGTGAAAACCTTTTCTCATGGGAGTCCTTATGACATTATTTCAAAGGTTAATGTATTCCCTTAAAGTATTCTCTCAAAATATTTGAAAAAAGGCTTGGAGGTGTAAGAAGTTATTCTGATTTTGATGAAAGGCTTTAATACAGAGCATAATTTTCTTTTACCAGCAAAAATATTATATAGAAATTGCCTAGAAGGAGATTACATAGACTTCATAGAGAAAGCTAATTTTCTCTCAGGCAGAGCACTATAAAGGAAAACATACCAGCCAAAATGACCCTTTCGATTTAATTTTATTGGGAAAAAAATCAGAATATTAAATTTGAGAACTTAAAACAACTTTGCTTTCTTCCTTTCCAATGTATTTGGTTTCTTTCTGTGCATGAATTTATTTCAACAAACGAAAACCATCTTGGCAATGATGTCTAATTTGACTTCTTCTGCCTCTCTCTCTCTGACTCCTCTGTTTTATTTTTGAACAAATACCAAAGTTTATTACAACACTATAATAGTAAAGACAATGTTATCACCACATTGTATGAAAGAAGACAAATACAAGAGTGAAACCAAAGAGTTCAAAATAGATGCACTCACATATAGTGATCTGATTTATACAGAACAACTTTACAGTGTTTTTCTTTAACTTAATTTTGCTTTCTCTGAGATGTGTTAATTCTTCCAGGACTGGTTTCCCTTTTCCTTGTGAAATTGTTACCATGTTTACTGTGTGGTCAGCATTTTCTTCTATCCAATGTGGAAAAGTCCACAAGTATGTGTGCAGTGTCCCTTCTTTATAAAATATTAAAGATTTGGAGATGAAATAAAAACTTGCTACCCAAAGATCAAAAATGTCATATAGAGTATTATGACAGCACGTTGTACCTTGATTTTTTTTTCTCTCAGTGGAAGGATAGATTTGACATATAGGATATAAAAACCCTTTAAGAATTTCATTCAGTGGGTCTAAAACCAAAGATTCATTCATTCATATATATTATATATATGGACATATATAATTTTTTTAGAGTAAGTGAATACTTTGCACTGAGACCAGTAGGCAAAAGAGATTAGTAGGTTGTCAACAGCACTGAAAAATGTTCAATTTATAATTACTAAATGTACAATGATCTTTTACAATGAGCCGGATAATGCCTTCACTTGTTTTACATGATCACTTAAACAATTCAGGTACATCTACAATGGAGTTTTACTTTTTTTCCCCAATGTTTGGGTCCACAAAAGAACTATCAGTATTATGCCTTAAAAAGAGAAAAAAATAATAATGCTTGTTTTTAAAAGCTAACAAAATTAAAGAACCTTTAATGAAAATTATTCTTAAAAATAAAATGGTAGTCATTGGTTAAACATAACAAGGCAAATATAATAAGGCAATTTCTATAAAGGCTAAGATAAAATATCGTTATAAAAAATAACCAATATGAGAGCCATTGCCTCTGCTGTTAAGAATTCAAATATTTGGCAAGATGACTTAAAAGCCCATTTGTGTATTAAAGAAACTTTACCTTGGACAAGGGGTTGTGTGTTTGATAATAATTACACATGCTTGCTTGCTTCCCAGGCTTTCTCTGTAATACTTAGTAAATTTACCTTAATAGTCACTGAATGATGTATCTCTATGTGTAATGGAATTACTTACAAAACTCATTAGCCTTTGTTATTTTCCCATGGGAATTCCCCACAAACTAACAGGGTCTCATTCTTTTATTCCATGTATTTACTAAGTTACTTCATATTTGCAGAATATCCAAGTTTATTCCTGGGGAATATAAGTATGGCAATCATTTAGAGCTGTTCAGTTGTAAACATATTCTAAAATAATTCTGTCATGTGTGTTGCTGAAGTACACCTGTCTTTCTTCAAAGTATGTCATGTATTTAGTATAAATAAAGCCCATATAAATGCAAGCATAATGCGTTCAAAGGGTCAACTTGTGATGACACATTCTTTATGTTTATTTAACCTGAAGTCTCAGAAATCTTTCAATCCGCAATGAACGGCAGTTAACTGGAGCTTTGAAATCATTCAGGCCTCTGGACTGAGACAGTGTTCCCATTTCCTCCCTGATACTAGTTCACCTGAGATGCCCACAACTGTAAAAGATAAAGATCCAGACTAAGGCCTGCCAGGGGCCATGTATATTTGCTGGTGACAGCACACTTGGGATGACATCTTTTGACCAAAGGAGTAGGTCAGTAGTCATTACTATCATTAGACAGTCCTCCCAACTTCATTGATGAGGAAGAATTGACAGCTAGGGTCTTTACTGCCAAGATGGATGGGTCACCCTGATGCAAACTTCACCTAACAATCATTTGATTTATCATGAAGTCAGATTTTTAACATGACACCAGTATCATTTGGCAACAAGAAGAGATGAACATACAACCTTATAAGAAAAGGGAAAAGCACAATGAAAAAGAAGGGAATGTAGAAGAAAAATCCTAGCCAGTCACTGGTGGCTCATGCCTATAATCCTAGCTACACAGAAGGCTGAGCTGTGAGGATGAACAGTCAATGCTGCCCACTGCACACAAATCTGAGAGAGTCTTCAGCAGAAAACTGGAAATGGAGATGTGGCTTATGTGGTAAAGCACTAACCAGTCTTAAGCAAACACAAAACAAAAAAGCCAAGAGCTCAGAGCTCTAGGCTCTGAGTTCAAGCCCCAGTACTAGCACTGAAAAAAAGAAAGAAGAAAAAGGAAAGAGAGGCTTTTCTTCCACTGTGCTTCCAGCTCTGCTCCTTAATCCCAACCCAATTTCTGCCTGCACCCTTAGCATTGTAAGCACTTTGAATCTGTTTGGGGATAAGAGTTAGAAGACAGAAGATAGAATTAGATAGAAGACCTATTAGGACATCTCCAGATATGGCTCGGATGTGGTTGGCACCCCAGAAAGTCATCATCCCCAATGTAGTGATGTTGAGAAGTAGTGAGGACTTACTGGAAGGAGTTTAAGTCATTGGAACTCCATCTCTGAAAGGTAAAACTGGTGTCAGTGAAGAGTCACAGGTCTTGCAGGAATAGATTAGTGTTCTCCAAAGTGGGTTGTAATAAGCAAGCATGACACATTCCCTTGGTATCTCTTCTGCACACCCCTGCCTTGTGTACTCTTCTATGTTATTCCGACCATTATATATGCATGTAGCCAGAAGGTCCTCAACAGAGACATAACATTTGTCACCATCCAATCATGGAATTCCAGTCTTCCAAACTGTGAGCTAAACCTCTTTTCATTATAAAGTACCCAGCTTTGGATACTGTCTTCTAGCAACAGAAAATGGACAAGACACCACAACATTTAGGAACACCTGCAACTAGAGTGGTAAAGATCAAATTTCAACAATTTTTGCCTCTTCTCTCATATCAACTAGTTGTGGAGTCAGAAAGGGTAAAAGAAGAAAAAGGAAGTGCTGAGTTCTGACTGAAACCAGGCTCAGGGCACAGCATGACAAAAGATGGTTAGCAGAAATCTAGAATGAAAGAGTTTGGGGACAACAAACATTGAAAACTTTTTGATTTTCCTTTTTCCATTTTTCAGTTTCCTTAATAGGTTCTCATTATAAAGCAAAGAAGAAAAGGTTCAAATATTCAATGGAGTCGAAAGGATTTTTAACTATTTGAAATACTAATCATGGTTCCTAGAGTAAATTTTTCTTCCATAATCTGCTAGCAAGTTTCTTTCGTTTTCAAGAGAATCACAGCTCCTGCTTGGCTTTTTCACTCAAGGTTGGTGCTCTACCACCTGAGATATACCTTTACTTCCCAAATTGTGCTTTTTTAATAAACCACCTATTGGTGTCTTTCATCCTAGCATTCCTAATGGACCAAAGCAGTATTAGTATCACCTCCAGGTCCAGCAACAAGAACGATGTCTTGGAGAATGGAAATTTCAAGCCCTGCATTGATACTCTAGTTTGGGACAACTCTAAGTCAGAATGGAAAATCACGGGGCTGGGAAAGTGGCTCAGTGGTAGAGTGCTTGCCTTGCATGCATGAGGCCCTGGGTTCGATTCCTAAGCACCACATAAGCAGAAAAGGCCGGAAGTAGCGCTGTGGCTCAAGTGGTAGAGTGCTAACCTTGAGCTGAAGAGCTGAGGGACAGCACCCAGGCCCAGAGTTCAGGCCCCATGACTGACCAAAAAAAAAAAAGAATGGAAAATCACTTGACACAGGTTATTTGCACTGACCTAATGATTGATGTAATGTTTTCGAGTTCTACGGCTGCATTATAAGTAGACTAAATATTTCTCTCTCCAAGAGAGATTGTCTACTGCCTCTCCTTTTGGCCTGTTCCTCTCTCTATTTAGGGGAAAATACCTTAGCCTTATTCTAGGGATGGGTGGAGGTCACTGCTCTGAATATCACCTTTGGCAGCCACATCACAAACAAACTCTGAACTTCCCTGACTGTTCTACACCCCTTGGTCCCTATGCGTACTTACTTTCCAAAGATCTGGTGTCAGCTTTTAGTAATATAATAAATAACCTATTGTAATATATGCTAAAGTTTAAATAAGTGGGGGGAGGGGGGAAATGGGACAATTTGAATCTCCTGAGGAGTTGTCAAACTGTATCTTCCACAAGCCCACAGATTTTTAATACAGTTCTTAGACCTCCAATCACAATCCCAAAGAATGGAAACAGGCTATGCACTGTTTTTGTTAGCGTTTTTCCTCTGTAGTTTTGGACGGTGGTGATGTGGAGAAAAGGTTGGACATTTGAAATGAGTCAGTGAGGGAAAGAATGTTTACCCCCATTTGAAAAGTTGCCAGCAAACTTATGTGCATTTTGAATGTGAATCCCAGAAGCCAAAAAAGGACTCACTGTCCATATCTGGAATAAAGGTAATTTTTTTAAGAAGGACCAGCAAAATGCCTTGTATATGCAGGGCATCCTTTCAGGTAGCTCTCAAGGCCTGAAGTGCCCTGGCCTGTGTTAAGTTTGTGCCATTGTCCTTACAAGGTAAAGCCACCAGTCACATGTCTAGTTGACATAGCTTTACAGTCTCCAACTATAGCTCATGTAGTGACCTATCTTAGGTGTCTCCCCATGACTGAAGTTGTCGAGTCCTGTTACAATGCAACTAATGTTCTCAGTCCATAAAGGGAAAGTGTGATTATCACTGGGTTAAGAATGAGTTAGTAAGCCTGGCCCCAGTGGCTCACGCCTGTAATCCTAGCTACTCAAGAGGCTGAGAGCTGAGCATCGCAGTTCAAAGATAGCCTGGGCCAGAAAGTCCGTGAGACTCATCTCCAATAAACCACTACAAAACTGGAAGTGGAACTGTAGCTCAAGTGGTAGAGCGCTCGCCTTGAGCTGAAGAGCGCAGGGACAGCGCCCAAGCCCAGAGTTCAAGCCCCATGACCCACAAAAAAAAAAAAAAAAAAAGAATGAGTTATTAAAAAAATCCAACATGAGCTGTAGATTGCCTTCAAATCATATCATTTCATGGAAATAAAATAGGTTGCAAACCCAGAGTTAGTGTATATTCCCCATTTTGCATTCATTCATGAAATGCATTGATGGCGTGTGTGTTTGTGCAAGAAGAGAACAGGGTGGTGACGTGGCAGAGATGTGGAATACGAGGGTGGCGAGGTTATGAGGGAGTGTGGAAAGGAGTGAGGAGTCAAGGGACCTGTGTGCCCATCTGGGCAGTCCTCAGAGTTTGGTGGTGAAAGCAAAAAGGCTTCCCCTCCTCCCACCTACCCCCCTCTCCCAGTCAAACTTAGTGACGTGTAAGCACAAGAGCAAGGATCCAGGTGGCAGTCAGAGCTGCTTTTTGTGGGTTTTGTTTGTTTTTTTTTTGTTTGTTTAGTTCTAATCCAACCTTCATTGGTTATGGGAACTTACACAAATCACTTCGTATTTTGGCATGACATTCTCCTCTTGAAGGATATTTCTTGGTTATCTATATAAAGGAAAGACTTCAGAGTAACACAGAGCAATTCAAAATACTAGCTGTAAAGGAAGTTTAGCCTAATTCTCAAAGCTGATCCTTTAAAAAAAAAATCAGTACTTTGGCCACCAAATAAACCCCCAACAAAGCGATTTTTTAAAATACATTCATTGCGGAAAGGGGTGACGTTGATCAAGATGCTTTGTATTCGTGAGCTGCTTTGTTCAACTCCTTTGTACAACTTCTTAAAGATAATAAAAATATAGTTAAAATAATAATATAATAAAATATAGTTAAACATAATATAAAATACATTCATATTCTAATACTCCTTTATTTGTAACAAATTAGTTGGGAGTGGATAGAGGGGAAAAACAATCCTTAACTATCAGAGACTCTAGGGAATAAGAGAGTGAAAGCATGAAATTCACAGGATGACTCCTATGGCTTCAGGAATGGAGCCTTTGTAAATATTCTCACTTGAAAGCACAGAAATTACTGAAACTTTGTGCCTTAGTAGATCCTGGCCCTCCCCTGTCCTGAGCTGAGGGCAGTTCCCTCCCCCTCCCCACTCCACGTGAAGCCTCAGCTGCTGTTTTATCTTACACATCACCCATCACGGTCAGCATTGAGAGGTTCTGTTGTGAGCTATAACAACAGAGCTATCCAACTCTTCTACAGGAGCTGTATCAAATAATTACTGTGGAATTGTAAAGCAATATGGAATACATATGAGACCCATTCTACTTTAAGAAGTATCTAGAATATTTCCTCAAAACAACTAAAAAAAGGTATTCTGAAATCTTAGTCACCCAATGTTTCTCTCCCCCACTGTGAAAAAGTTCTTGCTAAAAGTCAAGGGCCAAGTCCTTAACTAATTACCTACGAATATTGCAATGCTGATTATGTCTTTAAAATAATAGTACACAGTCCTCACTTTTGTAATTTTGACCCTATTATATTCTCTATCCTTGCTTTCCTCTGTTAACGCTATTGCAGTTGTTGGAGTTACAGTGGCTGGAATAGTGCTGGCATGTTCACACTACTAACTGCTAGCTTCTCCGTTGAGTACAAAGAACTCGCTAAGCAATGGTCTGGATAGAGGGAAAAACCTCAGACCTTGTTTTTACTGACTATCTTGTTGCTATCATAGCTGACACCACCTATGCCCTCCAGTATGTTCATGGGCAGAGGAAACACGATGGTGGAGTTCTTCTCTGTGGCCACAGTGGTTAAGGTCTGTAGGTAACGCAGCTGCAGAGCTATGGGGGATTCTGCCAGCACCATGGAGGCTGACTTCAGAGATTTAGAAGCATTCATTTCTCCCTCTGCTGCAAGGACCTAAAATGAAAGGAAAAATAGTTGGTAGTTGTGACTAGGGTGATCTTTTGCTGGGACCATGCTGGCGTTTCTCCTGCCAGTTCTCACTTGTCTGAACGGATTTCTTCTTTCCTTGGTTAAAATTAGAGTCTCACATCCTGTGGTGGAGCCAGGCACAATTGGCTCATACCTGTTATCCTAGCTACTCAGCAGGCTGAGATCTGAATGTCCTGGTTCAGAGCCATCCCAGTCAGGAAAGTTTGTGAGTCAGAAGTGGAGCTGTGACTCAAGTGGTAGAGCATTAGCCTTGAGCTTAGGGATAGCACCCAGGCCCTAAGTTCAAGCCCTAGGATAGGCAGGAGCGCATGAGCGCACGCGCGCACACACACACACACACACACACATACACACAGTCTGGTCACAGATAGCAAGATTATGCAATATTGAGAGAGGTATTTTGCAAGCTATATATTCCTGAATTCTATTTACAAACATAAATAAAAGCACCATCTTTGACAAAAGGAGACTTGGCCATCCACTCCAGCAATGATCTTGAAACTCTTTGCAGTCTTACTAACTGCTGCACTCATTTCCAGAAAAGTCTAAAGTTCAAGGGCTCCAACTGGCCTTTTTGCCGTTTTTACTTACCACAAAATACATTTATTTCATGATATTATTAAATTAGTCTCTCACCTCTAGATTACATGGGGTACTAGCCTGATGACTATCATTGGGATTCTTTTAGTTACTTACTCCCCATTTTTTTCTCAAAGAACAATTCAGCTGGGGCTCGCTGTCCATGTGAGCCCTGGTAACCAGATCTCTCCTTGGGAACTACAGGAAGTCAGCAGATAAGCCAGATAATGAATGAGGAAGAAGAGCAAATGAGACCTTCATCATACCTTAAGTACGATTCCAAAGAAGGTACATGGAGTTTTCTACTTTTGATTGGTTTCTGATACTTCTGGGACTCTATCCAAGTCTGAAGGTGATTGATTTAAGAACATCTGGGGGCTGATAATATGGCTTAGTGGTAGAGTGCTTGCCTTGCATGCATGAAGCCCTGGGTTTGATTCCTCAGTACCATATAAACAGAAAAAGCCAGACGTGGTGCTGTGGCTAAAGTGGTAGAATGCTAGCCTTGAGCAAAAGAAGCTCAGGGACAGTGCCCAGGCCCTGAGTTCAAACCCAGAAAAAGAGTTCAAACCCAAAAATAAGAAAGAGAGAGAGGGGAGGGAGAGGGAGAGGGAGGGATGAAGGGACAGAGGGAGGGAGGGAGAGAGGGAGGAAGGACACTTGGCTTAAGTTTTGTAATGTTAATCTGAGTATTTAGTTATTTCCTTTGAAATCAGTAATAATGTATTCAATGATGCTCGAAAGATTGGCACCAAGTTGGTTATATCCTAAAAATATTGGTACCTGGACCTATTCAAGACCTTGCCCCACTGTATCTGCAGTGTTCAATTCTCTAGGAGACTCTTGATATATAGCCAGTGTTGGGCTTCACACATGTCAATCATACTCTTGACCTGGTACCAATTACGTGTGTGTGTGTGTGTGTGTGTGTGTGTGTGTGTGTGTGTGTGTGTGTGTGTGTGTGTGTGTGTGTGTGTGTGTGTGTGCTGGTCCTGGGGCTTGAACTCAGAGCCTGGGCTCTGTCCCTGAGCTTTTGTGCTCAAGGCTAGCACTCAACCACTTGAGCCCCAGCTCCACTTTTTGGTAGTTAATTGGAGATAAGTGTTTCACAGGGCTTTACTGCCTGGCCTGGCTTTGAACTACAATCCTTAGTTCTCAGACTCCTAAGTAGTATCTTACCTCTCAACTTTAATCCATGGGAAATTATCAGCAAAATAACTGTAACAAGAAACTCCTTTTTTTTTTTTTTGTCCTTTCTTTTTGTGATACTGGGGACAGAACCCAAGATACTGCACTTGGTAGGCAAGAGCTTTACCACTGAGCTATACATCCCAGCTCATGAAACTATTGTAGCAGTACCTGATCTTCCATTCAAGGCCTACACTCCTCTGCTCCAACAGCAAGCAGCTCTCCCTCCCCGTGAGCTCTGGGCAGGCTTACCCTGGCTCTGGCCTCCCGGGTGGCTTCAGCCTCAGCCGCCATGGATCTCTGCAGCTGTACAGGAATCCGGACATCTTTGATTTCTACTCGGGCCACTCGGATTCCCCAGAGTTCGGTGGCATCATCGAGTAAGGTCTGTTCCCAAATTCAAAGAAAGGACATTGATCAGAAGAAAAGTGGTCAGATGTAAGTGTCTAGGGGAAAGCAAATCCTTTTCTGAACCTCTTGTTCACTTTTTGGAATTGAAATTAATCCCATGAGGGTTTCAGGGACAAATTTTTACAGGTCTGTTGGTGTTCTACCAAAAGGGCCACCCTACAATCATCCCCAAGTAACTACATGATGTCCATATGGATTTGAGCGGCTGCTTGCTGCTTGCTTGTCACTGATATCCACCAGACGGTGGTGCAAGCTTCTCAGACAGTCCTGGTTCTGATACTGCACGTGTAAACGACTGAGCCAACTTCTTAATAACCTCTCTGATTCTCATCTGTGAAAGATTCCTTCTCAAGATTGCCCTAAGATTAGAAGATAATACATATAAAACATCTGTCCAGGCCTAGCAGTGATTTGATGAATATTATTATTGGTACTTCTTGATGTATTATATTGTCTTCCTCTCGTCAGCCATCTGCCCTAGGACTAGTTTTAAACAAATAGAAAAAAAGTATGTATGTATATATGTATTATATGCTATATATACACACACAAATATACAAATATGTGTGTAAGATATTTCTAGAATATATTTTAGAGCATTTTAAAGCCACCTAACATCAAAGATATTCTTATCCTTTGTAAAATATACATACATTTTTTCTTTTGACAAGTATACATATATATGTGTATATATATTTGTATATATATATATATATATATTATATACATATATGTACCATGGAAGATATCTTGCTGGTTATCCTGGAGAAAGACGGACAAGGATACCTCAGGAAATAATGAGATCAGAGAGCAACTCCTCCTAGGAACAGGGCAGAGAACTCTACTCCCAAAGGGCAATTAAACATTTTCCTGTTTATCATTTTTACAGGACCCCAGGAGCTAGAGATACCTGGGTCCCGATTCTAGACAAGAAACATCTGAATTGCCAGCCTCCCAGTGTTAACCTTACTCATAAAATCTTAATGCCTTTGAACTACCTGAGGGACTATTCAACAGAGCACTAATGACCCATCTCATAGACTGCAGGATCAGAATCAAATTGTAAATGATTTAAGATATTATAAAACTGTATTGTTAACATCAATCTAGATGCATTGTATTCATAAGCTGCTTTGTTCAATGGTAACTCCTTTGTGCAACTACTTCAAGAGAATAAAAATATAATTAAAAGAAAATACAAAAATGTGATTTATAAACTAGGATGTACAAGCGATGAGTTCATAACTGCTACATCCTTGATGATTACCATTATTTTTCGTATGATTGATATTGGTAGTATGATAGAAAAATTGTCCAGACATGTCATTTTTTGCCGTCTTAAATGACTCTTCTAAATTTTTCACTCCAAAGAAACTAAATCTGAATTGTAACCTCTTTAGAAAAGGCTAAGTTTAGTTGGTTGATTCTTAATTTGGAATTAATAAAATAAAGAATAAAGGGCATAATTCCTAAGAGTTCTCTTTTCCCATGCAGATAGTTAAGTCTTTGTCTTTAAGTTCACTTTAACTAACTTTAAGTTCACTTTAACTAACTTTAAGTTCACTTCTCTAGAACTGCTGTGTGTATCTGTGTGTGTATGTATGTATGTGGATGAGTGCTTAGAACTGCAAGATCATTGAACTGAGTGAATAAAAAAAAAATGCCATCCTTGGTTCTTACCTGGATGCTGTGGGCAATCTCTTCCCGCCCAGCTAAGATCTGAGACAAGGTCTGTGTCCCTAAGACATTTCTCAGAGTGGTCTGTGCCAGCAGAAATGTGGCTTGGTGGACATCATGGACATTAGCCACAGCGGAGACAGCACTGTAGATTCTGTAATAGACGACTCCATCCACCTGTGTAGTCACGGAGTCTCTGGTGAGGATCTGTGGAGGAACAACAAGGTGAAATCATCAGTGGATGACTTTTACAACAATCATCAAAGGAACCCTCTCCACAGAGGGAGAGTACTGGTGACAACTCACACCAGCAGGCACCAGAACTCTGTCCTGGCTTGAGTGCAATGTCATCTTACTGGACAACACAAGACTCCTGAACTGATTTGATGACTGCAAACTTCATTACCTCACCTTGGAGAAGTTTTACATCACACAAACAGAAGTCCTTGATGGGATAGGGTGAGAACAGACACTTCCCACTTAGAATGTAATAGTAGAACTCTGATGGGACACTAATTTTCCCAATACCTGGGTTCCACTTGGTTTTCAGTGATCAGACTTGATGAGTGATGCTTCTTATGAAACACAGATGGTATCAGAGACCAGGTTCCATGGTCAAGTAAAGCCAGATGGATTTTGCTTTACAGAGAACCAGCATCATTTGTTCCCAATAATGTGATATGGTTTGGGGAGTGACGAAGACATTTCTGGGTAAATCACTGGAGCAGAACTTAGAAATACCCATGATAGATCTAGAAAATCCCTTGTCTCATTTGCTGAGACTTCTCAGGGCTCCTGTGAACTGGACAGAGTTCTGACAAACTCAGGGACTTGTGCTCCTATTTGGCATTTTTGCTAAAGGGTGTCCCTCTACTACTAGAGTTACACTTTTCACTTCCAACTTTTTAGTGGTTAATTGAAAAATAAGAGTTTCATGGGCTTTTCTTCTCAGGCTCTAGCTTTGAATCTCTCTCCTCAGATCTCAGCCTCCTGAGCAGCTAGGATTACAGGTGTGAGCCACCAGCCTCCAGCTTGACCATTTTGTCTCATTACCTTTGTTCTCTCCGCCCTTAGGTCCTACTCTCATTTTCTTTCTTTCTAGATCACTTTGGTTATGTATGATTATAGTAATACCATTCATCAAACCTGGTGCTCAATTATTGTTTGATCATTCATTCACAGTGTTTGCATATCCATCTCTATTTTGGCTTGACAGCCTCCATCCTAGGTCCTCTGCCCTTTCCCCCAAATCAGATGACCAGCTCAGGCCTGACCACAATTGTCCACCCCCTGCCCAAACTGCTCTATCTCTAGCCCCAGCTGTGCCAGCAAAATGCTGCTGCCACAGTCAGGAGATTCTGCCCCAGCCACATGCTATGTCTAGTGTTCAGCTTCAAGACTTGCTGCTTTCAGTCTCCCTGTGCTGCCTTTAGCTTCTCTATCACTATATAACCACTTGCCCTGCATAAGGAGAGGCTGCTACTCTCTATCTTGAGAGAGCATGCCTGCCAGCAGGCTTTTGCTGTATGTGACTATATGTTCGTGTGGTTTTCTCGGCTGGTGCTTTCATATAGCGTTCCAAGAATTAAAAAAGAAAGAATAGTAAAGTCAAAAGCAAAAGTAAGTCATGTAGGTGCTTCTAAAATGTCCTTTGAGAAGGAGATGGGAGAGTATCAGAATGTCCCACAGTTCACTGTCAAGATCAACTCAGTTCCTTCCTACAGTGACTTGTCTCTTCTAAGCACCTGTTTGTCCTGTCTTTCTCTAACCCATCTCTTTTCCCACTTTGCTCATCCCATATCGTCTAGAATTTCAGCCTATGTCCTTGGCCTCATCCTCATTTGGTAAAACAAAGCCTACTAGATTTGGAGCTACCTGGGGTAACTCAAGGGAGATTCATTTCATCCTCTGGCATGTAGTTTAAAGACATTGTAATATTTCTCTTCTAGTAACACATCTTTACTCTTTTACCTCTTGTGGAGGAATGTTGCAGGTAACTGTTCGGAGATCAACTTTGACAAATACATCTATGCAAGGCAGGACCAGGATTAAACCTATTGTTTTAAAAAAAGGAAAAGAAAATTGATCTAGAGTTTTACTTTTTGAAACTAATTACAACAAACCCTCCTGGCTGTATGTTACCTCATTTACATGGACCATTTATACTTCACAAATAATCTTCAAATGAGCACAGGAAAATGATTTCCTCCTATTAGTCACTGAAGAAAAATAATTACTTAGAAATCAATGCCTTCTGTTTAGGAGCTAAAGATTCTTGACTTATTTATTTCTTTTGCTGCTTTGGATGCTTGAACTCAGGGACTTGAGATCTCAATGGGTTTGCTTACTCATAACTGGTGTTCTACCACCTGAGTTGTGCCTCCAGCTCTGCTTTTTGCTGGATATTTCAGAGACAGAATTTAGCAAACATCATTTGGCCCAGGCTAACTTCAAATCACACCCCTCTCCTCTCAACCTCCTGAGTAGCTTGGATCACATGTTTGAGCCACTGACACCCCACATAACTTTTAATGTTTAAATTTCATTTTTACATAATCTCCTTCAATCTGTGTGTTTGTTTGGCATAGTTGAGTAATTGGATTTTTAATAAAGGTACTTATTTAAAAGATTCAGATGACAGACAGACATGAATTGGCAGTGACTGCTAACATTTGTAGCATCTTTATTAATGCTGACAGAAAAGTGGATAAAATATTTCCAGGATCTCAGATTTCCTGAAATCAATGCATTACAGAACTAACACCTCCTGCCTGTAGTCCCAGCACTCAGGAGGCTAAAGAACAAGAATTAAAGATTTTGAAGCCATATAGCAAGATCCTGTCTAAAAAAGAAAAGAAAAAAAAAAAGAAAAGAAAAAGATCTGGCTTGAGTTAAGTGGTGTTACTCAGCCAGAAAAACTTACTGTCTCTGGGTTGTGAAATATTGGAATTGGCCAGCGAAGAAAAAGCACAACAGAACTCCTTTGAGGACTCTGTAAATCTTCAGAATTACCCAGAAATACTTTTATTCCTTTACTGAAAGAGTTGAAAGGATTAGAACCACCAGGCATGTCAGCAAGAGAAGGCCACTAATCCATCTCTATTTCTCAGGGAAGTTTTGTCTTTGTTCTGTATTTGCTCTCAACAGTAAAAACACGTTTTTAACATATGTGAAGGGCCCGTGAAAAGCTTAGATGGAGACTATCACTGAAGTATTTTGGGGGAACAGGAGTCTAAACCTTTTTCAGTTGTGGTAGTAATTTTCTGTTCCAATTTTTACTTCCATTTGTGCTGCCATGTCATATTTATTATGATCATGGTCCTGAAACCTAGCAAGAGTTAAATCTTAGCCCTGTCATTGTCTAGCCTTGTGACCAGGAAACATTCACCTAATTTTCCAGAGCTTTGTTTGCATATGTGTGTGTGTGTGTAGATACACATACACACACACACACACACACACACACACACACACACACACACACACACACATATACACAGTAGAAGTAAAGATTAACATGCTAAAATGATCCAACATGCTACTAAAATATAGTGATACACATTGATAAATACATCTTAACTTCCACAAATGGCAGCTCTTATTATTAATACCTTCATAATTAAAGAATAATTTGTTGCCAGGCACCAGTGGCTCACACCTTTAATCCTAGCTTCAAAGCCAGTGTAGGCAGGAAAGTCTATGAGATTCTTATCTCCAGTGAACCACCAGAAAACCAGAAGTGGCACTGTGGCTTAAGTGGTAGAGCACTCGCCTTGAGCGCAAGAGCTCAAGGACAGCACCCAAGCCCAGAGTTCAAGCCCACGACAAAAAATAAATAAATAAAAGGAATAATTTGCACCAGACGCTATTGGCTCATGTCTGTAATCCCAGCTACTTAGGAGGCTGAGATTTGAGGATCATAGTTCAAAGCCAGCCAAGACTCTTAGTCCCAATAAGCAGCAAAAAAAAAAAAAAAAATCAGAAGTAGAGGAGAGCTCAAGAGGCAAAGCATCAGCCTTGAGCAAAAAAGCTAAGTCATAACGCCCAGACCCTGAGGTCAAGCCCCTGTTATAGCACCGCACCCTCCCCAAAAAAAAAGAATTTACAGAAGTGGTTTTCCATTGGCAATGTGGCTGATTTCCCTTCCTCCTGTGAGTCTGAGGTAACTCCTCACCCCTGGAGAGAAGTATGACGAGGTTTGTCATCCTGGGCATTTACTAGTGAAATCTTCTGGGAAAATTCAGTTAAAAGATGTAAATTTTTTCCCCCAGAGTCTCCTTCTGCTTCTCTCAGAGCCAGTTTTATTTTAACTTATAATCTTAGTGCCACCAGATCAAATGTGACTGGGAGGGGATCTCTTTGTGTTATTATCCTTTGTTGGATGTGTCTGACATTTGTCTTGACAAACTGGTAAGAACATCCCTGGTAAGAATCCCTGCCTTCTTTTTCTCAGGTTTTGCATGACATTAGACATGTAAGATTATACTATTTGCTGAATGCTGATGGCTTATATCTGTAATCCTAGTTAGCTATTTAGATGGCAGAGATCTAGAGGAATATACTTCACAGCCAGCCCAGGAAGCAAAATTCACTAGACTCTATCCAAAATAATCAGTAAAAAGAAGAGCCAGCAGAGAGACAAACTGTAAGTGTTTTCCCTCCTATGTGGAAGCTAGATCTAACAAAAAAAAACTGGACATGATCATTTATACAGGGCTGTAGACATTCACACACCAACCATCAGACTAAAGGAGGATACTCTTAGGGGAGGAACTCAAAAGCATAATTTTCCTGAACATCTAAAATAGTATTTATCAAAATATCTTCCAGGAAATGAAAATATGTGTTGTTGTTATTGTTACTGTTGTTTGATGTTTTTTGTCTTTTTAGGAAGGCCAAAATGGGGGCACAGAAACACAGTCATGGTATTCAATAGACACTATGAAAAAAAGGAACTATGTAACTTATGGGCAGGGATGGAAGGGAGGAACTGAGAGAAAGCGAAGGAAGGGGTGCCATTGTTCAAGAAGGATTGTCCTCATTATCTGACCTATGAGATCGTAACCCTCCCATACAACACCTTTATAATAACAATAAAATTATATTACTTTTTTTTTACACTGCAGAGCTGGAGGCATAGCTCCAGTGGAGCAACAGTAAAACAAATGTGTGCTCATTAGTGTAAAGCAGAGTCCTGCCAAGAAAATTTTAAGAAATTATCCTATCTGAAATGGTCAAGACAATACTTTTGAAACAGTCCAGATTATACTCTGTGAAATGATCCAGCTTCTATTTTGTAAATATCTGCTATGTATTCATCTATCCTATGTCTATCACATTAAATCATGTCTATCGTGGTTCATGACCACGTAAAAAGTACACAGAATGTCACATGCATAAAGACAGCTGAGTCCCCAGAAATCTTATAGTGCAGTGGAAGACAGAACAATTTTGCTAAAACAAACATTAGGAAGAGACAGAAAGCAAGCATTACCAGGGAAATACAGCTACTGAACATTGTTTTCCATGGGCCTAAGATGCTTTCAAGAATACTAGACTTAACCCATATGTGTTATGGTTTGAATATCAGGTATCCCCCAAAGGCCCCTGTATTGGAGACTTGGTTCTGCATATGATAGTTTTCAAAGATGGGTCTTTGGAGAAGTAATTGGATCGTGAGGACTCTCATATAATTAAAGGATTAATCCCTTGATGAATTATAATATGAAGATATTATTAGGAGGGAAGGCCTAGTTCAAGAAAGTGAATGACTGGAGTATGCCCAGGAAAGATAGAGTTTGTTCCTGACTCTTCCTCCTCCTTCCTTCTTTCTCCTTCCTTCTCCTTCTTCCTCCTCCTTCCTCCTCTTCCTCCTCCTCCTTCCTCTATCTTTCCTTCTCCATCTCTCTCTCTGTCTCTCTGTCTTTCTCTCTCTGACTCTCTGTTTTCCTAGCTGCCATGAGATGAGGAGCTCTGTTACATCATGCCATCTCTACTTTCATGTCCTGTCTTACTTTAGACCCAAAACAACGAAGTCAGCTAAACATAGACTGAAACTTCTAAACTATGTGTCAAAATAAACCTTTCTTCCTTTTCCATTGCTTAGATGGGGGTGCTTTTTATAATAATTAGAAACAAACAGAATATAGAATTGTCATTTTTTAATCAAAACACACATGAGGAATTTCTTATGCTTCAACTAAGAGAGGTTGTATTACATCATGTTTTTTTCTAAAGTTTACCACCTGATACCTCTATTCTCACCCCATGCCCCTTAAAAGATTATTTTTGCCTCATGAATAGTTTGAAATACTTTTTTACATCCATTGCTGTACAGATGGAAAGAAATGTTACAGTAGGTGTTAGAAGCTCGTCTGTATGCCATTCATAAAGATTGTTCTAGATCAATCATCAAACTTAACATTGGTTTCAGATTCTTTTCAAAACTAAGGAATTAAACAAAAGAAGTTGTGCAATGGCTTGCATCTCTATCAATCTACTTGCCAGGAGAAGAAACTACATTTTGCTTGTTTACTAGCTCCTTCTGAAGAGTGAGAATTAGAAACCAGCTCCTTTTGTTTGTTTTGTAACAGTATTGAGGCTTGAATTCAGACACTAGGTGCTGTCCCTTAGCTTTTTTTTTTCTTTGCCAGTCCTGGTGCTTGAACTCAGGGCCTATGCACTGTCCCTGAGCTTCTTTTGCTCAAGGTAGCACTCTACCACTTGAGCTACAGTACCACTTTCAGTTTCTTCTGTTTATGTGGTACTGAGGAATTGAACCCAGGGCTTCATGCATGCTAGACAAGCACTCTACCACTAAACCACATTCCCAACCAGCTTTTTTTTGTTTGTTTTTTTTTGTTTTTGCTTGAGACTGGTACTCTATCATTTGAGCCACATCTCTACTTCCTGTTCTTTGCTACTAAATGGAGAGTAAGGGTCTCACAGATGTTTTTTGCCTGGACTGGCTTTGAACTGTGATCATCAGAACTCAGCCTCCTGAGTAGCAAGGATCACAGGCGCGAGCCACTGGCATGGAGCTAAACCAACTCCTTGAATAGCCTCCACAGATAACTTAATGTTGTGCCTTGACAATTTGCTCAGTCCCTTCATTCTCTTGCTGTATTCTCAGTGGCAGTGGTTGCAAGTGACATCCAGCAATGAGACTGCCTTGTTATGTTCACCCACTGACATAATAGAGAAAACAGGGCAGTATCTTTCAACTGCACAGAAAGGTGAGAGCTCCAGCTTCCTGTGTTTTTGACTCCCAATAGATGCCTCTAGGAAGACTATCAGTGGTGGTCTAGTAACAGGTACCCATGGTGTGTAACAGGGTTATACACAGTACCTTACCTGGTCCCTTGGCTTTACCAGCTTGGATGCGCCCCAGTCGGAATACAACAGCCCGTTCATATTCCTTAATGATCTAAGAGATTAAGGGAGAACATTTTAGTCTTAATGGCTTATCAGCTCATATGGAGAGCCCCATTTTACTTCCCCGGAGAATTACCTTCACGCACATCCATATGGAGATGGGAAAGGTAATGATCACTAACAGCAAAGAAAGCAAAAATAGAATCCAGCCACACACGCCAAGCTGGTTTTTGTTGATTCCTAGGAAGTAAAAAAGAAACAAACCGGTAATCCATGTGACTCTTAGAAAATCCATGCAGCTGCACACGGGTGGCTCATGCCTTTAATTCTAGCTACTCAGGAGGCTGAGATCTGTTTCATGTTTTGAAACAGCCCAGGTAGGAAAAATCCACAAGACTCTTATCTCCAATTTACTACTGAAATCACGGGGAAGTAATGCTATGGTTCAAGTAGCGCTGTGGTTCAAATAGTAGAGTGCTAGTCTTGAGCACAAGAGCTCAGGAAAGCACTTGGACCCTGAGTTCAAGCCCTAGGACAGCACAAACAATAGAAAGAGAGAGACAGAGAGAGAGAGTGAGGAAGAGAGGGAAAGAGAGGGATGGAGGGATGGTGGGAAGGGAGGAGGGAGGGAGGAAGGCAGAAAGGCAGGAAGGCAGAAAGGGAGGGAGAAAGAGAGGGAGAGAGGGAGAGAGGGAGAGAGGGAGAGAGGGAGAGAGGGAGAGGGGGAGGAAAGGAAAATCCATTTGCCTGCACAGGCCACTGTTTAGAGCTGGCCAAGCCTGATGTGACTGAAGAGGAAACTTAACTACTTCCACATGTTAGAAAGCAGCTAACATCCATGCACACATCAACATCTATGTACACTTGGGCACACACATATACACTCCCGGTGCACATTTTTTTAGGCTTTCAGAAATTTAAATTGACTCCTCCCTTCTAAGTAATGTCTCTTAGTAATGAACGTATAGAGTTGATGTAGTTTATTATTCTCAAAGCAAAGAAACCCATGCTTCATAGAATGAGATCCATCCATCACACCAGAACCATGGGCTCCATGGACTTTTCAGATGAAACTCAAAATAACCTCTAAGGTAGGAAGGTATGTATGGTTATCCTCAGTGGGGGTTGGGGGAAAACCAGTTGGAAGAGACCTTAGGTAGGAGTTTCCATGTGTGCTCTCTCAACCTTCAGCCTTAGGGCTTTATACAAATCCCCACTAAACTTGTCTGGTCTGCATTTCCTCATTGGCTAGATCTATAGAAGCTATTGACCTTGAAAGATTTCATGAAGAGTAAGTAAGACTATTTTTATATGGTCCCTGACTCATGCAGTAATATCTATCTTAGTAAAACTGTATTACTACTATTATTAATGTTTTACAGATGGATAGGAAAGTTGCCATGGACTTGGCAACTTTGATGTGTGACACGACTTTGTTGGAATTGGCTCATTCTATTCAATGACTTTTTGTGAACCATACATTAGGGTATCAGTGACATTTTGGCTTAATAAATATTGTCTTGTAGCCTGGCAGCGGTAGCTCATGACTGCAATCCCAGCTACCCAGTGTAAGACATGAGAAGCCAGCAACCCATATAGGCTCAGGCTTTATTGGGGGACCCACCTGCCAGGCTGTTCCAAGCAGGAATGGAGGCAGTACTACCAAATTCAAGAGAGAGACACAGAGAGAGAGAGAGAGAGAGAGAGAGAGAGAGAGAAAAGAGAGAGAGAGAGAGAGAGAGAAATTGAACTGCTCCTAGTACATTTACAAGACAAAGAAAGTTACCCAGATGGCTGGGAAGCTTATGCCTGTGTCTGCCACACAGGCCTGGCAGGCACAGGGTTGAAGGTTGACAGAGGGAGAGACAGACAGACAGATGACAAACAGACAGACAGACGGAAGGAAGAGCAAGGAGAACAAAGAAAGTCTAAACATATAAAACCTCTAGGACCATTTAACATTGCATTAGCAGAAATTGCCCAGGCCTCAGCGTATTGTAATATGGAGCAAATAATTTTAGGAAATATCAGAACCAAAGAAATATTAATATTTAAAAGCACTTTAGTTTGATAGAAGACTTTTTCTCATAGTCCAATACTCCACAGCTCCATTTCTGGCTTTTACTAGTTGGTTGGACATAATAAGCTAACATAGCCAGGTACTGATTGCTCACATACCTGTAATCCTCATTACTCAGGAGGCTAAGATCTAAGAGTTGAGGTTTGAAGCCAGCCATGGCAGGAAAGTCCAATGAGATTCTTATCTCCAATTAACCACCAAAAAGCTGGGAGTGGAGTTGTGTGACTCAAGTGGTAGAGTGCTAGCCTTGAGGGGAAAAACAAACAAACAAACAAACAACCTCAGCCACAGCACCCAGGGCCTGAGTTCAAGCCCCAGGACCAGCACAAAAAGAAGAGTCTCACATACATCTTCCAAGAGTTGCACCTGAGCACTGCAACTGCCAAAGTCACTGCTGCTGAGAGCACTGGGGGGGAGGGAGGGCAGGGGGGGAACCTCTGAGTATCATTTAGCTTCTTGGTAAAGCAAGACCCCATAAGCCACTTTCCAAGCTTCCCTTTTCCCGGCAGGCCCAGTTCAGCCTGAAGGGCTCTCGGGGTCCAGCAGGAGATGGCATAGCACTGGTTTCACATTTCTGAAGAAGCTAATCCCTTCAAGCGGCCTTTCTCCGAGCTTGCTCCAACAGCTAAAGCCAGGTGCTGGATTTGGGATTAATCATCTGACTGATAGTAAATGCTGGGACAGTGTCACAAAAGGCCTTCAGAAATTCCCACACTGCCCTCATGTCAATCGACACAAGGCTTCTGCCTTTATTGAGCTGATGAGAGGGGGGAAAAAATCAAACCTGGATCACATCTAGTCAATGGATTCAAGACCACAGACAGGTCCTGGTGGCTCACATCTGTAATCCTAGCTACTATGGAGACTGAGATCTGAAGAACGCAGTTCAAGTCAGTGAGACTCTTGTCTCCAGTTAACTGACAAAAAAAAAGCTGGAAGTAGAGCTGTGGCTCAAGTGGTAGAGAGACAGCTTTGAAAAGCTCAGACCCAAGGGTAAACAAAGGAGGAGGCTGCAATGCTTGGTAAGAAATGTATGCATTATCCTGCCCATGTAATTGTAACCCCTCTGTACAGTGTGTTCTCAAATAAAATAAAATTAAATTAAAAAAAAAAAAAGAAAAGCTCAGACCCTCAGTTCCAGCCTCAGTACTGGGAAAGCAAGCAAGCAAGAAAGAGGTGGGGGGAGGAAGGGCAGGGAGGGAAGAGAGGAAAGAGAGAAAGAAAGGAAAGACAGAAGGAAAGGAGGGAAGAGAAAGAGACAGAGAAAGAAAAGAAAAGGAAGAAAAGAAGGAAAGATGGCAAGGAGAGAGGAAGGAAAGAAATTGATACAATTACCTGCAATACTATTTGGAAGCATATACTAAACTGAAACATATAACCTTACTCATAGTCACTGCTACTACCCCAGAGGAATGAGGGCCAATGACAATGAAAAGCATGTTTGAGAACATTTACTAAAATGGCCACTGAAATCCATGAACAGGAGAATAGATAAATAAGCTGTGATACATTTGTACAAGGGAATATTATCCAGTAAGAAAAAAATATAAAACTATCGCTTATATACAAAATAAAGATGAATTTTATAGTACAATACTGGTGAAATAAGGCAGATACGAGTTTTGCATACATTTTGACTCCATTTATAAGGTTTGTTATATGTCATGATTTATTCAAGAAGAGTGAACTAGTATATTTGAAGAGAAAGGAGTAGCCATCTCTGGGAAGTGAAGCTGTTGCTGGTTGGGGAATTAACTGGGAAGGACATGGTAGAGCCTGTTGGCATGTAGGATGTATGTGTCTGCAGGTTGATTACATAGACTTATATATACCGAGCCTGAGAAATAAACCTAGACCAACTGAATGAGAAAGACAAAGACTATTTTCAGTGCCTTCACTCTCAGAGATGCAAAGGCAGCCAGAGGTGTGGGGGAAACAGAGGTGGTTCGGGTGTGCCCTGGTGGGTGAGGGGAAGCTGTAAGCAGACTGTTGAGAAGGGGACTCTCCTTTCAGATTGGTTAGAGACATATCTGAAGTTCTCTGATTGGTCCTAAATTGGAAGTAGGGACAGAAATTAGGGCGGCTATTGGCAATTAATTAATGTAGGTCTTATTCTTACAGAAACTGTTTGCCTGCATTCCTGGATTGTCATTGAAGGCTAATCTGAATTAGACAACAGACAGGCTTTCTGAGCTGTTCATGAAAGATAATGGGTCAATATTCTGGGTGGGTTGATACAGGATTTGGTTCACAGTCACATGCATACATGTATGCATGTACATATGTGCACATACATATATGTACAAATACATATATGCATATGAATGTATTTGGTGTGTACATGTGTGTATTAATGCATGCATGCATGACCTGGATTTTTCCATTTGCCCATTCAGACTTCCAAGCCAAAGACTTGTGCTTGTATGTCATACTGCACTATATCATACTTCAATAGGTAATTCAAATAACTATCAGAGTATTTAAAATCAGGCTAGTCTCTAATAGTTTAGTGTTTGCTCTATATTCTCAGAAAGAAGAGGGTAGGAAACTTTCAGCATTACAGCCCATGGGCAGATAGGTGTGCAGATCAGGGAGGAAAAGAAGTTCAGCCCTGGGTCATTCGGCCACATTTTCTGACCCAGACACCTCCACTTCAAAGCCATGACATCTTGCAAGCCGTTCCACTAGCTTATGTCTTTTCCTCTGTGGTAGCACAACCACAATGACAACAACAGCTAGTTATCAAGATTAAATACAATAACATATGTGGGCTAGGCATGTTAGCACATGCCTGTAATTCTGGCTACTCGGGAGGTGAAGGCAGGAGGATCACAACTCAAAGCCAGCCTGGAGAAAAAGTTAGTGAGACCCAACGTCAGAAACAATGTGGGCATCGCGGCTCATGCTTATGGTTCTAGCTACTCAAGAGGCAGAGGAAAGAGAATTATATTCTGAAAGTGGTTCTAGAAAAGTCATCACAACAGTCTACCAGGGGGGTGGGGGTGGCAAAACTAAACTAAAAGCAAAAGGGTTGAGGATTTGGCTCAAGCAGTAATAGAACACTTTGAGTAGTCAGGATAAGATCCTAATTTTCAACACCTAGTATAAGGAAAAAAAGTATATATGTTCACACACGTATAGATACAGTAAAATAGTTAAAGGAGTTACTCCTATCGGATGCGATCCTCTAAGCCACTTGGGAACTGTCCAGAGTTTTTCTAGAGGCGAGCTTTGACCAAGACAATTTGAGAGCCTGAATGCACCTCTTCCTCACTCCAAGGCCCCTAACCAGCCTTTTCTTAGATCATGTTTCTGCATATTTAGAAAATCCTTTTCCTGATTTCACTTCCTGAAACTAAACAAGGACCTAGTAGCTGTCTTAGGAGTGAAATCATCAAAGGAGATGGGGGCCTGGCTTGAGTGGGGAACTTTCCCTAAGCTATCAGCTGTCTTCTGTCATACCTACATGAGCAGTATATCTGTAAAATATGTATGAGTGTGTGGACGCACGTGGGTGCATGCACACGCACACGCACGCGCACACACACACACACACACACACACACACACACACACACACACACACACACACTCGGCCAATGACCAACCCTTAAGGTTCTCCAGGAAGTTTTCTACTATCTCCACCACCCTTTACCATCCCTACCAACCTTTGTTGAGTGAAGTTGGTCCACACTTAGTTCTGGTATTTCTCCTTTATAGCTATGAATAAACTCTTGCTTGTTTGCTTAACTTTGTTCAATACCATCTTCTTCTGACAATTATGCATTTTATTTTATTTTACTGAGTAGGGTTTGTTTCATAAAGAATTGATTTTTTGCCAGGTGCTTGTGCATCACAATTGTAAGCCTAGCTACTCAAGAGGCTGAGATCTAAGGATTGTGGTGAAGGCCAGGCTAGGAAGGCAAGTTTGTGATACTCTTATCTCCAATGAACTACCAAAAAGCCCAAAGTGAGGCTGTGACTCCAATTGTAGATCATTATCCTAGAGCAAAGTATTTAAGTGGGTTAAAACAATCTCAGTGGATTTTAGTATGTTTGCAATATTGTGTGACCATCCCCAGTATCTAATTGCTGAGTAACTACCCATGTTGCTTAGTCTTCCTCCACTCTCCCTTTAGCACTTGGCCTAGACTTAGCAACATTTTCATTGGCTTGTTCTAAATCTTTATAGGATAGTGGCTCTTCTGTATGTGCAAGAACAAAATTTTCTATTTTATATAATAAAATCTTTAAATCCTGTGACATTGTTTTTAACCTGCAAAGATAATTTGGCCATTGGCATTGTGAGCTCTTTCAGATAACTTTTAGGCTCTTAAAGAAACCAGTAATGCCAACTCTTCGGTGCAGAATTGCTAATTCAAATATGATGGTGCATGGGAGGCTGAGACAGGATTCCAAGTTTAAGGTCAGCCTGGACTATATAGCAAGACTGTCCCAAACATGTAAAAGAAAAAAATCCTGATAATTTAGATATGAACAAGGACCTTATCATCTATGATAGTGTATGAGTACAATACTCTGACATCTCCTAAGAGTCTTTTGTTGCATTTTATTTTCTGCCAGCATTAGGGCTTGAACTCGGCATTTTTGCTCAAGGCATTCTACTCTACCACTTGAACCACAGCTCCACTTTTGGCTTTTTGTTGTTAAACTATAGATAAGTGTCTGATGGACTTCTCTGCCTGTGCTGATTTTGAATTGCAATCTTCAGATCTCAGCCTCCTGTATTAGCTAGGAGTATAGGCATGAACAACCAGGCCCAGCTTGTTTATAGTTCTCTGTCTTCCCTGACATTTTTTTAAAGCCCTTTGAACACAGATATTTAGTGTTTGTGTCTTGACTTCCTGATCCACAGCCCATGCCAAACGAATTAAATGAATGTTAGCTACACTTCTACCTCTTTTAAGAATCAGGATGATGCAGATCAACAGAAACAGACGCACAGACCTGTTTGAACATTCTGTTCTGTAAATAATGATCCATCAGAAGAGATTGTTTTCTCTCAGGAGACTCAATTAACCAGGAACTCATATGCCCTTGCGTTTTTCTCTTGTCTACTGTCCGCTCACCCCCACAACATCATTATGAGAAGAAAATAAAGAGATGTGTGTCCTTGCATCATTCTTTGTCCCACGGTCCCTAGGCTTCCCACCCCCTTTGTCTGAAATAACAGCACTCACTGTCAAAGACAAGTGCAGATACTTTGTCCAGGAGAGTTACACTTACACAATTTCCAGACAGCATCATTTATTTCAGTGCTTGAAACAAAAAAACAAAAATAAAAACAAAACCCACCTTGCAGTACAATGGAGGAATAATTAAGTGAACTGTGATTCACACACTCAAAACTGAAATATGCAACATTTTTTTTAAAGTGTACAAAAGCATGCATGAGAAGACCATTATGAACTGATTCTAAGAGGAACAAAAAGTAGTAGAGCTCGCTACATGCTGGTGGTTCATGCCTGTAATCCTAGCTATGCGGGAGGCTGAGATCTAAGGATTGAGGTTCAAAGCCAGCCTGGGCAAGAAAGTCCATGAGACATTTATCTCCGAAATCCACTAGAAAACTGGAAGTGGCACTGTGGCTCAAGTAGTAGAGCACTTGCCTTGAACTGAATGCCCAGGCTCAGAATTCAAGCCCCACGACCGCCAAACAAAAAAAAAGGAAGAAGAAAAATAAGTAATAGAGCTCGAAACTATTTGGCCAGTAGGATCTCAATTAGTACAAGTGAATATATAGAAAGAAAAATGTGGATGAAAATCAAAATATGAGTAATCATTGTTTCTGAGTAATCAAAACATGGTCATTCTGAGTTTCCTTCGTTTTTTAAATAGGTTTATAAATCTTAGTTTTCTTAACTTTAGATACATTTGTGATTTTAAGAAGTACCTTTAAAATTAAAAATATATCCAGTAAAAACTGTTCTGTGTGTTTTGGAGCAGGAAAAACTGCATGGGGAGAGGAACTGATGACTAACACCTGTAATCCTAGCTACTCATGAGCCTGAGATCTGAGAATCTATGTTCAAAGTCAGCTTGGACAGACAAATTTGAAAGATTCTGAAGTAAAACTGTGGCTCAAGAAGTAGAGTGCTAGCTTTGAGAGAAAGAGCCAAGCAGGAGTTAAACCCTAGCCCTGGTAATCACACACACACACACACACACACACACACACACACACACACACACACACAAAGAAAGAAGAAAACAAAGAAAGGAAGGAAGGAAGGGAGGAAGGAAAAAAAGGAAAGATAAAAAGGAATGCAAAGAATAATTAGTATATGTCTAGGATAATTTTATTAGATGAGCAGAAAAGCTCCAAAACTATGTACAAGGCTGGGAACATGGCTTAGTGGTAGAGTGCTTGCCTAGCATGCATGAAGCACTGTGTTCGATTCCTCAGTACCACATAAACAGAAAAAGCCAGAAGTGGTGCTGTGGCTCAAGTGGTAGAATGCTAGCCTTGAACATAGAGAGGCTCAGGGGCAGCGCTCAGGCCCCGAGTTCAAGCCCCAGGATTGGCAACACACACACACACACACACACACACACACACACACACACACACACACAAAACCTAACTATATACATATGACCATATAAAATGCTAAATGAAATGAACCCCAAGAAATGAACACAAGAAGTTTTTCTTTGTCATTGTTATTTTTAATGTACTATGTGATTATTTTTTGTTTCTTTTGTATGTTCTTCCCCCTATGGTATATCCCCTGTTGTCACTGTATTTGATTTTGGTACCCTGCATCTTGTATATACATTTTTCTAATTTGGGGAGGAGAAGGGGAAGGGGGGAGGGAGGAGTGGGAGACATGGCGGAGCGAAGGGCTAGTAGGAGAAAAACAAATGAAGGGGTAACAATGTTCAACAATAAACTCATTACCTTACTCATGTAACTGTAACCCCTCTGTACAGCATCTTTACAATAAAATAAAATTTAAAAAGGAACAATTACAAAAGGTTAAGTGATATTTCTAATTTATTTGAGACAGTACATTGTTTTTACACTTTAGAACTTATCAAAACCTTAAAGGGTTTGAAACTAATACCATATTTTTTTAATGTGTAGATTTATGGTGTGTTTCATTTTATGTCCTTAAAAAGGGTTGTTTTTAGCCCTAAGTGAGTAAGAAATTAAAATATCAAAAAAGAACAGCAAAGATAAGCAACCATTTTTATTTTAAAATATGGCAAAAGAGCAAGTTATAGACTACTCTTAGAAAGCAGATAAAACCAGAACAAGCAATTACTATAACCCAAAATTCAGGGGCTCGAAATGAAACCAGAGTCAGTTCCAGTAAAGGCATCTGATGCTTGCACTAGAGCTCTCTTCTGCCTTGCAAGAGAGGAAGAAAAGAACTTACCCACTAAATTCTCCTTATCCTGCTTCTCAGGGGAAGACGCCCCGGAATCCATCACATTCTTGAGAAGCTTTCAAACTTGGTGAACTGTCATGGGTTTGGCAAACCTGGGCTTGCAGGTGGCACCTCTGATGTGCTTTGGAGTGGGCTGGAGCCCAAGGATAGAGAGTGAGGGACACGCCTCTTTCATGAGCACCCAGAGGAGCAGTTACCCTGGTGAGGGAAGCCTGGCAACAGAAACAAAGTTTCTTTCATGAATTCACACTCTCATTGTTCATACAGAAACCTTCTGAGGTGACACCCCTGTGTATTTTTCCTGTAGCATGTATATATTGTACAATGTTTCCCTGCTCTTTGTGGACTATGTATACCAGTGGTGTATGCACACTGCAATGGGAGGTCTTTTGATACTCAAATCTAATCATGGTATCATCTTGCCTAAAATCATCTGAGACTGCTGATTATTAGGAAGGTAAAGACTAAAGTCCTAAGTGTCCCTGGAGGCTCTGTGAGTGGGTCCTTTCCTCCATTTCCATCCTCACTCACTGTCTCCTCACTGGCTCGCTTGTCCCTCAAAATTCGCATGTGCCCTCTGGTCTCAGGGTCTTTGCACATGCAATCATATGCGTAATGAATATTGGGCTTGTGTCTCTTATTTGCTCTAGATTAGGGGTTGACCAACTACAGCTCAGGTCTACCTTCTTCCTCCCCTTTCCTTTTCGCTTTATCTCTGTCTCTTTGTTTTTCAAAAGTGAACTGTAATTGGAATGCAGCTATGCACATTTGTCTCCCCGATGTCTGTGGCCACTTTTGCACACCTGCAGTGGAGTAGCTATGGCAGAGGCAGAGGATCACAAATATTATCTATGTTTTAGAAAAACTGGGCTGGCTCTGCCTTCAGCTGTACACTTTCACAAGAAGAGTGACTGGGTCTGGTATTCTTTACCTCCACATCTGCAGCAATTAGAGAAATGCAGACACGTGACTAATGTTCCACAGATACTTGTCCACTTGGAGAGGAAGCAATTTGTCAGTGATACCGACTCCAAAATGGCAAAGGCATCTTTTGAATCCAGAGCCTCAGCATCTTGGTTTCCTTCTTTCTTCTGAAATCAATGAGCATCGTGAGTTCATTCCAAGACTGAAAATGGTAGCTTTCTAATATTTGTCTTTCTCATCCCTTTCTGCATGAAAACAATATGAAACCATGTGTGGAAATGTAACGATGCAACCTCACCCCACTCCCCATATAACTAATGTAAGTTACTAAAAATAACAAAAAGGAAAGCTCTGACCTTCGGTCACATTGTCTTTTCCAACTTTTCCTCTCTCAACTATATAGCTATTTTCTTCCTATTAATTGTCTTCTTTTAAAAAAAAGCTCCCACCTTGTGGGGTAGTTTTCCCAACTCTTAATTGCGTTCTCCACAAACTCAAAAAGCAGCAGTAACTATAGCTGCCATATGCAGATTGTAATGACCTGAATGAATATGGGATTTAGGACTTTAGGGAAGGATACTGAGGGCCCAGAACAGACTCAGACTTAAGTGTGGGCATACACAAGGCCACTGTCTGTCTGCATGTTCCTTCTTCATCCTTGGTGATGTCTCCACATGATAAAATAATGGCATCATTACAGGGGTGGAGAAAGCAGGCTTTAAGCTCACACTGTCTCCATAGGAAGAAACCTTTGCTCTACCATGAACTAGTTATGTGACTGTGGGTAAGGTATTTAACATCTAGCTTTCTTTCCCTCCCTCCTTCCCTTCCTTCCTTCCTTTCTTTTCTTCTTCCTTTCTCCATGTGTACCATGGAGAAAATAGTTTCTACCAAACAGGCTTGTTTTTCTGTGTGAGAATCACCAAGTGTTACATGCAAAATATTCAGAATGATTGGCATTGGTCAATGGTGGCTTTCATCACGAATGGAAGTTGAACTATGTTTCTCACCACAACTCTGTGTCTTTCTCTTTGGGAACAGTGGGTTTTTAAATTTTTAAACAGTGGGTTACAGTGGTATCACATGAACATAAGACTGATTGGTGTTTCTGTAGGTCAGTCACCAGTCTTGAGTCCTTCCTTGAGGGCTACTCCAGTTACACATTTGAGGCCTGTGCTTGGCTCTGTATTGTTAACACCTAAATTCCACCTCTTTCTGCCTAACTCCAGCTTTCATTACCATGTCACACCCTTAACTCTGTGACCCTTTGGAGAGATCCACAGGAACATTTCTTGTTTCTATCATTTCGCTTTCTTAGGCTATTTTCAATCTTTGCTTGGAACTAGAAGCCCCTTTTTCTTTTAATCCAATGCTCCTCTGAGTCATGTAGAAAAGGCCCCAGTCCAGTTTGTTTCGAAACACATTCTCCCTTCAAATTGGCCAAATATCATTTGCGTGAGCTCTCCCAGGGAGGTGCAAGGTATAAAAACAAAAACAATCACAGCTCCCTGGGGAACTTGAGAGGAGCCCCAAGGTAATTGGCTTGGAAGATGACTTGGAAGATGACTAAGCAGCTGTTGTTCTTCTTCCTGAAAAAAAAAAAAAATGTCCCAAATGTTTCCCCTAGAAAGCAAAGACTTCAACAAGTAATGAGCACCTGCAAGGTGCTGTGGCCCCACAGAGGGATGCTGAGATGTAAAAAGTGAGCTCAAGTTCCTATTTCCTCCTTCCTCTTCCTTTGTCTAAAACTGTTAGATTTTAGTGAAATTCAGATTTCTAGTGAAGTTCTGATTCCTTTGGCCATGGAGCAGGATGGGAAATTGTTTCTGATCGGGATTGTTTTGTTGTTTCTACTCAGTCATGTTATCAATTTGCTGATAAAGCCCTACTACGAGGGCAGCTGCTTTGAAGTGCCCTAGTTCAATGCTCACTTGACAAGTGACATGTGGTCATCACCTTACACCTAACCCCGAACTAGAGACAATCCATTCTAGTCCTGAACCTTTCTCTTGTCCCAAGTGTATAGTTTTAGGTATTCTTTGGCTAGGTGTAACCCATTTTTTGCGAAGATAGACGAATCTGTTCTAGGATTTCCTTCCTTCTTTTTTTCTTTCCTTTCCTTTTTTTAATCTCTTCCTTTCTGTCTCCTATCTCTTTGTTTTGCTCAAGGCTGTGACTAGACCACTTGAGCCTCAGCTCCACTTCCAGCTTTTTTTTTTTCATAGCTTATTGGAGATAAGCATCTCATGAACATTTGCAAACCTCAGTTCTCAGAAGGCAACCTCCCCAGTAGCCAGGATTACAGGGGTGAACCACCAGTGCCCAACTGTTCCAGGACATTTCTTGATCCCACAGAGGTACATCCCCCCTTTCTGTGAAATTGTCCATTTCATTCACTCATCATTCATTGCACTTTGTTTAAAGTTCTCACTCAGTTCTTGAACTTCCACATTTTAAAACAACATACTTGAAATCTCATTCAGTATAGGAGTAACTCCCCAGCTCCTACCTTGTTCTCTCTGCAGAAAAATAAATGTTTTTTTCAATCCACTGAATAAACAGCTACCTGGATACACACAATTAAAATATGCTGCATAAAATATATTGAGTAAAAGGTTTTCTTATGGGCATTTAAAAAAATTTTTTTTGTTGCTAGTTTAGGTGTTGTACAGAGGGGTTACTTACATTAGTCAAGTAAAGAGTACATTTCTTCTTGGAAAATGTCACCTCTCCCAATTCCCCACCCCATCCCAGGGGGCCTGTTTTTGGTACAAATGACATATACAGTATGTTTTATATACATTTATTGTGTAAAAAAGCAACCACAAACATTTACCCAAGGAGAAAATTAGATACCACAGAAGCTACTTGATTAGTCTCTCTAGGTTCTCATCTCCACTTCTCCATAAAGACAATCTTATGGAGAAGACAATCTAAGTTTCATTAACCTCTTGCTTTTAGTTATCATATATGTTCAGTTTAGTCTTGCTATTTGTTTTTTGACCTATGTAAAAGTACTTCTCTGCCTATCAACCCATACTATCTTATTGAGGCTTATTCACACTGTTGCACGAAGCTATTGTCTATTTCTCAGTACTCCTCAATACATAATAGTGTCAATTGGTCCTGGTTTACCTAGTTATTTGGAGTACTTAAGAGTTTCTGTTACCAGAAATGCCATCATGAATGTTTTTTGTATAATTCTCCCAGTACATAAACATGCAAGCTTTTCTAGGCCTTAAAGCAATTTTGCAAAATTACCAAGAGTAATTTGTACCTTTAAGCCAATTGCTCTCACTTGTAATCCCAGCTGCTCAGGAATCCATCACCTGAGGCTCATGGTTTGAAACCAAAACTATCTTTCCCTATCAATTATGAGTTATCACCACTTTTTTTTTTTTTTGGGTCTGGTCATGGGGCCTGAACTCTGGGCCTGGGCGCTGTCCCTCAGCTCTTCAGCTCAAGGCTAGTGCTCTACCACTTGAGCCACAGCGCACTTCCGGCTTTTTTTCTTTTTGCTTACGTGGTGCTGAGGAATCAAACCCAGGGCTTCAGGAAAGCAAGGCAAGCACTCTACCACTGAGCTACCTTCCCAGCCCCTCACCACTGACTTTTAACCACTTGCTTTTTTTTTTCTTTTGGTGTTGGTCCTGGGCTCAGACTAGGGTCCTGGGTACTGTCCCTGAGCTTTTTTGCTCAATGATAGTGCTCTATTTCCACTTGTGGTTTCCAGTAGTTAAAGGTAATCTCATGGACTTTCCTGCCCAGGCTGGCTTTTAACCACAATCCTTACATCACAGCCTCCTGATTAGCTAGGATCACAGGCACAAACACTGATGCCAACCTTGCAATTTAGAGATATTTAAATAAAATAAAATCTCATTAGCTCTGATTTGGAATATTCAGCTTTCTAAAATGCACAATTAACTCATCTGGCAAACCAAGTTATCAATCTCAATTTTACAATTTTGTGTTTCTGCAATAATCATCCAGTCTCCCAGCCCAAAAGCTTCTACATTAGTCTGAATTTTCTAATTACTGAAAACTATTGACCAGAGCAAATTTTTAACTCCTTTAGCATGGCTGACAGCTTTTATTATACTCTGGGATGGTCTTCAACTTTAGATCCTCCTGATTCCAGCTCCCCAGCGCTGGTAGTATAGCCATTTGTCACTAGACCTGGCTCTATAAGATCTTCTGTCATTACATCTTTTTTGCTTCATTCAAATATATAACATGGCTATGCTATTTTGTCACCTTTTGTTCCTTTATAAAAATTATCTTAGTCAACCCTTTAAGACTTTAATGTCACTAAGAAATCTTTCAGGTTAGCAACAAAGGCCTTCCCCTGGACTCACCCATCCATGTTCCTTAACCACTCGGTAACAGCAGTGTGGTAATATATACTTCTCTGACATTTACCACTTACCTACTGTGTAACTCAGTGTGGCTTCTTCAAGCCAATTTGGTTAGGAATATTTACCCCACAGGGTTGTGAAAGATACATAAAATCACTCTGAAAAAAATCAGTGCAAGCGTTCCATAAATGTTTCCTTCAGTTTTTTGTAATCCTATGTCCAACTTGTGCAAGATAGCAAGAAGAAATGTAGAAGAGATAGCAAGAAAAAATGTAGAAGACAGGATATGGTTGCTTTGTGCACAGGAGAACAGAAACACACCTCTAGGTAACAGTATAGGGAACAGAGGCGATTCATTCAATAAAACAGAAACTTTAAAGTGTGATTAATGTAGAATTAAAAAGAACAAATGGTAACTTCTAGCAACTAAATGAGACAAACAGGTTATAGTCTGTTATATTCTGTGTTTGAAGACGGTAAGTATGTATCAGTTTCAAATATTATGGCTTTTATATAAAGATTTAAGGAAGTGGGCCATCAATAGTTTGCATTTCAACCAAATTCAGACAGGAAAAAACAATTATTAGCTCTAGTGAATAAAGCCAATTAAAAAAACCTATCTAAGCATTTAATAAAACGCATAAAATATTTCATATCCATAAAGTTTATTTTAAAAAATGTTAAAAACTATCTATACAGGAATATTTAATATACTTAAAAATGTTTGTTCCCCGTATTGAAGGAAAATACATTTGCAACATCTTCCAGACACCATCTTTATAAAAGTAAAACCTCTTGATGCTGAAATGTACTACAGTAGATTCTAGTTTATGCTTTTAAATCATAGGACTGGAATTCATTCTTCCTATGTCCCCCCTCCCCCAATGTGGCAGTTCTTAAATTAATGACATTCAATCATGATATACTACCACAGGTCCTTAGATAGCGTACACACTGCATATATACTGCGCAAGTCTTCTCTAGCTGCTGTCATGTAATTCTTTCAGATAAGCATTTGATTTTAAGTACAAAGAGAAATACTACATCCCATGATTGTAAACATTCACCGAGAGCTTCCAGAGCACAGTGAGTAATAGTGCAGCTGAGAGTCCATTAGCTGTTCCTCACTCATCTGGATACTGCTGAGATTAGAAATGTGCTGAAGGCCAACCTTGTCATAAAGCCTTCTTCACTTGTAACAAAGTAGTTACAAGTTTTAACAACTACTTTGTAGTTCTGGAATATACACCTGAAAGTCATTCTCAAGATGACATTAAGCACCATTTTCACTTACCTGAAATACAGAGTTAAATTCAGCAGTATGTGCCACCATTAATAGCAGAAAGGAAAAGAAACAGTGGGTCTTGAATCCCCTTTTGCAGATACATAGAGAGTACCAAGGTCCAACTGATACGAGCAGAAGCTGCTTGTGCATTTGATCAAGAGTACTACTTCCCCAGGGCTGCATGCAACCCATACATCTGAGGCACAACTATTACTTCTGTCAGTGGAGGCTACACAAGCGGATTTAAGGCTGTTTTCGGCTATAAAGAGTTCAGTCTCCTCTTTAATATTCTATCTAGATCACATACATGACTCAAAATTTTGTAGGATGGAAGTTAAAAACTCCCCAAATACTTTTTAAATACTGTTAATCCATACAATTTGCTAGTATAGTTATAATGGAGTGGGGAGTAATCACACTTAAAAGCATTATTTTTAAAAAATGCAACAGGAATTTTTCAACTCTTGTCCCAGCTTCCTAGGCCTATCTATCCTCATATTCTAACTTTTGGCCAATTTCACATTTGTCAGATTGTTCGCTGCAGTTCTCAAGTTGATCCCAAGAACAAGAAACATTTAGAGATGATCACTGCCATCCAGTCTGCGACAGACTTGGCTGCAAGGAAAAAGGTGTTCCAGGTGTGGAAGGGTAAGCAGGAAACCCCTCCGGCTGAGCTGGGTAGCTTTCCAGAGCAGAAGCTGAATGGACCTGGGAGAAAAAGAAAAAGAGCTTAGCAGAGCGCCAAATGCAATCAAGTCTTGACTTGCTTTGGCTGTTACACATATTCGTAAAATTAAGAAAAGGCCAAACTTTTAAGGAAGGAAAGTCTGTTTCTAGCAGACTTTCTAGCATTTTAGGAAATGTTTAAACTTCTTCAGGTAGAGGAGAGGCATGGAAGTGTCACTAAAATACTACCTATTCTTGCAAATAGGTTCTTTTTAGTAGAAGACAAGTTGTCAGACATAAGAATCCATTTTATTCAGATCTTCAATTGGAGATTTAAAAAAAATCTCTTTGGTGGCGAAAAAAAATTCACATAGGGTTTATCTAAGCCTTTGTTAATCTTCTGGAAGAAGGCAAGCACAACTTGCAAATTTGGGGGAAACTAATTGATCTTGAAATCCCCAGAAAGAAGAGCAGATTCTTGCCACTATTGGTGTGATCGCTACTGAGGTTACCTGTGTGTGCTACCTTTCTATTCAGGCTGGCTTTGCCACTTACCTGCTGCAACAATGCTGACTGGGCAGCCGCACTGTGCTGTAATTCCTGCAGGGATGACTGTGGAGCACTCTGGGAAAACCCAGGGATGCCTGGGAGGGACAGAAGGCCTGGAAAAACAGAACTGCCAGCAGCCTGAAGTCCGGATGATAAACTAAAGGAATAGATACAAAATAGGTCAAATTGCAGATCAGACAGAGAAGCTGCTTTCTACCTGTCAAGAAGTATCTTAAGATGTTATAAACAAAACAGAATTTCTTCCTCTGTTGTAAGAAACCAGAAATGCTAGCCACTCAGGATGTAATATTAATGAAATAGCCTCTATAATAAATTCAACATAGTGTTATCATGTGTCATACTGTCTGTTACTTTGTAAGCAGCAGTTAACAGCACATATAAATACTAAAACTTTCCTAACAAGTATTAATATTAACACAAAGAATCAGAAAACATTTTTGGGCACTTGGAAACGTAATTTTTTTGGCCCAGAAAAAAAACATAATTCAGGATCACCAAATAATGACATTTTGACTTTTGTTTCCCTAAAATATGATCAATCTAAAGTTTACGTTAAAAAATGATTTGAGTCAGTTTGCAAAGTATTCACGTACCCAGCTTGTGCAACAAGAGCAGAGTTGAAATTAGAACTAAACGCTGAGGCGAACCCTGGCAGGACAGGAGCTGGTGATGGGGCTGTGGCAGCCACAGGCAGGGGCGTGACAGCAGCCACTGTGGAGGGCGCCTGAAGCCCCGGGAACGAAGGGACCGCAGGGGTCACACTCGGGGTATTTGAGACAGAAAAGCCAGGGTAGGAGGGGTTTGCAGGGGGAAGAGGACCCTGGGTGACTGGGAAGAGCGAGGGCATGGCAGTGGGCAGGGTGAGGGGGAAAGGTGCTGCCGAGGCGGGAGCTGAGGCGGAGAGCCCTGAGAGTGCAGCTGCTGTGGAGCTGGGGTGTGGCGTGGCTGTAGAGGCGGCTATCAATGACCCTGCCAGAGACACGGAGGGATTAAGAGATGGGCTGCTGGGTAAAGGAAAGCTACTGGTCAACGCAGTGAAAGGAGGAAGAGCAGTAAACACTGGGGCAATGGGAGTGGAGGATGCATGTGGCGGGAGGGAAATGGAGGAAAGGGGGTTGGAACCATTTAAGGGAGTACTCAAACCAGAAAGACCTGACAAGGTAGGGTTAAGGCAAGTAGACAAACTGATGGGCACTGAGGTCGAAGTGTATGCACGACCCAGAGTCCCTGACAAACCTAAAGTGCCGTGAGAGGGATTTACGGAATGAGATGGGCCTTTGAAGGCTGAGGGAGTAGGACTGGTGGGCTCAGTTTTGATCATAACTGGAACAGTTGTTACAGCAGGGTTGGAGGAAATACGCAGGTCTGTGGGGCCAGGGTGGGGGCCATGCAGGAGGGCCGTGGAGGAGCCACAGCTCACAGGCACTGTGGCTGAAGAGGCTGCAGGAGCAGCTAGCAGAGCTTGTGCAGGCTGGGTTGGGGGAGTGGCGATAGAGTTAGCTGCTGGAGAGGCCAGGCCTGGGAACATGGCCAGCCCCGGAGTGGATGACCTCTGCATGGCAGGGACAGTGGACGGGGCATAGCACTTGTTAAGGGCTGATGCAGGAGAATCAGAGTTTCGATTAGGAAGAGAGGATAATGAAGCCAGTCCACTGGTGACAGCAGATGACAAAGCAGAGGAACTGATTAAATTGGTGTCATTTGATGTCAGAAAGCCTTTTAGAGCAGACAGAAGAGGACTGTTTGCACCCAGTGGGCCAGTGGTGCTGGGAACAGACCCACTGGCAATTACAGAAGGCATTGGGTGGGCTACCCCATGGGATGTTGGTGTTAAGGGCAAAGGAACACCTGCAAAAGCCGATGACAGTGAAGCAGAACTTGGCTTGTTAGTAGAAGCAACAGAAGAGCTGGCAGAGAAGGACAGGCTAGTGGAAACAAATGTTTCGTTGGAAGCAAGAGTGGCCCGAGGCGTAGATGAGGCCTGAGGGGCTGGGGTTGGAGGAGCAGAAGGCCCGGGCAGTGGCACTAGGCCGGAAAAACTGGAAGGAACAGGAGCAGATGTGGTACTGTGGATGGAAGCAGCGGGTGCAGTGGGCAAGGAGGGGGTCCTGATCACTGTTGGGTTTGGTGTTGACGGCTGAGGTACGTGGACAGCTGAGGAGACCTGGCCTGGGAACACAGGAAGTACTGTGCTGGGCATGTTCAATCCAGAACCGGTGGCAGGTGCTGATGCAGATGCATGGTTGACTGCCTTGACGGGGGAGGCAGTAGGGACCGGAGTTGCTGCAGGTGTAGAAGGATTAGAACCATGAGGAGAAAAGAGCTGACTTGCTGGGGTAGAAAATGCTGTGGGAGGAAGAAAGGGAAGAATTTATTAGGTTGAAATGTCCAATCTGAATTCCAAAGATATGCATAACTATTATTTTTTAAATCAAGCTTTACAAATAAGAAAAGAATGGGTCTTATAATACTTGGCTCTTGTAATATTTAAATGGCCAGGATTTCATTCCTGATCTTCCCTTGGGAGCCTAAGTCAGATCTAGGTGGTGTTAGTCTGTCAAGTAACAAGGAGGGAGTCGTAAGAAGCTTAGAAGCTTTCCTTTCCTATTTTCCCACTCTTAAAATCTGAAACTAATTTGTGAGTAGAGTTAAATGCATTTATTTTAATAAACCACTTATCCAGAGTAATAATCAGACATCGGTTCCTTTCTCAAGAACTTGGGAGTTTGTGACTGCCCAATACAAAGTATTGTTGCTGCCCCATGGGTTGAGTAAAACACTTCATATTATTAATCTGGGTGTCAGTCCCCTGGTCCCTCTCTCTACCTTTTACTTATACTGACCAATCTAGTCTATATCAACCCTCGCTTTCACTTGGCTTGTCCCGAAAGCTCCTATGAGGACAACTGTGTCTTTCTTTTGCTGTGGCTGTTCTTGTTTTTTTTTTTTTTTTTTCCAAGAAGTGCTGGGATGGAAGCGAGGACCCCCCATGCGCTAAGCAAGCCAGGTCAATCTCCCACAGAAGCCAGTTCAAAAGGACCAAGAAGCATCATTCTCAGGGAAGGACATTTTCCCTCTGAGACTCTTACTGTGCCCAGATAACTAGATCCATGTGCACTTTGCTACACAAGAACTGATTCTAACTTTCATGTCAGGAAGTGACTCCTTCCTGACCAGGGGATTAGTGCCTAGATGGAAATTTCACTACTGTGGTGCTACTGCCACCTGGAGGAATTGTTAAGCACACTGTACCTTCGTTCCCTTTCCTGCCCAACAGTACTACTGAAATGATTACATTTAAAAGGAGAATCTGACATAGAGTTTAAAAAGTCACAGAATGCAAAGTGACTATGGGCACACATGCCACATGGTATTCAGATGTCATTGCATGTTTGCAAACAGGATACAAAATCATGGATTAACTGACCCAGTATAATGCGTGTATTTTACGTTGTATCTCAAACATATTAGGGCTAAGCCATTTTTTAGCAAGTAGTTCATTAATTCCTTATGTAGGAGCTTTCCTTAAACTATTCCAAATATGCTTAACTCAAAACTGTGCTCAGTGATTAACAGAGTAGACAAACATGACAAGATAAATTATACCTGACCAAACTTGGTACTTACTTTGATTCTGTGTAGGTTTTGACTGATTGGAAAGATCTTCATTTTCTATATAAAAATAAATAATTATAAGTTAAAGAACAGGTAAATACACAGCAGTAAACATAATATGTACCTATGGGAAATACACCGACAGGATTAAACACAATTGTTTTTCCTCTCTGAACATCCTGTCCTTCCATAGCAGGACCTTGCCTTAACAAGTCAGGTTTTAAACAGATTTTTTTTAAAAAAAATAAGATACATTTAAGAGACCCCTTTGAATCTGCCACCTAGAAGAAAGTGTAACTTGTGGAAGGGCAGAGACAACTGTCATTAGCTGAGCCAACAGCCAGTCTTCTAGGTAGCACTGCTTACAGGAGTAGAGACTGAGAGTGGGCAATGGCTGCTGGGGGAATATGTACAGAATCCAGTTATCCAAGTGGGCAGACAGATTAAAAGCTATCTGTTAAAAACACTATGAAAGTCATCAGAGAAGCCAGGCACAGTGGCTCAGATCTATAGTTCTAGCTACTCAAGAGGCTGAGATTGCAGTTCCTGGTTAACTAGGACAAAAAAGTTCATGAGACTACCTACCCTAGTGCCCAAATATTCTTAAAAGGTTTGGAAGTAACAAAATCCCTCAAACTCTCTTTAATCTGATAGTCAACAGGAAGGCTTAAACAAAACCAGATACTATTATCATTTTTGGATTCTTTTATGTATAGATGCTAAGCTTTTCCAAACTTGTTTGGTAACAATCCTTTGGTGATGATTAAGGAAAAGAAAAAAAAATAACAGGCAAGGAACCAGTGCTTAATGCCTATATTCTGAGCTACTTGGGAGGCTGAGATTGAAAGGAGTATGAATTGAGGCCAACCCAAGTTTATAAGAGGGGGTAGATGGTAAAAGGTAGATGGTGCCTAGGCATGTGCCCCAATAGGAATTGAGACCATATCTCAAAATATAACCAGCACAAAAAAGGGTTGAAGGTGTGCCTCAGTAGTAGAGCAAGTGCCTAGTAAGGTTGAGGCCCTGAGTTTAAAACTTTAGTATGAGCAAACAAATGAATACAAGGAAAATAAAATAATAGTGGGGATCCATCACTAACCTACTAAACAGAATCTCAGCAACTGAGAAATTGAAGGTATGTTTACTAAATACCCCAAGTAGTCCCTGGCCCAGAAAAATCTACCTTACTGTCATTCTGCCACTCTTCTCATGAACATCTTATCACCAGTCTTGTCTTCTACTACTAACACAACAAACCCGCAGTGGTACATTACATAAGCAGCTCACATTTATTGAAATGGGGGATCTGGAAGACCCTCCTGTGAGTTCCACAGCACTTTGCTCTTTCAGTAGTGATTATTTTTCTTTACCCCTCATAATCTAAGTTATCTCAGAGAAATAAGACAACGCAAAAAGGCGCTATTTAACTCGGGCATCAGGTGCTCACACCTGTAATTCTACCTACTCAGGAGGTTGAGATCTGAAGATCACAGCCCAGGCAGGAAAGTACATGAGACTTATCTCCAATTAACCACCAAAAAGTAGAAAGTGGAGCTGTGGCTCAAGTGGTATAGTGCTAGCTTTGGAAACAATGAGGTAGACTATACAGAAAAAAAAATTTTTTTGGTTGGTCAGGGGCTTGAACTCTGGGCCAGAATTCTCTCCCTCAGCTCTTCAGCTCAAGACTAGCACTCTACCAATTGAGCCACAGCACCACTTCCAGTTTTCTGGTAGTTTACTGGAGATAAGAATCGCATAGACTTTCCTGCCTGGGCTGGCTTTGAACTATGATCCTCAGATTTCAGCCTGAATAGCTAGGATTATAGGCGACTACATGGAAATTTCAATGTTTTCCTTACCTGTATTTCCCATTACACTTTATACTCTTTGTAAACAGGATATTTCACCTTTGTAAGCCCAACACAAAGCACATCTTGAAAGGCCATCAAATATTACTTAAAAATAGTACCGAATAACTATTAAAATATTATTCTATACTGCAAAGGGAAGTATGAAATTATGAAAACAACAACCAAATCTGTCAGGCTCTTGTTGGTAGGACATACCATGCAGAGCAACTGCTCCCTCCATCTGTCTATCTCTATATGAATTAAGTCTCTTTGTGTATGAATTACTTACTTTTAACACCCATAATAACATGACTTTACCTGTTCCTCCTTGATTTGGAGTATACGGAGGTGGAGGGGGTATACCTGGAGCTATGACATTGGCTAATGGTACCAGACCTGCATTGTTATAAGCACCTAAAAGAAAAATGCAATACAAAAAAATACATATAACTTAGTATCACTTTTATCAGGAATTCCAACTATATTAGTTATCTAACTTATTTTTACAACTACTCTGTAAAAGAGCTGCATCTCAGGTGGAGATGTGGGGTCAGGGTTAAGTGAGACTTGACAGCAGTCAGACAAGTGGAGATGTCCATTGAAGGCAAAAGCCCATTCACTGGCACATAAGGCAGAACTTGTCATACTTAACATACATCATTGCCATTTTAAATTCAAGATCACTTACCAAAACAAAAACTACAATAATAAAGAGTGATTAAAATGAAACTGAACTTCATTTATCTTAAGGAAAATCAAATGGACTCCACTTCTGTGGTACAGAATAGAAACAGCTGATCATGAGAATACAAGTTCCTAAGTGCTACAGATATCCCAAGAATGCAACTAAACTTTCAACTTAATAAGTAAAACGGAGAGCACTCTTACTTGGTGCAATAGTTGCATGTGGTCGGCATGGAGGTATTGGGTAAGGAACAGGTTTGTGTGGATTGTATGTTGAAGGAGGCTAAACAAGAGGGAAAGTAAAGCAGTTAGAAGAAAACCAAGTAAGCTGTCTCCAAGCAAAATATACCTTGTTTTTTATACTTTAGTACCAATAAGCCTAAAAATGCTCCAATGTATCAAATGCTACTACAGTGCAATGGTGAAAATGAAGGATCTTTCTTTAATAAATGTGGTTCTTATTAAAATTCAAAGGCATGCTCTGCCACAGATGGCTAGCTGTGTGTTTAATACTCAAATAAAGTTAAATCCAAGCATTCCTATCCTTTCCTTTGTAACTAGCAGAAGAAACTAGCTCTGTGAGAAACCTGAAGGCAGCAGACTCTAAACGGATTAGGAATTCATCCTATCAGCCCTAGCTTCTTTTCTCCTTTTGGAAGATAAAAGCAGTTTTCTTAGCACCTGGAATTCCAACAACTCCTACAGAATGTATATTGGAATTAGGAATTCAATATTTCAGTTCTTTTGCCTATTGCAATCCATAAACCCACATTTTATTGTACAGTTTATGGTTTATGCTAATAAAAGCATTAAAAATTTTGTCTTTACAGAATCAGAAGTATTTAAAGCTAAGTATTTAAACTGTACAGTTTGTGGTGTTTATGTAACAAAGAGCATTAAAAAAAAATTGGGTCTTTTCAGAATCAGAAGTACTTAGAGCTAAACATTTCAAGCTGTACTTTTACCTGCAGAAAGTGAGAGAGTGTGAGTGAACCTTTGGGATAGAAGAGATCACTGCTGGGACAGGACCTTGTTTCTCCACAGTTGCTAGCATTCTAGTCATGAGGATAGGCAAGGACCACAGGGAGGCTGTGTGTGGGTGCCTCAAACTTCAACAATCCTTCAACAAAGGATTAAATTCTCCTGTTTAATTTACATTCCAGTCATAATCACTCTCTTGGAGAGATTCAACATCCTGGTTCCATCCTTATTTCACCAAGCTGACCTCAAATCTGAACATCAGTTCAAGCATATGCCAACTCATACTTCCAACTCAATAGCTGAAAGGAGTAAAACAATTTGACTTTGTTACTTTAAAATAAACTGCTTAACCTCAAAAATGCCTTAATACTGCTAACTAATTATACTTTTTTTGTTTATTTGTCGGTTGTGAGGGCTGAACTCTGGGCCCGGATGATGTCCCTCAGCTCTTCAACTCAAGGTTGTAACCTTGAGCTGTGAGCCACAGTGCCACCTCCAGCTGTTTTCTGCTTATGTGGTGCTGAGGATTTGAACCCAGGGCCTCATGCATGCGAGGCAAGCACTCAACCACTGAGCCAACTTCCCAGCCCCTATAATATATACTGTATTTTATCTTGAGAACTTCTAGTATATTTAAATTTTGTTATGCAAAAACATGCATTCAGTAGAAAGTTACATGTGATACTGTTTTCATTTTTTATTTTTAGAACATACTGGTTTGGATGGTCCAAGAATCCGTGCAGCAATTCCTTTGCCTTCATTGGTACATTCTTCACCATCTTTTTTCAAAGGGGTTCCCTATTTTTAAAAAGGAAAAGAAAAATAATTTAGACTTATTTCCTAGAGTTAAGATTCAGACTCTAGACCACATTCTGCCCTAGAGTCTCACTATGTAGTCCAGGCTAGCTTTAAACTCTTGATCCTTCTGCCTAAGTGGTCCCAAGTGCTGCGATTTTAGGCATGTGCCACACCGGGCTGGCCCAGATAGGGTTCTTAACTGTCCTGTCATGAAACTTGGTAACACTGGTATCAAGTTCTCTAAAGTAAACATACAATCAGCAGAAAGGAGTAACACAGAAGAATCAAATATATTCTAATTTCCTTCTTCACAGAAAGTAAGAGAAACATGAAAACATACTTCTTATGCCCCAGTGTGTAAACACTCAAAAAAATGAAACAAGCCAGGTGTTGGTGGCTCATGCCTATAATACTAGCTATTTAGGAGGCTGAGATCTGAGGATCATGGTTCGAAGACAGCCCACACAGGAAAGCCAGCCCACACAGGAAAGTCTAGGACTTTTGTCTCCAATTAACCACCAGAAAAATGGAAGTGGCACTGTTGCTCAAAGTGGTAGAGTGCTAGCCTTGAGCAGAAAAACTCAAGATCAGTGGCCAATCTCTGAGTTGAGGTCTCATGACTGATTAAAAAAAAAAAAAGAATGAAATAGAATACCAGTATTCCAGTTGAAAATGTGAAAAGGGTGTTCTCTATTAAAGTATGTTATGCTTTCAAAGACAAATGAAACCTCACTAAAGACTGCTAAATGAACATACCAGAATAAGCTGATTAGACTAATACTATATGTCCTTAGTGGCATACACTAGTATGGAAGTCAACTTCCAACATGGTCTCCATTGGCACTAATCTTGTCCCTGCCCTAGTATAGTACCCATCCCTGAAAGGACAGGGTCAGCCTGTATAACTAATAGCATATACAAAAATGATGGCATTTGATTTTCAAGATCAAGGGATAAAAACCCCTGCATTTCTTTTTGGCTTCTCAGATTGCTTGCTCTGACAGAAGCCAGCTGCCATACCATGAGAATATTCAAGCAGCATAATGGAAAAGTCCTTGTGTTAAGGAACAGTCCACTGACAAGTTAAAGTCCTTATGTCAAGGAACAGTCCCCTGACAATCAGCAACACCAACCTGACAGGCAAGAAAGTAAGCTATTTTGAAAGAATATGTTTAAGTTCCAATCAGATGAATGCAAATTCACAGGAAACCCTGAGCCAGAACTACCCAGCTAAGCCATACTCAAGTTCCTCAGCTATATAAGATCAATATTGAGGGGGCTAGGAAGGTGGCTCAGTGGCAGAGTGCTTGCCTCACATGCATGAGGCCCTGGGCTCAATTCCTCAGTACCACATAAACAGAAAAGGCTGGAAGTAGCACTATGGCTCAAGTGGCAGAAAGCTAGTCTTGAGCTGAAGAGCTCAGGGACAGCGTCCAGGCCTAGAGTTCAACCCCGCAACTGACCAAAAAACAAAAACAAGAAACAATATAAAATCCCCAATATTGATTAATATACAAACCAGGGGTTTGTGTTACATAGTTTCTGTTACATAGTAACAGAAATGGAAACAGTTATTTCACAAAGGGATTTGAAGGAGCCTGGATGGTATAAAAAATGCTTCTCTCACAGAACTTCTTCCAGGCTTTACTATGCAATGTAATTCTCATGAAGGAAATAGGACATGTAAAGTTTTCCTAAGTCTACATACTATTTAGTATTTAACTGAGACAAAAGTACTGACTATCTGAGAAATGCTCCTTTATTAAATGTAAATCAGTGTTTCCACAATACATGTAAAAACAAAACAAAACCTATCCTATTTTGTTTGGCTTCCTCTGAAAAATTTACAGATATAATGAGCTGGACATTGGCGGCTCATGCCTCTAATCCTAGGTCCTTGAAAGGCTGAGGTCCGAGGATCATGTGTTCAAAAATCAGCCCATGTAGAGAAATCATAGAGACTTCATCTCCAATGAGTCAGCAAAAAAGCCAGACTAGAAGCATGGCTCAAGTAATAAAGTGTCAGATGTGAACCAGAACCCCTCAGTGCAAGTCCCAGTACTGGTGTGCATACATACATGTGCGTGTGTAATCAAGTTAATATAGCTATTCATTGAGGTGATGACTTCATAGAAGACCTTTCCTTTGAAGAAGTCTCATCATCTGGGATGTTCTCTTAAATATCATGAACTCATGTTGCTTTCACATTGAATCATAAGGAGTTTCACATATAGTCAGCATAATGTACTTACTGGGAATATTCCATTTATACGACTGGGTTTTCCTTTGGGATATGGGTTTCCTGGGATGGTTCCACAAGAAGATATCATAGCATGAGGAGCTTTACAGCCCCCTTTGAAAGCCTGTAATACAAAAGAGTAGTTCAAAAAAGTCAAATCAACTCCAAGTCAAGTAATCTGTTAAATCCAGCTAAAATGTATGAATTAAGGAATAGTACCACCTTCCATTGGTTCATATACCAACTGGGGCACACAACAGTCCAAATGCAATATGCTATACAAAATATATATGTATATAATATTACTGTGCAATTATTAAAATGGGAACATTAATGTTATAACTAATATTTCCTTAAAATATTTTCACAATATTCGGTAAATTGGGTGGAAAAGAAATCTATTTATTAACTAATCTACTCCACAGGTCACTAGGTCTTCAAAAACTATACTAGTTAGTAGCCAAGAATTATTTTGGACACAACATGTTACAAAATTCTAGAAGGGATTTGGTTTTAGACTGTATAATTCTGTATCCCCAGCTTCTAAAATGTTGTCTCACACATACTGAGTTCATAATCCCTGAAGTCTTTATATTTTGATCTAGATAGTAAAGAGCTAATTATAGATTACTACTATCATTTTGGTGCTGGGAACGGAATCCAAGGTCTTGAGCATACCAGAAAAGCGCTGCAGCACCACTGAGCTACATCTCTAGACCCTGGTACACAATAAATAAGTTAAATGAATGATAACCACTGTATAAGGCAATTTCAATGCTACATTATAGAAATATTTACATAAAAAACTATATTATATCTTATATATACATATGTTTGTGCGCCTGCAAGTTATACTATAATTCATAACTTTTATTTCTATTAGCTGTATAATTCAGCTCCCTACTAATGTTAGCCCTTACAAAAATCATCTTAGCTAAGGCCTGGCTCAAGTGGTCAAGTGCCAGCTGTGAGCAAGAAAAAAAAAAATCTCGATTTTGGGTCATTCACTGTGAACTATACTAGATGAATAGTAACTTTATATATAACTTTATATATGAATTTGTATGTTTCTGTCTATTTCCTTAGAACAAATTCCAGGAAGTAGAACTTTTGGGCAAAAAATGTCCTAACATTTAATGTTTGAACATTTTATTTTAAAGAGTCTATAAGTCTACATTTGAGAATACAGTTGTCATGCTAATTAATCAAACCCTATATTCCACAGAACACTTATTGCTAGTATATTTCTGAGAAAACTGACAAAATTTTTAATAAAACTACAGCCATGTATATAATGGCTCCATAAAGACCTCAGTCAAGAGCACAATGAAAAATTTAAAAACGGGGCTCAAATCTGTGTATATGAAACAGAGAAAGGCAGCGTTGCCACCCTTCTTTGGATTCAGAGAAAGCTGTGAGGCTATAGGAGGGTTACTTAGCACATTCTTCATGTAGTTTTCTGATTATTTCAGCTTACAGCCATGGGAAGGCTAAGGAATTTTCTACCTTAAGTGACTAGTCATGCATTTTAGGCTTGAGCAGGTACTGTTTTACCCTCTTTCATACATTTTAAATTGATATTTTTATTTTTATACTAATTTTCTATAAATTTAACATAAGCCTGATAAGACAGCCAATTCAAAAGCTCAAGCTCCTTAGTATTTGTTTTCACTGTTAAGCCATCTCCTCCGGCACCCCATGGAGCCAGCCCTATCTCTCCTCCGTATATCCAAGTTAGCAGATAAGAGGGAGACATTTCGTTCACCACCACTATTCTGAAAAGGCATCATGTCCTTTTCACAGCAATCTTGAGGAAATTACCTGCTCCAGTACTCTCTTGCACCGTTTCTTCTCAGACATGTTTATTCTGAACAAATCTTCAATGGGGCGGGAGTTCTGTGCATCAACAATGTTTCTACCAAGGAAACACAATTCAGCTCTTTGCTTAAGAACATAGAGGTCAGCAACTCTGGTTTACCACACAAGCATAGCTGAGACCTCAGGACACAGGGAGAAAACAGGATTATTTCCTTTAACAGATCAATTTAAATACATTTATATAACAATGACAAAAATAACTGAACTGTTTACATGATTACTGGGAAGTTACAAAGTAATACAGCAAACAAAGAACATTGTTTTGATTTTGAAATGAGGGAGAATGATGGAAGGACTGACATTAATCAAGATACATTACATTCATAAATTGACCCCACAATACTACTTAAAGATTATATAGAAGAAAAAAACAATTGTTTCAAAATTCTTGAAAACAAAGTCTCTCTGATGAGTGTCAGGAGAGATGGGACTAGAATGTATGCAATACATTAAAATGAAGGTTGATGTAAATGTTTGCCATATTAAAATTTGTGTTTTAATGGATATTATCAGTATATAAACATTCAAAATGTATGCCCTATGAATAAATTAACTTGCATATCCTTCAACTGAACAAGGATTAGATCCTTCCCTTTTCTCAAGCTATGCTCATTATGACCATCTCTCAAAAGCTCTGAGGTGTCTTCACTTCCCTTATAGCATTTAAAGTTCATTATGTACTTCATAGCTGTGAATCCTGATTTTTACTATTAAGAGAAAGAAGGTTCAGAAAGTATAGGTGTCTTCACCTTGTCTTTCATGTCATTTGGAGCAGGAAGGCAGCAAGTCACTGATATGAAGAAAAATCAAACTAAATTATCCCTCCATGTCCTATGATTTTGTAGGTTATACCATTTAGTAATAAGCACACTGGCTATTATTCAAATAGAATCAGAATCCATCATTAAACTTTCTAGACTGTATTTTATTAAGGGTCTATTTATGTACATAGTTCTCACACATTAACACACAGCAATGAGTGGGAACATGGTTAACAAGCTTCCACATTTCAAGTAAGAGAATGAACTACTTACGAAGCTAACAGTTCAAGAGCAACTAGCTTGTCTTTACTGAAGGTGAAGCAGTTGAGTATATTGACCACTTCTGCTGGATGAACAGCTACCATTTTCTATTGATACAAAAAATAATTTCAGATCAATGCCAAGTTTTCATGCCAGAAATGTGTCCCCCCACACTCACCTTATGAAAATATAAATGTTCTTAGTAGGAACATTTTAGGTGAAAGAAAAGCAAAGGCCACTGGGCACCAGAGGCTCATGCATATAATCCTAGCTACAAAGGAGGCTGAGATCTGAAGGAGCACTGTTAAAGGTCAGTATGGGCAGGAAAGTATGTGAGACTCTTTTCTCCAATAAATGGTCAGAAAACCAGAAGTGGCGCTGTGGCAAGTGGTAGAGTGCTCGCTTTGAGCTAAAGAGCTGAGGGACAGTGCCCAGGCCCACAGTTCAAGCCCCATGACCACCACCAACAACAACAACAAAAAACAAAACAGAAGCAAATGCCCAAACAACTCAAAATGAAGTTTGAAAACATGTAAATTACACAAGGGAATTAACATTTTAAGGAATTATTATTTTCAGATGAAGATCTAAGTTTTTCTATGAACCCTTTCAATCCACATTTCCTAAATGTGTTCATTTATGGAGTGAAAAAATTAACAAGTACTACCTTCCTCTGAACATTTATAGATAAAAGGAGTATTTATATATACAGGAGATTAAACTAGTCAAAGGACTAGAATGACAATCTCTCTCATTGCAGGAATTTGGTATGCCACAGACCAGCACCTCCCAAGCAGCAATCCATAGTGCTGGACAGAGCCAGGAAAAAACCAGAACTGTTATAAAGCATCTACTTAATGTTCATAAGACAATCTAAGATTAAATGAAATGTTACACAATCATATACTGAATTATGTAAAACACCAAAAATTAATGTAGCTCATGTAATGTATGGAAACATTCCTTTTACAACTTCTTTAGCAAAATCAGTCTTCTGTGTGAAAATAATGTGTCAAATCAGACTGCCTTTGATAGAAAAAGTGCGACAGTTTGGCTCAGGTAGATGATATGAACTGGCCCTGTAAAACACTCTTCACCTCTGAAATGTAATTCTAAAGCAGGCAGAGAGGCAAGCAGGCTACAGAGCTGGTTATGAGTTTGATAAAATAATGTGAGACTCTCATCAGTATTTCATTTAGAAATAAATCTCACTGGTGCCAGGAGAAAGGTGTATACCAGAGGATGGGAGAGATAACCCTTACTTCTTTTGTAAAGTAAAACAAACAAACAATAACAACAACAATAACAAAAACAAATACTAGGTTGATTCCTGTAAGAAGTTAAGGACTTGTTAACTGGTTCTATCAAAGCTACTCATCCCTGACACTCCTTGGAACACCTCCCTCTACAACTGGATGGGTGCTCTGTACCTCCTAGATGTTCCTGTTTATCCAGACTCCATGCCTATCATAATAATTCCCATGAAATAAAAACACAGTTCCGTAGGCTAGCTATGCCCATTACGTTCAATAGCTATGGGTGACCAATGCCTACCAAAACACACAGGGTGAATGGTAAAAATCTACCTTTAAAGAAAATCAATATAGACTCAAAGAATGCAAACATAACCTGCCTGATGTGATGACTCTTCTAAGACTAAATAGAAGAGGCACCAAGATGGTTTAAAAAATGCATAAGATGGTTTAATCAAGTGCATAAGAACACTTACAAATTCAAGCTAGTCAACTAATACTTTCCTCTAATTTGTTAATCATGGAAATGTGGTATGGAATTTAATAGGGCATGAAATATAAATTTACGCTTCAGGAAGTTTAAATTTTTTGTTATGATAAAATTTATAATACGATACTTACATGCTGTAATGCTTTCATTGCTTTCAACTGAGGCTCTGCCCAGGAAAAGTATCTCAATAAATCAACCACCTGAAAGCAAATGTTAATTTAGTACTGATGACAGTATGTTTGCATACATTTCTATAAAAACTCATTCCAATATTTAAAATTGTGCAGCCTACGTGATGAAGATGGCACTGGAGTCTAAATGTGACTTCCAACGGAGTAACCAGCCATGTCTTTGAATGTGGAAATTTAAATCACTTAAATCTAATTTAAAATTCAATTTTTCAGAAGCACAAAGCACATTTCAAGCACTCAATAGCCGTATGAAGCCAACAGCTACCACAGACAATATTTCTACCATCACAGAAAGTTGTGATGAACAGCACTGGTTTCCAAAAAAAGGAAAACATGCTAGGCACTGGTTTCATCACATCTATAATCTTAAGCCACTCAGGAGTTTAACCTGAGGATTATGGTTGGAACCCAGCCTATGCAGGAAAAGTCTGTGAGACTCTAACCTTTAATTAACCAGCCCCCCCCCCAAAAAAAAACCCCACAACAAACAACAGTAACAAAAATAGAAGTAGAGTTGTGGCTTAAGTGACAGAGCAGCAGCCTTGAGAGAAAAAGTTGAGGGACAGTGCCCAAGCCCTGAGCTCAAGACAAAGTAAAGGCACACAAAACAAAACAAAAAAGGGAAAATATATAATCCAGGAAAAAGTGAGCACCAGTGGGAGGGCTGGTGAGATGTGCTAAATGGTAACTAAATACCAGCTTGGGACAGTAAAAGTATATTGTGAATGGAAAACTTTAAAACAAAGATGGAGAGTGTGATAGGAGTTCAACCATCTACACAGGTGTGGTGGGTATGACTTATGGAGGTCCAATGGCGTCTAACTTCACCTGAATATGTAGGGCACAATACTTCACTCATCTATTCTTTCAAAATCTAAGGATCACCATAGGCAACTCCAGCAGTTTCTTAATGGCGTTATCTTTTTGAGAATTCAGATAGCTAGGTTCTCATTAACTCCCACTACCACCCAGCGAACAGACAGAGAATAAGAGCTGAACAAGGTCTAAGATCTAGTCTACTGCCCCCAAGGATAATTCAATAAATAAATAAATAAATACTGCATCACAAAACTGGGTCAACTACCTTATTATGAGGGCCTTAAAATGTGCTAACATTTCAATTCTACAACTTAATTAAGCAGTATGTAAAGAAAGTGAAAATACTTTTCTTATAAAGCAACACACAAACAGTAAAAAGAGTTCTTCATACTTCCCAGTTCATTTGAAATGAAGCTATAATTTTTTCTATGGGAATGGTATTCCTACTTCATATTCAAGGCTGTATTTTATATATTATAAAACTTAAACTGCTAGCCTTTTAATGCAGCAGGTGGACTTAGCTTTAAAGATTTAAATGATTTTAACAAAGTGAAGCACCACTAAGGGAAGATTATCTATAAAATCAATCTCTCTTGCTTACACACACACACCCCTCACACACAGCTATTGACTATAACTTTTATTTTCAAAACATGTAAAGAACATAGATAACTATGTAAAGCCATGGGAAAGCTAAAAATCAACATTAAAAGGATAGTAACAGATGTACATCAAAAAAGAGCTTTAAGAACTTGGTTGACAGACCTTTAGGCCTTTGAAGTTCTTGATACTTTTCAAGCCTTTGAGAAAGAGAGTGGATGTTTACTAATCCAGTCTCTATGTCCATCCCAGAACTGCCCTCCACAATTATTTCTGATTTCTAGCAAGACCCTTCCTAGCATTTCTCAAACACTGTCCTCAAGGACACTGGATACTATAAGTTTGTAATATGACAATGGGACAAGGAAAACTGTTGGTGATAGAACTTTTCACTCGGGATAGTTGGGGGGCAGGAGGACAGTAGGAATGAGATTGATTATAACACAATGTAAATGTGTGGAGATGTAACAATGAAATCCTGCCTTGTATAACTAACATAAGCTAATAAAAATTGTCCTTCACTCTGCATATGTGCACATTTATATGTACCTTCACTCTGCATATGTGCACATTTATATGTACCAACACTTTTCTAAAAATCATTAAAGTTCCCTGAAGTGGGGTGGAAAGTGTTCACTAAATTATTCATGTTTAATACATTAGTCTTCTTGAGACAGTAAGGGAACCATTAAGACACTGTGTATCTTTTCCCTTAATGCCGCAGTTTACAGTTAGTGGCGTCATACAACATTCATGCATTCCTTTATATCAAGTGAATTTTGCTAATTATTGTCTTATAAAGGGTAGGTTCACAAAGTATCTTTGACTTACTAAAATCTGTAAAGTTTTCTGCTGAGTTTCTTAAGCTCCTGGGTAACTATAGCAACAAAATAAAAGCAACTCTGTATTTGACTAGCAGGTAAATACATATATTAACCAGGACACTAGTCTAGGGAGAAGGCTTAGACAAGGAATACCTGTTCACTAGAGAAGTATCCATGCACGTATTCAATTGCTTTTAATTTATATTCTGTCAAGACAGCCTAGAAAAGAAAAGCAGTATTAATATATACATATACCAAACTGTTCAAGCAACTCAACAGCATCTACAGAGAAAAGGGGGCAAGAGGAGGAGAGAGGAAGGAAGAGGGAAAGGGAGAGAAGGGGAGGGAGGGAGGGAGAGAGGCGGAGAGAGAGAGCACGCAGAGAGCCTCCTGGGACTCCCTACTCACTCCTACAAAGAAAAGAATACCATTTTAACACGGAAGAGTCAATAATGGGAGAAATTACATATAGTATTTGCCACCTAAACTATTTGTCATTTCTTAATATATTAAATGTATAGAACGTCAAGTGATTAAAAAAAAACAAGAATACAAAGTCAGGTTGAGGCTTTCAGCAAACACCTCAATCAATGTCTGGGTCTGCCACTCCCTGACATCAGACTTTGACAGACATTTTCATTCCTTTAAAGCATCATTCACGACCCACCTCAAAGAAAGTGCAAGACAAAATCTGATCTGACCCACAACAGCTGTTCAGTAACCTGTTTCTTTGCTCTGGAACAGTATGTGAGAGAAGTACAGGACCCGGAAAACTGAAATCACATCCGTAACACTCCCAGCTCCTTACTGAGAAACAGAAATGCTCAACTACCATAACTTGAGAGTCACTAATAACTAAAAATGAACTAATACTTTTGCTCTTACACTGAAACAATTACAGTATTTGTATTAGTCCAAATATTTGATTCTGGCAGGAGAAAACGTCGTTAATTACTGGTACCCTCAGGGTGCTCCTCACAGAAACTGAGGAAAAAAGCGTTAGCAATTCAGATTCAAATACCTAGCCTCTGGCACTGAGTACCAAGCTTTAGTCAGACTTCCTCAGATTGAATACTACACACCCTACCACCCACTGCTTTAATCTCACACAGTCAAACTAAACAGAACTAGGTGGGCCGCCAATAAAACCATCAGTCTCTCCCTCAGGGGTAACCAAGAAAGTGACTCAAACATTAAGTACTCACAATTAGGGGCTAAAGTTACCTTCAAATTCAACAAAGCCCTCATTCCCATCTCCATTCCTAAAAGTCTACTAACTTGTTTTAAATGACAATAGTGACAATCAAATTAAGAAGAGATACAAGACCAGTTTAATTGGACATTTACATTTAAAGACAAACCATAGCAAAGCCATATTCAGGCATGCACCTACTGCAGTCCACTTTAAAGTATTTCAGACAAGCACCCAATCTTTAGGCCAAGGAAGCAAAAGAACATCTACAAAGAGCAGAGCATGAATAACTTAAGTTGCCATCACACTTGAATATCTTTCATCTCTGGAAAATGTCCTGTACCCCTCATTTCTATTTACTATAGGACATTTTAACAACACTAAGGGAGAGGATATCCATATTGAAACCCTGTGTCAGCTATAAGTAGAAAATCTACTGTAGAAAATCTACTGGTCTGCTTGAATTTACAAGGTATTTTCTCAGGCAAGCTGAAAATCAATTCATGAACAAATTTGACAAATTCCAGGTATACACAGTTGGCACACCAATATTTCATTCCAAATACTAACTGGATAAGTTGGATTTGCAAGTTTCCAAATTTTAAATGTTTTTTAAAAAATCAACAAACTAAGAAAAATTAAAAATGGCCAATTTGCGAAAGAAAATAAAGAAAAAAGGAAAACTAGCAGCTTCATAAACTGAAGTAAACAATCAGTAGTACCAAAGCACCCAGTTTGGATTCTTTTGGGATTAAAGGGTTTAAGGCATAGAAATACCCATTACTAGCCCAAATGGCCAAACCATGGCGCCCATGCTGACGCAACAGCCTCTTCCTGTAAGTTCTTTTAGTTTTAAGTAGGTAGGTTCTTGGGATGCTGGAGATACTTGTAGACTCTACCCAGAATGCTTCTGGTAGATTGTGGGAGGTAGGAGATTCAAAATAACCTTGTAAATCAAGAGTGGAGGACTCCTCCACGCAAAGAAACAAAGTTCAAGTTACTGAAGATCCCTTCCCCACAACGTGGCTGTAAACTTAAGGTCACACTTGTTACAGAACAAGTCCCTCTAGGTCAACATGGTAGTCTACCCCATCCTCAGATTTGAGAAAAAAAGAAATCCTAGGAATTACCATAAAGAACATTTCTACGTATTTAAGTTTCTTATCCTGAAGAACAGAGATTTGCGGAAACGGCTTGGAAACCGAAGGTAAATCTGAATTTCCACAATGCCTCACTGACTTCCAAAGACGCACCGTGAAACGCATCAAGACGTAGCTTCCACACCACGCGTGAAATTGCCAATGCATTGAAGCAATTAGTTTCTGCACGCCCCCACATGCAGTACCTCGAAACAAACCAGCAAACAACCCCCCACCCCCACCCGCCAGTATTCCAGGCTCCAAGCGGCTGGGGTGTCATTACCTTCCTGATTTCATCCAGCACCGTCTCAAAGGACTTTTTATCCATCTTGAGCCCTATTTCGACGTAGTTTTTAGACAACTATAAAATCTTCATCTCTGGTCGTCAGCGCCGATCGGAGGAAAACACGTTTACAGTCCAGGGAAGGAAATCACTCGGGGTCGGGGTCGTGAAGAGGTAGAGTACTGCAAACTCCGTCAACGCATTAAAACGCGGATGGGAAAAACTTTCACCACCAAAAATAGATGAAAGCCACCGCCGGGAGGCTTCCGCAGCCAACTCCACACCGAGCTCCACGGCGTCCCGGGGAAGGGCACAGCCTCGCGGCCAAGTCCGGGCTCCGGCGCGGAGCTGGAGAGCCAGGACCACAAGGCCGCGGGGCCACTTTCCGCGACCGCAGCGGCCCCGGCGCCCCGACTCCCCCCCTCCCCCGCCCCTCGGCGGCCTCCCGGCCCGCACCAGCGCCCGCACCGGTGCGCCTCACCGCCGCGATCCGGGATTCACCGCCAGGCTCCCGCTCATCCCCGGCCGCTCCGCCCGACTGCGGGGTGCCACACAACTCCGGTCGCCGGAGGCCCGGCAGGCTCTTTGTTACCAGCTTCCGTGGTGCTCGGGAAGCGAGCCGCCGGCCGGAGAGCAAGCAGGAGCCGGGCGGCGGGGAGCTCGGCTTCACACCGGGGGACTCGCGAAGGCCGGAGCACCCTAACGCACCAGGCGCACTACGGGATCAGCCCTAGAGTCCCCACCGGCTCGGGGGACCTTCCGTACTCCGCGTCGCGCTCAGTAACTGTAAACTTGGTGCGGCCAGTAGGGGCTCCAGTTTTCTGAAAGCGGCGGAGGGCGTGGGAGGGGGGCGGGGAGAAAGGAGGCTCCTGGGTCCTAGTGTGGGAACATAGACGTCCACAGGCAATGCCTGAATGTTTTGGAAACGAATGTGGATTGAATTGTCCTCAGAGTCTGGCAGTTGTAGCGCCACCATGCTCTCCCCCTTAGTCTTCCTTTTTAGAAGTCGTGCCTTCCTTATTGAACCTGCATTTAAAAGAATGAGTGGCAAATGAGTAAGGAGTATGCGCGGGACACCCCAGTTTGCTGTCCGGGAGACATCAACAGCGTAGACCCTCCCGGGCTGGGTGGGGGGTGGAGGCGGGGCGAAACAGTCACGTGACAGGCATCTGAGCACCTGACGTGGGGGCGGGGCGTTGGGGCCGACGGCTGCGTGCGGAACTGCGAAGCTTGGGCGTTTTGCTTTTCTCCCTTTTCTTTTGGCATTTTGGCTTTGAAAGCCCGAGGCTCCGGGCTGGAGCTCTGGAAATCGAAGCGTTAGCGCGGGACTTCCGGGCGGACCGGCGGGGCGGTGAGCCACCGAGCGCTCGGACCTTTGCGGATGCTGCTCTCCGGCCATGGCGAGATGCTGGGTCTGCGCGGCCGGCGTCGCCCTGTTTTTCGCCTGTCTGGTGCTGCACTCGCATTTCTGTGGCCCTGCGGTGAGTTGCGCGGCGACGGGGTGCGGACAGCCCGGGAGAGATGCTCTTCCGAAGGTGATCCGGGCTCCGGCCCTGCTGGCCGGCCTCAAACGCTGCCCGGGGGCCGGACCTCGGGCCGTTCATCTAGGCTTTCAGTGTTAACGAGTATGGTAGCGACATTTCCACGCCTTCATCTGCCCCTGCCACACTCATTTGCACACTTATTCTATGTGCGTTCTGGTCTTTAGACGTTAACAACAACAACACTATTTCTATGGAATCATTTCAGTCAGGGCAGCAAGCCCTCAGGCTGTGGAAAGACATACTTAAAATAAGTAAGCCTCGCCGCTCGCTGGTAGCTCACACCTGTAATCCAAGCTACTCAGGAATAGGAGACTTGAGGATCGCGGTTTCGAAGCCAGCCCGGGCCAGAAAGTCCTGGAGACTTTTTCTCAGATTTAACTAGCAAAAAGACTGGAATTGCTAAAAATAAAAATGGTAGCCTTGAGCAAAAAAACCCCTCAAGCACAGCGCCCAGGCCCCAGCACTGGTACACCTGATAGATACATATATAACGCCCCTCCCCACACACACAAGAGGGGAGTGGGGAGCGGGAAGGGATAGGGGGGCCTCATTTTTCCCCTCCTGAGAGAGAGAGGAGGGGGAGGAAGGGAAGGAAAAGGGGAAGGGGAGGGGAGGAGAAGGGAGAGAAAGAGAGAAGGTCATTTCTTTCCCCTCCCTGTTTTTTCTTACACTTGTCCTAATCTTTTGGTTTTATTGAAGGTTTTAAGGAAACGCCCTTTTCTAAAGTGGAGAACGGAGAAAATGCTTTATCGCTTGGATTTGGGTTGGCCTAGGTTTTCAGAATACTTCACTGGCGTGACATTTTGTGTTGCGGTTGATTCCCTCAACGGGTTGGTTTACGTGGCCCAAGTAAGTAAAATGTGGATTTTGCCCCCGACACTATAAAAGGAAACAATGGATCCCCGTTTTTTTTCCATATAGATGTGTATATATGTGTATTCGTAGGTAGCCATATGCATTTATATTATGCTAGTTATGCAACTTAATTTTGAATTGGCGTCAGGTAAATTGGTTTTGAATGTAATAGCCGTTAGCTGTTAGGTTGTTTAAAATTTTTAATTCTTATTATTGTTATTATAATGGTGATGTGCAGATTGGTTAGAGTTAACATAAGTCAGGTTTAACTTAGATTTTGAAGTTGGGTTTTTTTTAAACATTACGAATTTCCAAAATGAACCTTTTTGTTTATCTCTTACAAAATAAAGATGATCATTCCTTAAAATGGATCCTACGTAACTAAGCAGTTATTTTTGTATACCTTCAGAGAGGGGATAACATACCAAAAGTATTAGTGTTCACAGAGGACGGATATTTACTACGATCTTGGAATCACACAGTTGACACACCTCATGGTATGTTCGCATCCAGCACACCACTCGAACAATCCGTCTGGATCACGGATGTAGGAAGTGGTATGTGTAGTAATATGCATTAAATTACTTTACTCAAAGCCGCGCTCTTTGCTCAGGTCCTTGCTTCTGCATTTTGAAATCAGAATTGCCAAATTTTAATAATTCTATTGCAGTGAAGAATAAATGAACAAGGAAATTACTCAAGGGATCTTTCTTTAAGCTATCAGTTGCTTCTCTCAAATAAGTCTGTACTTCGTCATGCAAAGTCAAATAAAATGGCAACTCAGAATGAACAAGTTCATTTCTTCTCATTTTCTTTGACAAGTTTTCTTTTAGAAGGGCTTGTGCTAACAAGCCATTATTACTTTGCTGCCTCAAGTGCAAAGATTTGCAGAAACTGAGGTTAATGATTTTGAAATTACACTGACCAAAGCATATCTGAAATCTTTTCCTCTGTCAAATATTTTTAGTTGACAATGTCTAAAGACAAAGAAAGCACAATTGAGTCTACAGCTATGAAGAAACTTCTCAAAAAAAGCAAATTTATCTGTGCTGGTGAAGACCGGCTAGTAGGAGAAATAGCCTAGATTACCTTAAGAACTCAGAAGGAATGAAATCATAAATGTAGTATTTGTAGTGTTCTTGGCTCAGTTATGTTCTTTCATTTTTAAGATATGTTTTTCCAGGGTGGGATTTGAACTCTGTGTTTAACACACACACTTGCTTGGGTGGTACTCTACCACTTGAGCTATGCCTCTAGCCCAAGTTTTTTTCCTAATATTTTGGAAATAGCATCTCTTGGACTTTCCTGCCTTGACTGATCTCAGCCTCCTGGATAGTAGGATTGTAGGTATGAGCCATTAAGCATCTGGCTCTAAGTTACGTTCTTAACTTGAAGGACATACTGCTTCTCTAGTTCTGGATAATTCAGTTGTGTGTGTGTGTGTGTGTGTGTGTGTGTGTGTGTGTGTGTAGTTCTGGATAATTCAGTTGTGTGTGTGTGTGTGTGTGTGTGTGTGTGTGTGTGTGTGTGTGTGTGTGAGTGTGTGAATTAAGAGGTTCTTGATTTCTATAAGTAGAGACATTGTCAAACTAGTTCTCAGAACATAAAAGATTTCTGGGCCTTGGGTGGTAGATAACTATTTTAAGCTTCATTTTGGGGGATAAAGTTATGGTTTTAAAAAATTTGTAGTACCTGAGTTGGTATAAAATTGTAATTCGATTTGACTATTTTTGCTTCCCTGCCTTATTTTCATTGACAGTGAATTCATTGTTAATAGACCCCCGCTTTTAATTTATTCTCTACATGTCATCTTTTTCTAATGTAGAACTTCACTGATTCTCAGAAAGAAAAAAAATAGCACATATGAACACTTCATTCTTTTCCACTGCATCTTTTTTTCCATGCACAGATCCAAAAACCAAATTTTATGTTCCTTCCCATTTTTTCCAAGGAATTGATTTCATCTACTGAGTTTTAGAGGAAGTTCGGGAACTGTTTGCTTTTTCTGTAATATCTTGTTCTCTTTTTACTTCTGCACATGTGTGTGTATGTATGTATGTGCACACGCCAGTCCTAGAGCTTGAATTCAGGGCCTGAGCACTGTCCCTAAGCTCCTTTTCTCAAGGCTAGCACTTTACCATTTGAGCTACAGCTTCTCTTCTGGCTTTTTGATAGTTAATTATGGAGATAAGAATCTCACAGACTTTCTTGTCTAGACTGGCTTCAAAACCCAATCCTCAAACCTCAGCCTCCTGAGTAGGAAGGATTATTATATGTGAGCCACCAGTGTCCAGCTACTGCTGCAAATTTTAAGTGTGTAGATTAAGTATAATAAATATATTTCTTAAGATATAATTTGTAATGCCTGGTGATTCAGTTTATAACTAGTAAGCCAAGTATATCCAGTTAGTCTTTGGAATACCTGTTAATGAATTTAACCTTGCATGCCTTCAAGTTGATTTCTGTTAAGTGTTTGTCTTTCTCTTGTTTACTCATGTTCTACTTATTTTGTCCATAAAAATCACTTAAACTCAAAGATTATTTTCCTCCTCAAAGGAATACTTAGTGGGTTCAATTTTGAATTGATTTACACTAGAAGAATACATATTTTTTTAAAAAATAGCTGCACATGACTGATTGAAATACCTTCAACTATAAGTTATTTCTTTTACAGTTATTTCTTGATTCTTTTTAATAAGCAAGGCCATGCATCTGAAAATGAAAATGGCACACCAATAATTTGTTAACCTCATCAGCTTTCTGTGTTATAAACATTTTTGGTTATTTATTTGAATTTATAATCTGTTTTGGAGTAATTAAGATTTTATTCATCAAAAATCGGCTGTAACTTATAAAGAAACTCTATTTGATGTCACTATTAACAGTTATCTAAGCCTGTCGACCTTTTTAAGTTTATATCAAATTTTTTCTTACTTGAAAAGTGTAGAGGTTGTACAGTGATTTTATTTGTGAGACATGAATATCTGTCTTTACAGGATCCTATGGTCATACTGTTAAAAAATACAATTCCTTTGGTGATCTAGTTCAAGTCTTGGGTACTCCAGGCAAAAAAGGCACGGCTTTGAATCCCCTGCAGTTTGATAACCCTGCAGAACTGTATGTGGAGGACACAGAAGATATTTACATTGTGGATGGGGATGGAGGATTAAATAACAGATTGATCAAACTGTCCCAAAGTACGTGGCTTACTTTTGAATGTTAATTATGAGAATATTACTTTATAAATGGGATTTATTTGATACTTGGCATAAAGGCCATATATTGTGCATTAGGAATACACTAAAAAAACAGGTGGCTAGGATTGCCAGTAATAAATGAATGTGCTTACAGGCCTACTGGTTTTTCATTGAAGGAACTGGGTGGGTGGGTGGGTATAGGGATAGTGGATCTCTTACTCAATTAAGAATGGAAATGTTAGGAACTCCTAATACTCTGGGCTCCTCCCCATTGTCAGGTAGCCTGTTGGCTGATCAATCCATTAGCAATTTATTCAATGCCAGACTTCCTGGTAGTGACTATAGGGGAAAGTCTGTTTTATGTTATGGATGAGACACTTAAATGTAATGTGTGGCAATTTTTAAAATAAAATAGAATTTAGGAGTAGGAACCACTAATTTGTCCAGAGAAATGGGCTGAGATGTTATAAAGTCCTTGGGCCACACTACTTTTGGTAAACGAAGAAAAGGGTGGGCAGAGCAGTCCTGGAGGCTTTATCCTGTGAGGTTTACAAAGGTCATTAGCTGGAAATGTGCTTCTGGAATAGTAGAAAGATTATCTGAGGACTCTTGAATCTATATTTTGCCTATATTGTAGTCTTCTGTGGTTTTGTTTGTATGGTTGGTTGGTTTTCTTTTTGCTAGGGCTGGAGTTTAAACTAGGCCATTTGCTAGTGCTCTGGCTTGCACTTGCTTGGTTGGTGTTCTACCACTTAATTCATGCCTCCAGCCTGGTACTTTGCTGGTTAATTGAAGGTAGACTCTCACAGACTTTTATGTTCAGGCTAGTCTTGAACTTCAGCACTCAAGGCTCCTGAGTAACTAGGATTACAAGTGTGAGCCAATGGAACCCAGCTCTTTTTGAGGTTTTAATAGGAAAGTAATGTTCCAGAAACAGCTTTTATAAGACATGAGGACATGTTAGTGAGTGCTGTCATTTGGAGCTATGTAGTTAGCTTACCATATAAGAGTACATTTGGAAATTATCAGTTAAAAGGAAGGTAAGACAGGGTAAAACAGCGGTCCAAAAAGTTGTATGAAAGGAGTGAACAATCAAACTTAGGAGACAGATTGAATATGGGTCTATTGGTTTTCTGTGGCTGCTATAAAAAAAAAAAAAGCTACAAACGAGGTGATCTTAAACAACAGGAATATATTCTGATACTTTTGAAATCCTGAATTCTGAAATTAATTGAGTAGGTTGAAGTGACCTCTAAAGGTTCTAGGGGAAGTTGTTCCTTGCTTGTTTTACTGTCATGGCTCATGGCAGTATAACTATAGTCTGAGCCTCTGTCATATGACCCTTTTGTTGCTTAAGTCTCTATATTCCTTCTCTTTGGAGGAGGATTTAGGGCCTACTCTAAATCTAGGATAATCTCATCTTTGGATACCTAACTTAATGAAAGTTCCATTTCTAAAGTAGGTGACAGGTACATGGGCGTATCTTTTGGAGGACCACAGTTTAGCCCTCCCTAGAGTGATTAATAAGGTAGACAGACTATAAAAATGTCAGCCCAGTGAAATAACATTCTAAGCTCAGTGAAATAACAAAACTAAAAAGCAAGTAAGTTCGAAGCAGTCATCAAGCAGAGATAGCAAAAGTGCCCTAATTGCTTGTAGTAATGGAGGAGTTAGGCAAGTGGATCAACAGACAGAAAGCCAGGAAAGCACAGTCAAGTCAGTAGGGTGTACTTTTTGAAAATTTATGTTGTGAAATATAGCATTCAGAGACACAATTCTATATACTGCACTGACCATATGTACTTACTATTTATAGATTTCATGATCCTTTGGCTGCGTGGAGAAAATGGAACAGGACCTGCTAAGTTCAACATTCCTCACAGTGTTACACTTGATTCAGTTGGTCGGGTAAAAATGCACTGTCTTTATATTTGGGATGGGGAAAGAAAGATAGAGAGATGGGGGGAGAAAGAGAGAGAGAGAATTAATTGATATATCTGGTCAATTCTCTCTCTCTCTCTTTTTTTTTTTTTTTGGCCAGTCCTGGGGCTTATACTCAAGGCACTGTCTCTGAGTTTCTTTTGCTCAATGCTAGCTCTCTACCACTTTCAGCTTTCTCTGTTTATGTGGTACTGAGGAATTGAACCCAGGGCTTCATGCATGCTAGGCAAGCACTCTGCCACTCTACCATTCTATACCACATTCCCAGGCCTCAGTTCTTCTCTTAACTAATGTTCAGCTCCTATACTGACAGCATTCTCTACATATTTATTTATTTATTTATTTTTTGGTCCGGTTGTGGGGCCTGAACTCTGGGCCTGGGTGCTGTTCCTCAGCTCTTCAGCTCAAGGCTAGCACTCTACCACTTGAGCCACAGTGCCACTTCCGGCTTTTTTTCTTTTTGCTTATGTGGTGCTGAGGAATCGAACCCAGGGCCTCAGGCATGCAAGGCAAGCGCTCTACCACTGAGCCAACTTCCCAGCCCTCCCTACATATTTAAAAATTAGCAAGATAGTTGTGTTTATATCCCTTATGTGGTAAAAAGAATACTGAATCCAAACGTAAAGTTACCTGAGGGGGGAGAAAATGTTTCTTTCCACTAGGAAAAGTCTTTAAGTGAAATACTTTCCATTTACAAGAAAAAAAAATAATTCTCACCAAAATGAAAAGACAAAAGAGTTTTATTTTAAACGTTTGAAAAACACTTGTTCTCACTAGTTCCATAATGGGGAACAGAAAGCTTTAACCAGGGCTGGGAAGGTGGCTCAGTGGTAGAGCGCTTGCCTTGCATGCATGAGGCCCTGGGTTGGATTCCTCAGCACCACATAAGCAAAAAGAAAGCTGGAAGTGGAGCTGTGGCTCAAGTGGTAGAGCGCTAGCCTTGAGCTGAAGAGCTGAGGGACAGTGCCCAGGCCCAGAGTTCAGGCCCCACGACCGGACCCAAAAAAAAAAAAAGAAAGAAAGAAAGCTTTAACCAATACATTTCAATCTTTTTCTTTTCCACCCCCATTTATTAACAGTTCTTTTTCCTTTACTCCCTTTCCTTATCAGAGATACCATTTGCTTGGGGTTAGCTCCTTTGTTTCTACTTGGAATAAAACTAAGGACTACCAAAAGCACACATTGATAAAGATCTAAGGGTTATCCCGAAGAAATGGTGCCTGGATTCCCAAACCCATGAGATCCAGTGGAGCCAAATGGGGAGGTAGTGGGTAGCAGGATCTTTCCACTTGACAACTCTTCCTGTTGTCTAAAACTCTAACCACATCATGAAAACCCTTTCACATTATGTAGCAAGTTTCACCCATCCATATAGAAGTCATTTAGAATGAATCTAACCTCCTACTTTATACCAATATTTCCTTAATAAGTCATCATCATCAATAACCTACCTTAAACAAGTTATCCTTCATATGTTTTGTCATCTCCCGTCCTTCCTCTCTTAAGTGCTCTAGCGCTTAGGACACACCTCAGTCACTGCAGGTAGAGACACTGCTTTTTGAAGGTAAACTTCCCACTGTGCTGAGCTGTGGAGCTAGGCCACTTTCTCTTGTCATTGTCTTGTGGCCTAGACTAGGAAGTGACAAATTGGCAGCCCTCAGAGATAGTGAATGCTCATTAACAAATGAATGAATGACTTTCTGTATCCTTAATCTGCTACGTGACTGTTAGGCCCCTCAGGTTTTTAGTTACTCTCATGTTAATACAGTAGCCAGAACGTCCTGGGCTCTGTGTTTTGACACTGGGCTTAGACTGTGGCCCTCACGTTTCTCACTGCACACAAACAAAGCTTTTGACCTTTGAACTGTAGCTTTTACAGATCAGAAAATAGGATTTAATAATGCCCTCTCCTTTGGAGACCTCTTAAGTACGGAGATAATTTATATAAATGAGCAAAAGTAATCATATTCTCATATCGTGGGTCTTTTCCCAACTGAAATTTTTTTGTTTTCTCAGGTGTGGGTTGCTGACCGAGGAAATAAAAGACTCCAAGTATTTGATAAAGACACTGGAGAGTGGTTAGGAGCATGGAGTAGTTGTTTCACAGAAGAAGGCCCCTCTTCAATCAGGTAATTGTGCCTTTTCAAAATCCTTAATTTTGTTTGCTTATATGATTCACTATCTCTGAAGGGCCAGCAGAAAGCTCAAGGTATTATTCATGTTCATCTAGGAAAAGTGGAAAGAAACAAGCATAGAGAGAAGTTTTATATATGGGAATTTCATATCCCAGATACAGTTATTAACTCCCAGTGGCCTGTGAAATCCCAGTGAACCTTCCACAGCCAGTGGCAGAGAATCAAAGTGTGAGTCTGTGATAGTGGACCCAGCCTACTGCCAGTTCTCACTCCGTTTCCTTTTGTTTAGTAAACTGTAATATTGAGGGTTTTTTTTTTTTTAATTTAAGTTAATCTTTGTCTCTACTGTCCCAGATATCTTATTCCCTCTGTAGAATTAGATCAATTTTTCTTTCTCTGTAACAGAATCACCCAGCAAATAGATAACTGATGTAGTTTGCACAGTGGGAATTAAAATGTTGACAAAGTAAATATTTAGGCTTCTTCTGAACATTACTTTCTCCTTAGATTTACTCCAGATGGGAAGTACTTGATTGTGGCCCAGCTGAATCTCAGCAGGCTGTCCATCCTGGCGGCCCCACCCACCGGAAACCTCGGGCACTGTTCAGTGATCAGCACCATCCAGCTACCAGATCAAGTTCTGCCACATCTCTTAGAAATAGATAGAAAGACTGGGGCAGTCTATGTAGCAGAAATTGGGGCAAAGCAAGTACAAAAGTTTGTTCCTTTGAATAGCCACGTTCCTGGGTTCAGTGTTTAGTCTTCTTTGTTTTTGCTTTTTTCTGGAGATGAGTGGCAGTTAACATTTTTGGAGTTGTTCCGTGTTTCAAAATAATGCTCAAAGCCGGGCGCTGGTGGCTCACGCCAGTAACCCTAACTACTCAGGAGGCTGAGATCTGAAGTTCATGGTTCAAAGCCAGCCTGGGCAGGAAAGTCCGTGAGACTCTTTATCTCCAATAAACTACTAGAAAACCAAAAGTGGCGCTGTGGCTCTAGAGGTAGATCACTCTCCTTGAGCTGAAGAGCTGAGGGACAGCGCTCAAGCCCAAAGTTCAATCCCCATGACCGACCAAAAAAAAAAAAAAGCTCAAACACAAAAATTTGTTTGTTTTCACCTGATCTGGTAACAGAAAAATTTGTTTGTATGGCATCAAGAGTCATGATGTTTTATTGCTGTTCTAGGGACTTACTGTGTAAACATATTTCAGTGAAAGACGTGTGACTTTAAAAAAATGGGGTCAGCCAGGCTCCTGTGGACCATTGGCTGTAATCCTAGCTAGTCAAGAGGCTGAGATCTGATGATAGGAAAGGCCGATAACACTCTTCAATTGACCCCCAGAAAAATGGAAATTGGTGCTGTGGCTCAAAGTGGTAGAGCACTAGCCTTAAGCAAAAGAGTCCCTCCTCCCTTCCCTTCCCCTCTCCTCCCTCCCACTTCTCTTTTTACTTTTTGTGTAGGTAATGCCTTACTGGAGCTTGAACTCAGGCCCGGGCATTTTTCACACAAGGCTCCACTTTTAGTTTTTTTGTTTGTTTTTTTTGCTGGTTAATTGGAAATAAGAGTCCCAGGGACTTTCATGCCTAAACTGGCTTAAAACCTTGATTCTCAGATCCCAGTTCCCTGAGTAGCTAGGATTATAGGTGTGAGCCACCACAGTGTTCAGCTAGTTTCTTTAATGTACTGTTGGAGAAATTTTGAGCAAGATGGTATGCAGAGTAATTTGAGTATCGATAGAATGCAAGGAACTAAAGACTCAAAAAGGAAAGAAGCAGGGTAGGATGACAGCCTTCTGAATAGCTTGCAGAGTTTAGTAGAAGAGTAAGTGGACATATAGCCCCAGCACTAGGACAGCAGCACACAAATGCAGCGGAACTTTATCCAGCTGGGACTCATGGAGCCTGCACTGGTGTCTTCTTGAGCTGACCAGGGAGAAGGAGAAAACAACCTGATCCAAGTAGGGAAGGTGTAAAGAGTTACAACAGAATTTCAGCAGGCTTTTGTACCTTTTTGTAAAAGTCAACCTTTAGTTATTTAGTTTTGGATCTTTAGCTATAAGATACTTATGCTGTAACCCAAGCCACTGATAACAGTGCTCCCGTCTGTCATCTTTGGTAAAGGCTCTGAGGTGCAGAAGTCCCCTTGAAGTCTATAAGGGTCTGTTACAAGCATTTCATTGACTGGTTCTTCTAAATGTGCCATGTACATGATACCAAATACTGAGTTCATCTTGGTTTTATATTTATTACTTTTAGTAAAATGTATCCTAATGGGCTTAATGCAGTTGAGCTAATATGGCCAAAAGTAATTTTAAGCTTTACTTGTTTGTTTGTGATCCAGGACAGTAAGTTCAAATGTCTCTCTCTTTGAAGGAAGGTAAGTTGTGTCAACTGGTATCATTTCGAAAGTTTCATTAAACTCATTCTATATTTTGTAAAACTTGCTGGAAAATACCATTCCTGTGTTCTTGCAAAAAAAAGTGTTTATTTTATTGGTATAATTTCAATTACAGAATTTTACTTGGATGTTTTTGGATTAATCAGTTCAATGAATAAGAAATGTGTTTTACATTAAAATTATGAATTTTAAAGAACAGTTAATATTGTCTGGATTCTCAATTAAAGATTAAAAAAGTAAGCCGGGCGCCTGTGGCTCACGCCTGTAATCCTACCTATTCAGGAGGCTGAGATGTGAGGATCACAATTAAAAGCCAGTCCAGGCAGAAAATCTGTGAGACTCTTATCTCCAATAAAACCACTAGCAAACCAGAAGTGTGCTGTGGCTCAAGTGGTAGAGCACTTGCCTTGAGCTGAAGAGCGCAGGGACAATGCCCAAACCCAGAGTTCAAGCCCCATGACCGACCAAAATAAAAAGCTAAAAAAAAAGATTAAAAAAGTATACAATTTCTTTTTTCATTAAGGAATTTAAGTAAGCTCATGGACTAGTACTGAGAGAATGTCTCCAGTTTTATATTTATGAAGTAGTGTAGGATAATATACATCCATAATGCTAGAGGTTGCTTGAAAGATTTAAACAATGGAGCTTCCTTTGTGTGAAGATCAGATGTAGCTGACAGTAATAACTTGCTAATTATTGCTCTATCACTGTGGTAAAAAGGGAACTTTTTTCTTTTATTCTTTTATGCTTTTAAATGCTTTAATTTTGGTAGGGTTTTTTTTTTTTTGTTGTTGTTGTTATGTTTTAACTGGGGCCTAGACTCAGAGCCTCATGCTCTCACTCAGCATTTTTGCTCAAGGCTGATGTTCTGCCACTTGAGCCAGACCTCCACTTCCACCACTTTTGCGGATTACCTGATTTGTCCATCCCTTCTATCTTTGAACCTTCTAGGTAGCCAAGGTTATAGGCATGAGCTAGCAGTGCCCAGATAGAAGTAGAACTTCTTCATACTTCTAATTTCTAGGTTTATTTTGAGGTTTGGGAATAGAGGAATTGTTCCACTTTAGTTAACCAAAGACTATGTATATCTTCTCATATTTCCACTGTAGGATTGAGTCTTTAAAATTAGTCAATCAGAGAAAACACGGATGTCATCTAATGCTAGGCAATTTTTGGTTATAAGGCTAAGATAATTTGTTTTGCTTTTCATGATTTATAAGCATTTTTTAATTAGACATTGGAATAGATTAAAAAAACAACATTAAAATTAGAATCTTAAGATTAATTTGAATCATTAGTTAACATTCTTAGATTTTAAATTGTGTAAATTTCTAGCATATATTCTCAGAAATAAATTAAGTCAGAATATATGACCATTACTGATTTAACAAATCTATGTGTCAACAAATGTGAAGGCATTTAGACAAGGATCTTCTGTGTGTTACTTGTATGCTAGTTGGGGAAACACTATTTAACCCTTGACTTAATTAAGGCTTCAGTACTTCTGAAATTTGCACTTGTGGTTTCCTATATTCTTAAGACAGAAGAGGGCAGTAGAGCTCTACTTATGAGCATCTTGATGGCCCGTTATATTTTGCTTTTTAAAATTGAAGCTTGTAGGAGGGATGGGTGAGATTGTTGCTAAAGATGCATTGAACTGCTTTGTTAAATAACAAGCCTTTTGTACAACTACGTTAAGATAATTAAGTTTAAAAAGCTTGTCTTAACCACACATATACTTTTTCTTTTTTCTTCTGTAGCTCACTTATATCTTGAGAAAATTATACTAATTCCTTAAGAGCTTCACATTTTTACTGCTTAATTGGACTTTCCTTTTAAAAAAAGTTTACAAGCCGGGCACCGCTGGCCCATGTAGGAAAGTCCATGAAACTCTTATCTCCAATTAACCACCAGAAAACTGGAAGTGTTACTGTGGCTTAAGTGGTAGAGCACTAGTCTTGAGCTGGAGAACTGAGGGACAGCGCCCAGTCCCACAACTGACAAAAAAAAAAAAAGTTTACATAGTTTCAGTAATTCAAGCTAACAGCCATAAGTAAACTATTCACCTTAGATACCAATACATCTATTTTCTTAGGTAAATTTAGTATAATGGAAAATGCATTTGTATTAGCACAGAATTATTCTTTTTTTTCTTGCTACTTTTTTTTTTTTTTTTTGGTCCGGTCGTGGGGCCTGAACTCTGGGCATGGACGCTGTCCCTCAGCTCTTCAGCTCAAGGCTAGCGCTCTACCACTTGAGCCACAGCACCACTTCCGGCTTTTTTTTTCTTTTTTGCTTATGTGGTGCTGAGGAATCGAACCCAGGGCCTCATGTATGCAAGGCAAAGGCCACCTTCCCAGCCCTCTTGCTACTTTTTAAAAGCAATTTTACGGAAGTGGCGCTATAGCTCAAGTGGTAGAGCGCTCGCCTTGAGCTGAAGAGCTGAGGGACAGCGCCCAGGCCCAGAGTTCAAGCCCCACGACCGACAAAAAAAAAAAAAAAAAAACATAAAAGCAATTTTACCTGTGATTGTTGATGATTTTGTAAATAAGAAAAATGAATTATTCATAAAAAGGCCAAATCCCTTCTATTCCTGTAACCTGCCTATAACCTATGAGTTTCTGGTTAATGATCTAAATACATTATATGTGGATCCTTTTTTGTATGTATGAATTGAGTAATAATTGAGCAGTAAAAAATAGCATTTCTTAAAACCATTCTTATAGACTGTAATAACTAATGATATAATAGCTAGTTACACTTAATTTTTGAAAGTTTTAGCAAGGATTTATTTTAATATAGTTAAAGTAGGGAGAAATAGAAAAAAGAGAAATATTTCCTGTTCTCCAGGAAGGAAATAAGAGTTAAAGACTGTAAAATAACACTTTCAATTATCATATTGTATTTCTGTGTAATGCATAAAGAATCATTGTAATACATTAGACAAGTATGTCTTAGGTAGACTGAGTCTTGAATAGAATCTTCAGAAAGATCAATTTGCATATCACAAGAGGTTGGTATCATAAACTTTTAGGTTTATGTGCATTTTTACCTTTTGGGGTATAGGCATGTATACCATAAGTATGCATTATGTAAGTATAAATACACATGTTAACAGCATCAGCCCAAATACAACAGAGCAATTTGATTAGAAACTTCACATGGAATAAATTAGAGCTTCACATATACATTCAAAATTCTATGAAAGGGAACCTGGCATGGCAGCAAATTATTTGAAAAAGATGTAGAAAGTTTATTGACCAAAAAAATCAGCCTTATTAATTTTTTGGCAGAGCTAAACTGTGTGTATAAATATCATGATATTAATAGGAAATTAATAGGAGAGTCTGTGCCCTAGTATACAGCTGCAGTGGTGAATTTCCTTGAGGATGCTACATTCAAGAGAAAAGTATCGTGTGTGTGTGTGTGTGTGTGTGTGTGTGTGTGTGTGTGTGTGTGTGTGTGTGTGTGTGTGTGTGTGTGTGTGTGTGTGTGTGTGTGTGTGTGTGTGTGTG